TGAAAATCCTTCGGGCCGGGCCGGCTGAGAAAACAGGTCTTATCCACTCTCATCTAGTTGGATATTGATTTGATTTGATAGTATATATGAGTATAGAATGATAGTATATGCACTTGATATTCATCATTCTATCCCATGTCCCACGAAAAAATATAACAGTGCCACTTGCCAAGCATTCATTCCAAGAATTGGTTGAAGGTATTTGGGTGGTAGCACGTGTAAATCCATCCATCCTCTAGATTTTGCCCATTTTTGCCTATTTTTGCCCTAAATGAATCCCCCTTTTTTCATCCCAACAGTTGGAACATCCAGCGGCAGTCCCAGATGTCCCAGGTGCGCCGGCAGATGAGGATCCCAGATTACTGACGCCAGAATTCGCTGCCTCTACTCGAGTAGGGATTTCACCACAAATCGGCTTTGACCAACTGTGTTCCAGGGTGGGTTAAGTGATGTTAAGTGTCAAAAGTGGTGGTAGACCAACTATATAGTGAACAGTAGTTCAACTGGATTTAAAGGGTCATGGGCAATTTGTAGGGTCATGAGTCAAGTAGTTTACCCTGCACTACTTCCATTGCGACCTGGCAGCAATTCACAAACAAATTCCTCTTTGGCGATGTACATTTGACAATCAATTATCCTCTGGTAATTTAACGTAGCTATGGAACATCACCATTTTCAATGGGAAAATCCACTATAAATCACAATTTTCAATAGCTATGTTAAATTACCCAGAGGGTAACACATCCTCACATCGAAGGCGGTGATACTTTCTTGTTCCTTTGAATCGTTTTTTGGATCGTTGGATCCCCGGGCGCTTCTTGGGTGGATTTTTGATGGGACCAGATTCTTATCAGGCCACAAAACCCACGTGATCCCACGTGTGACGTCAGGTGTGTTCATCAGACTTCCATGCACTCTGTAGCTGCTTCAACCATGCCCAAGCTCAAAGGTGTGTTCTTGTAGGGAACCTCGTGGTCAGGCGGTCTCAATTTTGGAAAGGAGAGTTTGTTTACGCCTCCAGAGACCCCACAGTCTTACTATATAATTATATATATATACATACATACATACTATATATATATATTATATATACATACTATATATATATATATTGTTAAGGCTGCAAGTGCCACAACATGGCCAGATGCGGAATTTGTCACGTCACGGCTGGGGTGCCGATGTTGAGTGGAAGGAAAAACCATCCAGCCTCGAAAACTGGGAGAGAATAGCAACATGGAATTGGGCAAAAGACATTACTTGCCGACAGCCTAGCCGCTATACATGGTGGCCTGTCATGTACAAGTTTTGATCACCACAAAAGAGCACTTTTCAAGAGCACTTTGCGTTTGCAAAATCCTTGATGGATTGTTAGGAGAATACTCATTCGACAATGGTTTGGATGGGAATTGTGGCTCCACAGGTATCCGATTGAGCCATTGACGGGTCAAAATTGGCCCCAATAATTGGATGGTTAAGTTCCTGATGAAGGGAATCTGCGGTTTAGATTTGGGCTTTTCTTTTGACCCATTCCTACTTTGCCGACTCTGCCTCAAGTGAAGACAATCTAAAGGTTAAATCCTATACGTTTGGTGGTTAAACATGGACCCAGACGAACCCGCCAATTGAAAACCGTGGTTTTGTAGCATGTTTAAAACATGATGCTACAATCTTGGTTTGGTGGTGGAATGAGGATAAGACTGTTGCACAATTGCTGAAAGCAAAGTGTTCGATACTTAGATTGGATAGATTTGGTTGAAGTGGCTAGAGTGACTTAGCCTTGCCGACAAGTGGACTGATGTTTTTGTTTGTATGACAATGTTCTGTATCACGTTGCAATATCAGCCAGATCGTGACTGGTATGCTGGTTTGAGTAGACAACTTCAGCGTCCAAAATTCGACGCAGTTTGTGTCGGTCACTGTCACTAGTGCTCAGCAGTGTCAACCAGCTCTGGGAATCCTCTAACGTCCTGGAAAAACCATGTTCCAAAATTGTAAGGGTAGCTGTTCCCTTGTTGTATCTTGTATAGAAAGCTGCTTCTTTTTACATTTCTTTACCCGTTACTTACCAGTTATCCCATTGAAAGTCTAATATTCAACCTTCCGTCGGAGATGAGCGACTCACTATGTAGTTGATGGCTGTTTCCGATGGATGCTTCTACCACCATCAGGCGCTCATTACCATGCGGGTGGTGACATATTGTGACCAAATCTCTCAGAAAGGGTTGATATATCCCAGATCAATCCCGGTTGCTGGTCATAGAATGTCATAGATATATTATATTGTACATATTTGTACATAACATGTGTATATATATACAGTATAATATATATATATACATGTTTTATATCCCATAGTTAGTTATACACAGGTTATGCAGCACTTTTGAAGTGGTATGCACATCCCATTCCATGGATTATGAGCATCCAAGTCTAAAAAAGTGCACTTTTTGACCCTAAGTCTCATCAGCACCTACCTTCATTAGGTTTTGATGGTTCATAGCGATTCCAGATTCCACACACATTGCTGGTGAAGATCTGAAGGGGTCGGAAAAACACCAAAGTGGATTTGCCAACTTCAAAACCACATCTGGCATTGAAACTTTTAATGTGTATTCTTATTTGTTTGTTGAAGGATGTTGAAGGTGTATTTGTTTATTATCCCGAATATCGGTAGGCCCTAGCCACAAAGTGTAATCGTCCTGGTCGCTATTGGTTTGTTCTACAGAGGCTGGACCGATTTCACACTGCTGATGCTGGCAGTCATTGCAAACGGCCGCGGTGCCAAAACTTTGGAAAAGGTTATATCCGGGGGGGCTGCACCTGAGCGTGGGACAAATAAAAGACCGCAGGAGACAACATATTCAGATAATTTTAGATCATTTTAGTATATTTTAGTACTATAGTAAAAGGTACGATTTCGGGCAAAGAAGGTTGGCTCCGGATCCAAGTCTACCTAGGTCAAAAAAGAAAGTCATTGTCCATGTCTTACTGATGTCTTTTGGGTGTGACAGGGATATGATTTCCATTGGTAGACTGGATCTAGTAGTTTTCGACATGAGAATGGGATCATTGAAATCCATCCGTGCTGTGTCAAAACTCAGGTCAAGTCAGGTAGTGGGATTACACATCGCAGAGAGTGACTGGGTGCAGGCTGCAAGTTTTTGGATTTTGAAAAAATCATGAAAATTGGGCCCCAGTCGTCCCGATTTACTGTATGGCGACTTGAATCCCACGATTAAAACCCTACTGTAGCAGATCTTGCTGGAATCTGCTGGAAATCTGGCTTTTGGCCCAAAAATCCCGTCAGACAGATTCAACGAGGACACTTGGGGCCGGGGAGGCTGCGTCGGCTGACCAGACATCTACACCAGTGATGCTTCCGTAAGCCCAAGTGGCAAAGTTGTCAAGTTCTATGTCGTTTGTTTTACCAGTCTTATTTGTACTTAAAACAATCCCGATTCCTAGAGACATTTTGTCGATTGGCATGATCGGCCGTCAGAAAAGTCCATGAATGATCCGCTTGTACCATGGTTGAAACTGGTTACATATGGTATTTAAAAATCAATTTCAGGGACACACCAGATCCACCAGGAATCAGGTTCTATGATGCAACTCCAAGACATGATATCCGGAGCTGGTTGAAAATGCCTATTGTTTTGCAAGGGCTACAAGCCCAAAGATGATTGGAACATATTGGAACATACCCGCTGGTTATTTAACAGTTTGCCATGGAAAGATCCACCATTTTAAAGTTCGGTTATCCATCTATTTCGATTAGGGCCATGGCTCTACCATGGCGAACTGTTAGTCATAACCAGAGGGTATCGGAACTACATGTTACAGTCATGTCACTTATCCCAAGATGGCCAGGATGATGGCCAGTTGGGGTACCCGGCCTGGTAAACCTACAAAAAGCTATTGATAATGGCCCAGTCGAAATAGTGGATTTACCCAGCTATAAAATGGTGATTTTCCATAGTTATGTAAACGTTTACCAGAGGGTATCCATTCATACCTGTTTTGACCTGTTTTGCGTTTGCTTGGAGGTTACATAGTCATGCTGGTGAGATTCCAAAGAACACATTGAACACATATTTCTAGCGTCATCTTATTTCACTGCCGTTACTGTAACCAATATTAAATCACCTACCCTTCTGTAAGTGAACATAGCGATGAAGATCATCATTCTTGATAGATAAATCATCCATACAAAAAAATACTACAGTTGGTTCGAAACCAGGTTCCGGGATATCGCTATGGTCATAGAATTGGATGATGGGAAAATTTTAACCGGAAACCCCAACCAATTTGATGGTAAAAACCATGGTTTCCGGTTAAGATTTTCCCAACAAAACCAATCTATTGATATGGGTTAAAACTATTGCCCAGAATGCCCTTATTTTATGATAACCTCGAAGGGCGTCGAACATGGCTGGGAAATCCCAGTTGTCACTCAGTGGACCAATGGGAAAACCATCGAACCAAAGGGGGGGTTCAAACAAGGATAGCCCAATGACTTGACTGTATATAATTATATAATATTATATAATTCCCATCTCATCACCATGTTATCATCCAACCTCATCCCAATTTTTGTATTATTTTTGTTAGATGTCTGAGATATGGATCATAGCTTAATTTCCACTACATCATCGTCATTTTCCGGATCAATTGCCATTTGGTAATTTTCAGACACACCCACAAGTCATTGAATCCACAGAATGTACCCAACACATATTATCACCTTTACAAATATACACCCATTGCTCATTGTATGTATATATATATATGTATATCTATTGTCCATAAGATTCTGCAACTCGATAAACATAGGCCATTAAATACACATTTTAAAGCCTATTTACCATTAGTATTATGCCATAAATATCCACAGAGAATCGGACACAGGCAATCAAACTTTATGTTTCTTTCCCCATATTCATATCCGCAATCATCCATGACATATCCAAACATCTGACTGAAAAAATCATACCTCATCCAGGAGACAGATCCGTGGACCTGTGTCTATGGCGAAAGATAAGGCCAACACCGGACCGGTTTCATGTCAGATTTCTTGGAGGTTGAAACGGGGCATCCCCAGTCGTCACCATAGGTTTCAATACTAAGTCATGGTCGAATGACTTGGATGATTTGGGGGGTACCCCAATGACGAAGGATACCTCCTCATGAGGAAAACCTAGGAACAATGATAGGAAACCGCAGGAACTATCATCATAGGAAACTCATGGAAAATCCAGTTTAGTTGTTTATTTGAACCTATATATATATAGAAAACATGTGATTTTATCAGCACCAAAAGTGTCGGTTTCAGCATTAAAAATTGGATTGGACAGATATCAAACATTGGCTTATGATACAGTAGTTGGTCGAAATTCACAAAATAGTTCACCAGACAGTGACAAAAACAGCATCTGGACTCTCGCCCTTCACCGAGCTTTATCTTCCCAGATTACAAACACAAACCAGCGGGTTATCTCGACTTTTGGGGTAATTAACCGCTGAGAGTTGGTGTGTGTTAGCTGCGAATCTTTCCTGGCAATAAAAACTCCCAGAAGAAAAACAATTGATGTCTCCCTTTATGTACGCTTTTCCATGAACAGGATAAAACAAAAACATCCGGCCAGCATGCCTGATGGCGTTAACGTCGGAGAATTACTGACAATATCCGATAGAATATCCCGTTGTTTGTTGGCAAAACTTATCTCGGTCACTTCTCAGCAGGATTAAGACCTACATAGATGAAATGATGAAATGGTTGTTTTCACTTAATTGATTATATTGATTTAAAGATGTTTAAAAGTTCGGGCTCGAATCCCTACCCGAGTTAGAACCGTGACGGCTAAACATTCGAGGATAGGTTGTGCTATGGATCTTGTATCGGTTGTCGATGTTCCAGCTGGGACAAAAATGAGTTTGCTGGTTGATGTCATTGGGGCTGACAGTGAGTTCACTTTCGGCCTTGAATCCCCATTCGGTTCCAAAGTTGCCTTCATTCATGCGGGTGTGAATCACGAAGGCAGAATGGCCTTGTATGACATCACCACCACAGGTGTCCAGCATGCCGACAGTTGGATCCTTCAGATCAATGCATTCCAGCCTCTCAGGTCCACCCCATTTGGGTTAAATAGTCTGGGGTATTTTCATGACGTCTGTTGTGGTTTGGGAGGTTTTAGCACTGCCTTTGAACAACTCGGGTGTCCCATTGTCACTGCGGTCGATTCCTGTGAGCTTGCTGTCCGTGCTTATCAGTTGAATCACTCGAGCCACGTGATCTGTGGTGATATCTCCTCGGTTAATGTCCTTTACCAGATGCACCAGTGTCAGCTTGATCTTGAGCTCAACCCTGCAATCGCAGCAGGCTTCCCATGCCAACCTCTATCCCGTCAGGGATCACAGATGCGACAATGGGACAATCGAAGCAAAACACTTGGAGCCATCTTGAAAGCATCATACATGTTGCAGTCCGCTGGACTATTCCTAGAGTGCGTCCCGGAAGCCATGACAGATGATTCCACTCAAAGACAGCTTCATGAGTTTTGCCAGTTGAGAAACTTTACCATGTCGCAAAGGATCATGCATCTTCACAATTGCTGGCCTTCTCGTCGCTCCAGGTGGTTTTGTGTGCTGCTTCCGTTCAACTTTGGTTCTGTGTCCTTCCCACCTTTGCCTGTGCTCCCTGACCCACCGTCAGTGATGAAACTCATGCCATACTCTCCTTGGCCGTCCTGGTCAATGAAGGATGAAGAACAGCTCAAGTGGACTGCAATGGAGGAACAGGTCTATCGTGACCCACAGTATGGCTCTGTAGATCGCACAGTGCAGGCCCAACAGCCCTTGCCTACTGCGTTGCATACTTGGGGGAATGCACTGTATGGATGTCCGTGTGGGTGTCGGGCGACTGGACTTAGCCCAAGGACCTTGAGATCAGGTGGACTCCGTGGACTTGCCATCGTTTCTGGTTGCTGGCCTCATCACACAAGACACATCCATCCCAAGGAACTTCAGCTGTTCTTAGGTTTCCCACCTTTTGAAAAGACGTTGGATGATTGCCGTGCCCAGTTGTGTTTGTTTGGTAATGCGGTCGCGCCATTGCAGGTGTTGTGGATTTGGTCACATGTCATGCAGCATCTTGGACTTTTCCACGAAGGGTCAAATCGCAATGAAATCATGACAAGGTACATTGACATGATTCTACACCAAAGGGACATTTCGTGGCCCAGTCCATCAGTAGGCTCTGGAACCCTGACTTTGTGCACAGGTGACGCATCCATTGACATCCGATTTCATACGGCTCAGACAGTCAGTCAGCTTTTGACAGCTCAAGCCGAACTTGAGCAGACTGCAGACGTGATGTTTTTGATGTGTGAAGGATGTGTTCTGCCACAGTTTGCATTCTTGCAGGAAAGGGTATACACGATCCACACAGTTCCAGTCCTTGCCGCTTCACCACATGTTTGGGTTCCGGTCATCGTCCTCTTTTTAGGGCAAACCAATGTCTGTTGGGTACCACCGAGTTTGAATGTTGGCCAGCTCCTTGCGTGGCATGGCATCTTTCAGTATGCCAAGGTGTTGAACGAACATGACTATGAAGTTTCCCCACATGAATTAGTCAGACCTTGGCAGGTCATTATCGTTCAGCAGGATCCAGATGATGTTGCATTCGACCTCAGTGTGACAGGCTTTGGACCACTTAGTGATAACTTGCCGATTGGACTTTTGAAAATCACGGAATCATGGATTTGCACTGGACTTTGGCACTTGGATCAATTGATCAAATCGCAATTGTTGGTCACTTGGACGGGGCTGGACTTTTCCCCACTGACTGTTTGGTTGCCATCTTCTGCTGCGGCTGTTTTGGAGCTTTGGCCTTCCACGATGGACACACAGATTGCATGTTGGCTTTCTCCTCCTGAGACACAACTGCATGCATTTGTGTATGAACAATGGGGTTGGAGTCTGGTCTTTTTCAATCTCACTGCTCGATGCATGCAAGTCACTTTCTTGGAGCCTGAGGGACACCTCGCTGTCACTTCGAGGGTTGTTGCGCGTAGGGCCTTTGGGGTGAGCAATCGCCAACATTTTGTGGAATCTGTCAGGAAAACCCCGAGAGGAAGTGGTGAATCGACTTCCCTTGATGCTGTCATGCGTGCCTTTCATCAGGAACTTGGCATCACTAGTGCGCTGATCTCAGACTACATATGTAAGACTGCAGATTTGGCACATGGATTGGATTTTGGACTTTCACCCACTGTGCCTTTTTCTCTTGACAGCAGTTCCGTGCATCCGACAACATCCGTAGCAGTCACAGAAGATCCGACCAAACAGGGTCTCACTGCCAAGTTTTTGCTGCGTTTTGCCAAAGCCTTGGTGACCAACGCACCAGGCAAAGCACAGGTAGGACGTATTCAGGTCATCCATCTTGATCAGCAACTTGGATTTTTGCAGCAGTGTTCGATGCGAACATGGGTTGTCGATCAGTCGCCCTTGTCCCTTTTTGTGTTGGTCAATAGGCATTGGACTTTTGCCAAATGTGAACTGAAAGGTGCACATCTTGAAGTGCGTGTTTTTGATGGCTTGGCACATACATCACTTTCGTCCTTAGCGCCTCTTTGTCTTTCGTTGAAGAAAGCATGGAATGCGGAAACCATTTCAGTATCGACTTCATGGATCATTGAGCAGTCACGAGGTGATTCTTGTGGCACAGTCGCACTCGGCCATTTTGCCTTGCTGTCTGACTTGATCACATATGAGCAAGCCATGCACTTTGAGCAGTTGCACTCATGCTTTGCAGTTGGTAGCTGTCTCTTGGGACCGTGTCGTTTGTCCGGGTTTGGTCCTGATGATCGGTCAGTCGCAGCAGACCTTGCCAAAATCTTGCCAAGCAAAGGAGTGCCTGAAGATCAATTGAAAGAACGTACGCAAGCAGCACTTAAAGCGTTTGGTGCTGAAGCCATTGCAAAGGCCCTTCGGACCAACAACCCATGGGCAAGTCTCAAGCAGCTTGGAAACAGCAGACCACGCCCATTTATGTGGGTGACGAATCAAGAATTGCAGATGCACATCCAAGATCGTTCCCAGAAGGAATATGGAGTTCAGCATGACACCAAACGCAAAAAACATCAGAAGGAACAGAGAAAGCAGCCGTTTGCAGCACATAGCATAGATCCAAACAGCTTGCTCATGCCCGCAGGACTGCTTGTGACCAACACAGGTGAAGCAGTCCCACAGATTGCTGTTGATGCAGTCTGCAAAAATGCCAGAGGTGTTGCTTTTGCCCTTCCCCAGGACGTGCAGCAGTTCTTGTCCGATGGCAAAATGATTAGCCCTGAAGCTTTGTCAGTCCTCGTCATTGGGTCTTTGCCTGCGTCAGCACCACGCTCTCTGCCCATGCATTCGATCCAGGCACCAGCCATTTATAGAGGCACTGATGAACCCATTTTGATTGACTGCACCATCATACAGCTTGGGGATCAAGCAGTTTATCAGAAGCAGAACCAACAAGCGCCAGAGGTAGCTGTCTTCCCAACTGCAGTTTTTCGAGTGCATGTCTTTCGTGACCTGTGGATTTCTGATCACAGCTGGGATGATTTGGTAGCGAGACCAGTCAAGTCTTTAGTTGGAGCTTTTGACATCTTGCGTTTATGCAAAGATCAGGAATGCCAAGGTTTCTGTGGACTTTGCCATCCGTCCTGTGAAGAAGAAGGCATCGAGTCAGGATTGTTGGACATCTGGGCATTTCATTGGCATGCACTTGATGGTAGCAAGACTCCACCTCCCAAGTCAGATGTTTTGTCAATCTACTTTCGGGTCCCGGAATCCAGCTTCAGGGCGCTCCACGTCCTTTCCGGCACACATGGAGTTTTCTTTGAGCCACGCCACAGTGACAAACCAGGACCAGACGACAGGTATGCAGTCGTCTGGTTGCCACTGTGCACTCTATCTGAAGCCATGCACAGGGTCAAGACACTTGATGAAGGCATAGCTGTTTGTCACCTAGGCAGTAAATATGGCATCCGATGCCTTGTCAAAGATCAGGAAGACCTGCATAGGATTGTCAACCCTACCAAGCCTTTTGTGAGTTGCAACATCAAGCAGATCTTTCGCGTCGAACCATTGCCAGCAGGTACTCAAAGGCAAAGCCTTGTTGACACGTTGCAGGCCGTGGGGTGGAAAGCCAAACCTTTGCAGCCGTGCAGGGGCTCTCAGGGCAGAGCATGGAATGTAGGGGCAGAAGACGCTCCCCCTAGCCCTTTTATCGAAACTCAGCATGGTTGGCTTAGTGTCTCGAAAGTCAAAGACACTTGGACTCAAGCTAAGCCTCAGGAGATCATTGCGACAGTGCGCACACGTCAGCACATGACAGCAGCCAGCAGTTCCAGCGCTCCCGCAGCACAAGACCCTTGGCATGCACCTGGGGGAGACCCTTGGGCGGGATACAACAATAAGAGCCCAGTTGTCGCTCCATCACAGCACGTCCAGAAGAAGATCGAGGATGTTGAGCAAAAGTTGACAGGGCATGTGCAAGCTGCCATTGATGCACAGGTTCAACAGTTCAAGGGAGATGCAAAGGCACGTGACAGGCTGACAAATGTTGAGCATCAAATTCAAAGCATCATTTGCAATCAGCAAAAACTTGAGAACTGGGCAGTTGAAAGCAGTTCCAAAGTTGCCGCCATCCAAGCTGATCAGGCCACACTTGGCAAGGCTGTCCAACAGTGCCAACAGACGGTACATGAGCAAGGTCAGGCTCTTCACCAAGTTGCACAGGAGGTTGCCACATGCACCAGCACCATCACCAGCCAGGGGCACACATTGCAGCAAGTTGCACAGGATGTCACGGGGATCCAAAAAGATTTGACGACTCAGTTGGAAAGCTACTTCAGCAAGCAAGCAGCCACCATCGAAGCTTTGATCGAGAAGCGTCAACGTCACAGTTGACTATCTCAGGGTGGCCTCTCTGATGGACTTAAGAGAGTGCCACGCGTCTCAGTCAAGTCTGGATTTCATTGGACTTTTCCTTGGACTTTTCCTTGGCTGATCTTTGTGTTCTTTGCTCAGTGTCTTCGAATTGGTGAAGCTTTCGTTCCGGGTCCCGAGGTTGGTGATGTTCCTGGTGTTGTGCCTGACTCCTTCCTTGACCCGCCTCAATGGTCTTGTGATTTCTCTCCGGAGTTTTGTTTGGGGGTTGGAAACCCGTTTGGTATCAATAACAAATTGCACACGCTTGACTGCTTTCCCATTGGACTTTGGCACATGGCCGAAACACAAGCCTCCAAACATCAGCAACATGCTTTTCATGGTTATGTTCGCAACATGTCTTGGCGTTCCAATAGGCTTCTTCGGAGTTGTGTGGGTGCGCCCGCTCCGTATCGTGTTGGCTCTGGTGTCGCTGGTTCCTGGACTGGTGTGCTGTGTTTTGGTGATTGCCCTATCCGACATGTCCCTTGTGTCTGGCCGTCGGACGAATATACGAGCGGTAGGGTCATGATTTCAGTTGCGCAACTTGGAGGTTTTCAAATCACCTCAGCCACAGTTTACTGCCCTGCCAAAGGTCCAACGTTCCCAAATGCAAGGGCCTTGTCAGAAGAACTTTTGGCTCCGATCACGGAGAACTTGGTTTTTGGCAGAGAAGGACCCAGGGCCATCGTGGGTGACTTCAACTGCGCTGCAGGACAGTTGCAGCAGATGCGTTTGTGGCAAGCCCAAGGCTGGGTTGAACTACAGGAGTTGATGCATCAACGCCATGGCATCATTCCACGCCACACCTGTAAGCAAGCCTCAGCACCGGACCAAATTTGGGTTTCTCCCGAATTAGCAATTTTTGTCAATAATGTTGCGGTTTGGGATATTTACCCCGACCATGCCATGCTGGTCGCTGGACTTCATGTTCCCCCAGTGCGTCAGCAAGAACTCCAATGGCATCTCCCAGGCCATATTCCTTGGACTTCTGTGGACTTGGATAGTTGGGGGCAGAGCTCTGATCTTGGACCAATCCTTGATACAAACCGTAGGCCTGTGGGTGGTCACTGTTTGTCCTCGGACAGTCTTTTGGATTTTGCGTCCGTAGGTCATCAAGAAGCTACTGATGCCTTCCGTTCTTGGAGTCGTGGTTTTGAGGCCAAGGTATCTCATTGTATGAAGCCAGGAGTACAAACTGTTGACAGAAGTTACTTCGGGCGAGGGCAACTGACCAAGCCGCGTTTGAGGCGACATTTGCCCAAAGTTCCTAAACATAGCAGGCAAGGTGAGGCTGAACAAACATGTGGTTTCCTGAATCGAGCCAGTGCCAATTGGTTCAAGCAGCTCCGACGTTTGCAATCATACAAGCATGCAGCACGGTCCCCCAGGCACCAGGACACCTTTCACTCAAGAGCAGCTTTGTGGCAAAGCATTTTGCGTGCCCCTGGATTTGTGGGTGGTTTCAGTCATTGGTGGACACGTAGACCTCACCAACAACAAGGGGCGCCTGCTTCCCTACCTTTGTTTCCCCCAGATGCTCAAGTCATCCAATGGATTTACGATGACTTTCATCTCAACTACCGATACTTTGAGCACTATCAATGGAGGAGACGACAGGAAAGTTGCCAGGCCAAAATGCAAGCCAGCACCAAGAGCCTTTTTGCGGTTACCCGGAAAAGTGCCAAATATGCCCTAGATTGCCTGGAAGACAAGGTGTCGCAGCCCATCACTGTTGTTGACCCCAGTATTGGACTTGTCTCGGTTCCTAGCTCTTTTCCTGAACAGTCAGTTGTTGAATGGACTTTGCAATCCCAACCTGTCTCTGTTAAATCTGTTGATGGAGGGTATGTTGTTGACAGTGACCTGCTCTTGGTTGATGGACAGACCTTGACTTGTATCGCTCTTGTCCATGACAAGGTAGCAATCCAGCAACGCTTTGCCCAGTTATGGACTCCAAGGTGGACAAAGCACTCAGACGTTCCTGTTGGGCATTGGGAACAAATCAAGCGTTTTGCCAATGATCATTTGCCACGAGGTAGCATCCTATTACCACCTGTCAGTGTCGCTGATTGGCGTAGGGCTGTTCACCAGTTCAAGACCACGGCTGCCACTGGACCATGCGGGTGGACTAGGAGCGATTTGATCAACATGACAGATGGGCAAGTTCAGTCACTCTTGGACTTTTTCCATGCGTTGGAGCAAGGGGCCGCCTGGCCTCGGCAATGGTGTGTTGGGTTAGTTCACTGCCTGCAGAAAAGGGATGACAGTGTCCATGTTGAAGGTTTCCGACCTATCACCATAACTAGTCTGTTCTACAGGGTTTATGCTGGTATCCGTTCTGGTCAGATCCTTGCACAGCTTGCCACATGGTCGGACTACATGCAATGTGGTTTCCTTCGGTATTTTGTCGGGGTCTGCCTTGAAATTTCCTTTCAATCAGGCACGCCAGTGCATGGACTTGTCGCGGATTTGATCAAAGCCTACAACACCTTGCCACGCAACCCCACTTTTGATTTCTTGAGGGTCCTCGGTGTCCCTGAATGGTTTCTTAGCATGTGGGCTTCGCACTTGTCTGTCTTCACTCGTCATTTCGTTGTCAGGCGTTCTACTGGTGATGCACTTTTGTCTTGTACCGGTTTTCCTGAGGGTTTTCCCCTTGCCTGTGCAGCTATGACCGCAGTTGATTTGGTTTGGCATACTTGGCAGAAACTTCATACTCCTCGGGTTTTGCCCATGAGTTATGTTGATAACTTTGAGTTGGTTTGTGACAAAGCGCTTGACTTGGACGCTAGTTCTCGCCAGCTTGATCGTTTCTGTCAATTGTTGGACTTAAGTGTTGACAAGCAAAGCCTGTATGCCTGGTCCACTTGCCCGAACGGACGTCGTGAACTTAAAGATAGGGGGTATAAAATAAGTTTGGGGAATAGGGACCTGGGAGGACAAGTCACCTACTGCCGCCAATTGAGAAACAAAGTTTTGACAGACCGCATGCAAGCGGTGCACCCTTTCTTTGCCAAATTGCGCAAAGCCAACCTGCCACAGGGAGCCAAGAAAGCAAATATCCTGCAATGCCTCTGGCCCAGAGCACTACATGGATGTGAGGCAGTCAAAGTCGGAGTGCAACATTTTGACAAACTGCGATCAGGGGTAATGCAAGCCCTTCACTGGAACAATGCTGGGGCTTCACCGGTCGCGCGTTTGCCTTTGCTGCATTTACACCTTGACCCTGAATGGTATCAGTTGAAAACAGTTGTCAAAACTTTTCGACACCAATGTCGCTCAAACACAGTTGTGCAGGATTGGTGGAAGCTTTTTTCTCAAGAAGGTTCGAATCAAGAAACACATGGCCCTTTTGGTAAGCTCATGAACCTATTGGCTGACATCAAGTTGCATATCGATGCTGACTGTCGACTGTGGTTTTCCGAACATGGTTTCATCAGTGTCTTGCAATGTTCTGAGTCAGTTTTGGAACGGATCTTGGCTAGGTTTTTTCAGGACAGACAGGCAGAAAAGTTGTCAAGCCGAGAGGGCTACCAGGGGCTCCAGTTTGGATGCGAGGTCGACATCACGACCAGTTCCGATCGTCACTTTTGTCTTCAAGATCAGGCGCATTTGATGACGGCCCGAGACGGGTCGTTCATCACCAATGACATCAAGTCCAAGTTCGACAGCAGGTTATCCGCAACTTGTGTGTGGTGCAACAAAACGGACAACAGGCTTCATCGATATACTGAGTGTAGCAAGTACGATACTGTCAGGGCCGAACATTGCGCTTTGTTTGAAGACTGGGATGAGTTGCCAGCTTGTTTTCGCAGCCATGGACTAGTTCCACAAAATCCGTGGCAGGTTTTGGTGTGGGAGGCGTTGATTACACTGCCTTCACGACTTTACGACTATCAGTTTTCCCCTACTGGATCCATCATACATTGCTTCACAGATGGCTCTGTCGCACAGCCACAAAGTGCGGCGGATTCCTTGGCCTCATGGGCAGTTGTGGTTGCGAACGTTGGGCCACTTGCGTGGGGTCCACTGCCAGGCATTCAACAGTCCATTCCAAGAGCAGAGGCATACGCATTTTTGTGTGCTGTCATTTGGTGCGAGCACTTTGACGGAACAGTGCACATCTGGAGTGACAACCAAGGTGTGGTGGACCATGCAAGGGACATCTTGCGTGGCATTTTCAATCCAGAAGAAGTTGAACACGAGGATATTTGGCGTAGCATTCAGGAACACATGATGCACACATCTGCAGACCTCCAGATACATAAGGTTGCGAGTCACGACAGGGAATGTCAAAGTGAATCCCCTGTTGAAGATTTCTTTCGAATCTGGAACAATTGTGCTGATGTGCAAGCGCATGCTGCGAACATGAGTCGCCCTGCGTATTTCCAACGAATCTGGGAGCAACATCAGAACTTCAGACAGACTTGGAAGAAACGGGTAGAGCAGATCACAAAGTTTCAAAAGGCCATCGCTGACATAGATTGTGCAAAAGGACAGGAACCAGAGTACGACATAGATCATGATGTTTCACAGTTTGAATTCGTTTGGCATCCCAATCAGGCTTTTCTGCACAATTGCAGCCGTGGGTTGACAACAGTGATATTTTTCATGATAAGCACGACGATCATTTTCGATCCATCACTGCACAGATTTTGCCATATGGATCATTGATCAGGACGTTTCAGCTGCTCATATGCGAACGGTCAGCTTCATTGAGTTGTATGTTGCTTTTAGGTTGTTTCGTGTTGGCCGTGGTCCTGTTAGTGTTCGAGACGGTGAGTTTAAGTTCCAGGTTGTCACTTTTGCTTCTGATTTCACGTATTTCAAGGGTGTTTTGAGATTCTTGTTCAAAACAGCCGACCTTTCCTGGGGTACCAAGGTTGATCTTTCATTTCTTCGCATTTTTGCACCTCAGCAGGGTGTGCAGATTGGTTGGCATTGGCCTGCTGAGGTTGAGAGCAGCGTTTTTGATGCTCTTAGTTCATTTGTTGGGTCACGTCCTGTTATCAGTGCCCAAGCTCTTGCGAAGCCTTGGACCCCTGAGCGAATAGAAGGCGCTGTGGCCATCAGATGGAGCTGATCGGCCCGCGCCAGCTGGCCGACAGACATTCAAGCCGTGCGCAATAAAGATGTTTAAAACCTCATATTTTCCCATAAAATCTCCAGATTTTGCGGAAAACACCTGATTTCATTCATGGTAACACCCGAGAGCTCCGGAGCGCAGGCGATTCAAAGCTTGGTCCCGGCGGGTGCCACCTTGGTATCTTGGTGGTGTTACTGGGGAGGTGCTGGTGATCAGATATCTGATATCTGGAACAAGATAGACAAGTAGAACATATAAAGTATCTATCTTATGATATAGAACTTATATGAACTTATTTTTAGTAACATGTTCTTTTCAGATATAGAAGTAGAACAGGATATAGATCATCAAATAATATCAGATACCTCATATGATCCAAGGTCGTCTCGGCCCTGCTGCTGCGGCGATGGTGGAGGTCGAGGCGAATGCTGGGAGGATTTTTTCGTGGGATTCAGAATGGGATTTGATGAGGATCAGATAAATTATCATGGGATATATATAATATATAATATGTAATATGTAATATGTATATTATGTATATTATGTATATTATCTCGGATCTATTTTTAGTGATTTATATGCAGGCTAGATCTACGCATAGTTAAATTTAAACATCGATATATATATGTATATATAGATATATTTAATATTACATCTAATTATATATTTTGATATATAATATATTTTTATATATTTGACTATATATATATAATTGTATATAATTATATACCCCAAAGCCCCGTAGTTCAAGAATTCATTTTCACAAAGCAGGTTGCATCCTGCTGGTTGGTTCCTGTAATCCGAGACGATGCTCCAACATAACTACAACGGTGGTGCCCCCAAGTGACGTTGGTATGTACAGAACCGGAACCATGGACATATATCTACCGTAAAGATCATAAACCTTAATTAGGCCCTAGTCAATAAAATTATAAAACAACTTAGGTAACGAACTGCACTATTTTTCTAAGTGGGCACAACATAACCAACGACCAGCCTTGTTTGTTTGCGCAGGAAAGAACCTCCGAGTTTTCAGATGGGTTTGCCAGTCTTTGGCACGGAGACCTACACAAATAGTTTGAAACAACTGGAGCGTTTGACACACCAAATGACAGCAACATTTGTGTGTGGTCCTGGTATTCATGGAAACTTTGCACCCTCCATGCGCGGATGGTCAGAAACCGAACATAATTTTCTGTGTTTTTCTAGATGTTTGTTTCCCTGAACTCAAAACCTTTGAGTCAGTTTATTTGTTCACGGCTTGTTTCACTTTTTACCATGATGGGCCCTACTAGATATGAATAGGATCACAATCACCTGCAAGTGTGAGTGGTTGCAGATGGGCACCATTTACAAGTACAGTCAGTAGCTTCCAGGCCTAACATTGTCCTGACAATATGAAAGTGATCCTGCAAACATGCTGTTGATGGGCGCAGCCATCTCAGCCTTCTGAGCGTTTCTTTTCAAATCATGCGTTCGTTGACCATTTTGCGGGAGAAGTGTTCCCCCATAGAAGAGTTCCCCATAGAAGTGCCAAACCATACCCGTATGCGAGATCACTACTTGGAATGTAAATTGCAGTTTATAAGTGGTTCATGAATAGTGGCAACAAAATGAATATGGTAATTATACTTATTTGATCAAACTTGCATGTATTTGTAATGTATATTCACCAGTGCATATAGACATGTATGTATGTGTGCATACACATACACAAATTTGTGGATGTACATACATAATTATATAATCATTCGTATATATATATATATACAATATATAATATATAATATATAATGTATAATATATCATATATAATATATAATATTTAATATATAATATATAATATATAATTTAAAATATATAATATGCAATATATAATATATAATATAATATATATAATATATAATATAATATATATAATATATAATATAAAATATATAATATATAATATAATATATATATAATATAATATATATAATATAATATATATATAATATATAATATATTATATATAATATCATATATATAATATGTATAATACAATATATATATAATAGATAATATATTATATATAATATATATATATATAAATAATATAATATATATATATATAATATAATATATAATATATAATATATATATAATATAATATATATAATATAATATATATATAATATTTAATATATTATATCTAATATATAATATAATATATATATATATATATATATATAATATATATAATAATATATATATAATATATAATATATATATATATATTATAATATATATAATATAATATATATATATAATATAATATATTATATATATAATATATATATATATAATATAATATAATATATATAATATACTATATTATATAATATATATATATATATATATATATATATAATAATATATATAATATAATATATATTATATAATATATATAATATATATATATAATATACATATATATATATATAATATTATATATATATATGTACTAGATTATCCGTATAGTGTTTTTGCACCAGTACCCCATCTACCGCTCAGGTCCCATCATTCAATTTCTGAAGGACCCAATGGAACTCATCAGGCCGCGTTTCGGTAGCTTTGTCTTGGGATTTGGGTGTCTGGCATAGCCTCAAAATCCGGTGGTGTAAAACCCGCATTTTCCCAATGAATTAACATATGGTAATATTAAGGGTATACGGTATACCTCATTTTCAGACAAAGCCATCTGAAGCAAAAGATAAGCCAGATGCTCCAAAAGGTAGCCCATTGCAGCAGAAGCAATAGATTCAGCTGGGTGAGATGCTTCGGCCAGCAAATCAGGCATATCAATGCATATCGCCAATACAGCCATTACAATGAACTTCAGTGTTCACAACAAAGGTTTGCTAAGCCAGTACAGTACCCAGGAATCTGGATAATATTTTGATATTGATCACTCGAAAAAGAGTTTGGTGATGCTTGGTAGATGGTGATCCCGATACCAGGCAGCGAGTCGGCCATGTCCTGTCCCTAACCACGATGTAGACAAGGTCTTTGTACGTGCGTTTCCTACATACAGACACATTGTTCAAAATGTAGAATTACATCTTAACCTATGTAATATTAATAACTGTATATGATCTACAGCCAAAATTTACCGTAATGGATAGTATTCGAGACATCTTTATTTTTTGAAAATTGAGCTGGGCTTGGAAAACGATAATACACACTCTTCAAAAAACGATAACATTTTCTATATTCCCAAAACCTGAAAACGATAATACACTCTTCAAAAAATGATGACTTGGAGCTATATACTAAATATTGACCGTTGCCCATATGACTATACATACTATGCGTTTAATCACATGTATACAATATACATACATACATACATACATACATACATACTTACATTTACATTACATACATTACATACATTACATACATTACATACATACATATTATGTATATATATACACATATGGTCACATATGTAAATGCATTTCTGTTTCACAATTTCAAACATTGCATTGAATTAGGAATCCCTGGCTGGTCATTTCAATCCTGGCAATCCTGGCCAGATACCCCCGTTCAGCGACCCTTCATGGTGAATAGATTTGAATTCCTTATCATCAAATAGTTGATATCCCATGGAAGGAAATAGTTTCCGGTATGACTTATGTGTAGATGTATGTATGTATGTATGTATATATATATATGTATGTATGCATGTATATGATGTGCTCTCTCTCTCTATGTATATACACATACAGAGTTTTATCAGCTGGTTTCGAGGCTAAATTCCCTTCTAGTTGATTTTTGCTCAGGGAATAGCTCTTGGAGCAACACTCACATCACCTGGGCTCACATGGCGCCGGTCTCCCCGGCGCCTGCAACAGATTGGGTTATCAGAAGATGGGCGGCATCTTCAAGGCCAAAACCTTGGGGCATTTGATGGTCATAAAGGCGAAGTACTCGTACCCTCCACTGACCGGTAATCAAACATCGCTATGGCAAATCCCTTCTAAATGGAGGTTTTAATGGAAAAAGATGGAAAAGGATCAAGAGAGTTGGTATTTTTGGTTGCCAGGTTTGATTATGTTGTGGCATCCAGAATCCAGACAGTGAGCAATTGCCAAGATTGCCAGCCACTTGACATGGCACTGAAACATCTCAATTTTGTTGCTCGTAAAATTTGAGATAATAATCTAGAAGCACTTCCCATTTCTAGGTTAAATTTGACATGCGGAGTGAGAAAATCGACAATATAGCCTGAATGGGATACTTTGTTTTGCCATGGATGATACTGTAGACTAGCCAGCTAGAACAGTACATAAGCTATATCAAAAATCACTGAAAGTCAGGTGTGAAAATATCGGGATGGGTTGTGATTGCGAGCATGGGGAACTTATTTTTATTGACCTCGCCGATGAAACTATGGGATATACAAAACATGGTTCTTTCACAGAAAGGGGCCTCCAAACGAATAGTAAAGTTGGTTTCTAGATGTGTTTGCAAACCACCAAAAAACATAACTTGCGAATTGGTTCCCCAAACATGTATTTGTCTGTTTCTGCTACACCATCGAACTAGTTCGGTAGATCAACCAGAACGCCAAGAGTTATAGAGCCTCTGGGCACCTCGGGAATATTTGATCCAGCCGTGGCCGTCGTGGCGTCACGAAAAAAGGGCTCTGGCTCGGACTGGGGCGAATCATCCCCATTTCTGGCCGGAAATCATAGCAGTTATTTTCAGGTTCTATATAGTGAATTAATTACTAAATTTCCAGATCAGCAATTAGTAATATATTTCACTCAATTTCCTCCAGATTTTATTTTTTGGATGCGTCTAATTTGTCCAGTCACCCAATGAGCTTAACTGAATCTCAGAATCCCAGCGATCACATCACTGTCGTGTTTGGAAGGTGAAATTTCCAACAGGCCATTATTATCCCACAATTAATATTACATATAGAGGGGTGCATCCCACACTTCATAGAGACATAATTATCATTTAGTATAATCTATAATATTACACTTCAATTAATCAAAAAATGAAATGTACATCCCATCCCAGATGGACATCTAGACGATTTTCATTAATATGGTTTCCTTGTTGTACCGGAGAATATCATTCGTTGACAGATACTGCAACTCGTGGATCAATTCAGGGCTTGACAATGAGTCAATCGATGGATGCGCACTGCAAAAAATTGTATATGGTACCCAGGGGATTCGCCAATGGGACCAGTTGGAAATATGGATGTTTCTCCCTACCGGTGGAATATAGCAGGTGTAGCTGTGCAAGCTGCTGAGCTTTTGCGCCGTGTGTTTTCTTGTTGCACGGGCCATGGATTCCATACGCTCATGGATTGGGGTTTCAAGCCGGGCCCCCACCTTATGTGAGGATATTTTCAAAATGGAGAATGATATTGGGCCTATGGAGCCTATCTTAATGAAACTTTTCCCTAGCGGGCCTTGCTTCAGGTGAACTTCCTGGCGATGGACACCTGGCACCGATATAAACCCATGGGAAAGTGAGAGGTTCAAGCGAAACCGATGGGAAATCATGGGAAGGATGGAAGTATGGTACTTTAAATGTTATTTCACAGCTTTTTTTGGACAAAGCTATGTATGTGTTATGATTTACAGTACACTATAGACTATAGACTATAGATGTATTATGTGTTATTATTAAAGTGATTTTTCACAAAAAAAAATCCGCCGAACCCACAAAGACCCCCAATCAATTTTTTGGGGTTGAGGGAAGACTAAAAATTCCTCTAGAAGAGATATTTCTCAGGGTCTATGTTATTTATATACAGTATATACCATCTGGCTATTTAACATAGCCATGGAAGGATCCACCATTTATAATAGGTAAACCATCTATAAATAGGCCATTTATACCATGGCTATGTTAAATAACCAGAGGGTATATATATATAAACGAGAGGGAGAGAGAGTGAGAGAAATTGGGTCGATGGACCAAATGGGGGCATCAATTTTTGTACGTAGGCAGGCAGGCAGGTAGGAAGGACATACATATCATACATATGTATGATTATGTATGTGTGTAGATACTCATTACCCTACTTGTTGCAATATTTGCTTAAAATATATGTGCTTTTGTTTGTGCTTCGAAAGGTATTTTGGTTTGCTTCTGTATCCCAATTCCCACTACATGGTGGTTTCATCACCATCTGTGAAGGATCTGGACCCACTGTGTTTCATTCTTCACGGATCACCCGGGTTTTCCACAAAGTCACCCAGAAAATTTCATCAAGCCATAGGGTTTCTCCATCCTTTGGTTGGTTTATGTTGGTTTATATGGGATAATGGTAAATTTTCATGGGATATCCCATTAATTTATTTACCATGGTGGTTGGTTAATCAACCCTGAGTTGCAATTTGTCTCACTCTTGATTTGTTGTTTTTCTCGGGCTTCGGATGGTTCGGCTTTTTGATGCTTCGGCTTTGTTTCGGATAGAGGAATATGAATGAATATGACATATCCCAGCCAAAAAGATAAAATGTCAACCCTGGACTAATGCACCCCTAGACTGTTGAATTTTGGGTGGAAACCATTCAATTAATTTAAGGATCAGACTACCACCATTTGGGGAGTACCCCCCGAATTACTCAACCATGGTGTATTAAGCCGGGGTTGGCGTCGTCAGATCTTCCTCTTGAGGACATGGTTTACCTTGTGGGATCCGAAGGTCAGGAATTTTTCTTTACTTCTGAAACTCGGCGGAAGCTGCAACCAGTCTGTTGAACGGTGCGGTTCTGAACGGTGCGGTTCGCATCTGGTGCTCCCAAATTGTGTTTGTTAATTTATAGAACCAGTTCATCTGGTTATGCATAGATTCAGCCTAATGTTGACATCTGATTCATAGTATCTTGCCCTTTTATTATCACAATCCCCCCCAAAAAAGCCTAGTACCCCCAACATTTTGTCAGGTAAAGCTTTCGAGGCACTTGAAACATGTATTGGTTGAACATTGTTTGGGATTTAGGTGTGTTTTTTTTAAATTAATTTCACGTCAGACTAAGTTGACCCGCACTTGATTTGATTTGAAGCTGAACTGACTTACTTCAACTTGAATTCAACTTGACTTTTAGTGAATTCGAATTATAGAACTTGACTTAATTTAAGTGGTACAGTAATTGAAATTGAATTAGAACTGACTCCAAGCCACTTCGACTTGACTTTAAGATGGTAGACTGATTTGAAATTGAATCTGAACTCACTTCCTGTTGGATTTTCAGGAAGCTCCCTCATATTGAGGAGCTCTGCTTGGGGGCTTCAAACAACACTTTTTACTCAGGTGTCACCTTGCGTCTGGACCACCATGCAACTTCAAGACTCTGATATACGTTGTTGTGGCTGTTGGTTCAGAGGAAACACCACGCAATGTGGATGATTTGATGAATGAGTACAGACGGACAATACGATTTATAAGTTTAGACAACAGCATGAAAAAATGGCAGAATGTAATATGATACAATATAATCAGAAACCAATGTACTTGATGATTCCTCTGTCGTGACAAGTAGTCTTTCTAGCCAGTTGTAACCATAGTAAATGAATGTTTAGTCCGCTTAGGGTTACGGTTATCAGTCATCTTGATAATTTGATAAATGGGATGCACAAATAACCACTACAATGTCGAGGCCGACACAAGTACGTTGATGGCGCGATTCGACTATAGATTCTATACTGGTTGGTGGTTTGGAACATATTTTATTTTCCATGATATATGGGATAATCCTTCCCATTGACTAATACTTTTCAGAGGGGTTGAAACCACCAATTAGATTAAAAAAAACATCCATAATCCATATGCGTAGTAAGCCCATGACAGTTCCAGTTATGAATTAACTTACCTGTCTAGGCCCCACAGAAAGCAGGGCCAGTCCAGGGCCAGTCCAGGGCTCCTCACGCTTTTCGCATCGAGTTGAGAATTCTCATCGCTCCGAGTTTTCAAGCCCTTCTAGGTACCGATTGACCTACAAAACATGTCATCTGGATGCATTGTTATGTTAGTAAAGAGAATCATCCCCTTAGCTAACCTTGTTTCAGCTATATTTTCAGCTTATTCAATTCTTGTAATTCAGCCAGATGTATACTGATGTCATATATATATATGTACATACACATAGTATTCAACAATCCTTTTGTTGCAGGAATTCCACCATACTAGTACCTCATCCGTCACTCAGGACAAATATTTGGATCAAGCCAAGATGTACAAATTCACGGCGCTTTGGCAAAGAAACATACAGGAAGGGGTTCCCAAGTGATAGGTTGGTTTATGCACACATCAAAGTCTAGATAATTATATCATCTACAATCTACAATCCAAAAAATAGAATTATGAAGAAACTTGACTATCTACAGTGTCTTCTGCAGTTTTTTTCAGCCGGATGAAGTGGGTACGAATTCGCGTCGGGACGGGACAGTGATATGGCTGCTATGGGATGAGGGAAAGCTGTGCTCCATTGGCCTGGAAAATTACTGAACATTCCCATGAAAAACACATATTCGAATCTGGGATACGATGAGTTTTGGACATTTTCCAAAGGGTTCATCCACCAGAAATGTTTTTTTGATGTTTTTTGGGGCCATCATTTGATTGTCTCCGCTGCTTTGGCCAACACTTGATAGTCATGATGTGACAGCAACATGTGAAGATTATCGGTGTTCTGGAGGAAGCTGGTGATAGCAACCCTCATGACGTGTATCAAGAATTAAATACATACACAGCTGCATATGTATACATAGAAACATATTATACAGACATATGTATGTGTTTATATGTATAGAATTACATCTCTTTTGCCCTTCCCATGACTTATTGTCCATCTGAGAAATTTGATGCGAATTGCCATATCAATGGATGGGTTGTTTAGCATCATTCGTCGTAATTTGTTGGTGAAGGAAGTTGGTTGCTGGTTGAAATCCATTGATTGCTGCCTAAATCGACGTTTCTGTTGCAGCTGAGTTTCTTCGATCCGGAGTTTCTATTGCTGTTTTTTTCATCTCCATTTGCTGTTTAAATTCACATTGGCTGCATCATTCTGGATTTCTGGAACTGGGAACATCTTGAATCTATTGGAATATTTGAACTCTGCAAACGAACTATATAAAGATTTGACGCCTAGGCGCCTAGGTGGCGGAAGGGTGACCATTGTGACCACGCTTCAACGGCTCCCACGTCCCAAGGTCCCCATTTTTGGTCCCAAGGTGCCACGGACGTTGCTGGGAGGTGGATGTTTTGTTTTCTACCATGGTTGTTGATGATGACTATAGAAGATTATAGATGATTGTTGATGATGATTAATGCCAACACCGGATTAATAACCCCCCCCCCCAGAAGGTAGGGAGGTACCTTCTGACTGGTTTTCTTGATCGCCCCTTAATAATAAGCAACTCTGAACCATAAAACTTTGGATATGGCTTACGTCAATTAGATCTTAATAGAATTCCATTGGATTTGTTAAAATTTCATGGATCAGAAAGGTGGTTGATTAATCAGGGGCAAACCATGGTTATTATTACTGGGGGACATGGGCTCATGGGGGGTACCCTTTGGGAGCTATCCAAACTGATGTTTTTTATAAATATTTTAATTAGAAATCGATCATTTGGGGAATAGTTGTTTTTTGAAATTTTCAATGATCAACTCAAACCTGAAGTATAACAATGATGATTAAAAAAAATGTAAAAAACAATTGGAAATAAATAGAATTGGAAATAAAAAATGTTGGATAAAAAAATTGATTTCCGAAATGGTTGTTGATTAATCGGGGGTAGGCCAAAAAATTTATTAATCTGGGGAGACCACCTGTTTTTAAATTACATTTTTTTTTTTGGGCAGTTGCTGTTGATTAATCGGGAGGGCATTATTAATCCTCACTTGACATTACTACCCGGTTAAATCCAACTATATATTGTAAAACCTGTTCAAATCACATGTTGTATCTCTCTAAGATCCCACGACATCCGATGTTTTCCTAGAAAAAAACATGGTGGATGGGGTTTTCCCGGGGAGAGCGTATCAGGGATGACAATGGTTTTTGACATTGCTCAATTGTGTAGTATAACTATGTATAACTTAGTAGCAACCTATTTGAAAATTTTATATCAAAAAACAAATCCCACTCTTAAGCTTAGGGCTGGAACCCGCCATGATACGAAGGTTTTACGAAAATCAGTTGACCCGGCATCCCAGTGCAATGCGTAAATGTGCCCACAGCCCCTATGTTTGTTGGTCTACAATCCCATCCAACTACTTCGACATATCTACCATAAACTTAGCTATCTGCCTGGATTTGCTGAAGATGAATTCTGAAGTTTCCCATGAAAAAACATCCACTAGAGTCACTAGGCTCTTTCTGTTTTTGGAACATGGCCCTAGATCAGTAAATCGAATTCTAGAGCGCAAAACAAATGGTCGAAGTTGATGGAGTATGTATATATATACACACCCTTATATAGTTACTTTTATATACTATAACTCATCAATACTAGATATATACATTATGCACTCTATCCAACGATATCCCCGTTAATTATCACTCCCATCACTCCCCATAATATCCCAAGTTTCCGTTTCTCAAGGGATCCTTCCACCACACATCAACGCCAAAAAAAACTTTGCTGGGCGAGGTCTTGTACGACGTGGACTACAGCACGCGAACTTGCCACTTGGGAGATCCCAATGGTTCCAAAAAGGCGATACCTCGGTTTAGTGGGGTACCACTGCACCATGCAGGAATTCATGGATGATGATAACATAGTGATTTGAACAACAACAACAACAACAACAACAGCAACAGCAACAGCAACAGCAACAGCAACAACAACAACAACAACAACAACAACAACATTAACAACGATAACACATACAAATAATTCATAAATAAATATATTAAAGCATATATAGATAAATGAGTAACTACATGATGGTCCGAGTTTGAGCTGCAAAACAAAGATGTTTTAATGTGTCATATGTTTTGATCAACATTACCTGATCTTTCCGAGAAAATCATGTCGTGACCTCACTGAGAGGAGGTGTTTGAACCACACAGAAAGCACAGTATCAGAAAATATCTGGAGCTTAAGAAGTTATCCAGAAATATTGGCTAATACTATAGTTATTCTGGTGAATTCATGATGTTTCCCACTGGAAAATCATGAACTTGCCCAAACAAAGATCATAAATGTGTCCAGGTGCATCCCATCACTGCCAGTTTCCCCATAGCTGCTCATCCTATCGCTCATCGTAGCGTACCGATACTCACTGAGGTCAATTGCGCTTCATTCGCGAGCGTTTGACTGATAGCTACATCCGCTCTTACACCAGTAGCCTGGCTGATCCTAGCGCCTGAATGGATCAAAGGGATGATCTCATGTGGGACATGGATCCAAAACTGACGGACTGGGGACTGAATCAAAAAGACACAGCAAACCCTCTGGTAAACTAACATAACTATGGAAAATCACAATTTATAGTGAATTTTCCCATGAAAAATGGTGATTTGCCATAGTTATGTCAGTTTACCAGAGGGTAACATGATTATTCTGGAAATGGATGAGGCAAACCAGAAACCGCTGAAAAACCCGATCGTGCCGTGGCTTTCACGTGCTTTCACACTCGACTTGCTTCTAGTTCTGGACATTCATCCCGCATAAACTGATGGTCCACTAGGTCGTACGACTCATCCCCATGCTATGAAAGGACATTGACCTCAGCCTTGAGGGACCTTTCTGCTACACATATGTATTGATTACAGAGATTGGAACGCGAGACATTTTAAACACTGGCCACAAGACTGTGTTTATACACGATTTTTCACAAATTATGTGAAAATATAGAATACATATAGAATAAATATAGAATAATATAGATAGTTCTTCATCTATGTATATATACATATATATATATATATATTATATAATTATATATTATATATATTAATATATATATATAATTATATATTTATATGATTATTTGTAGTTCTATATGATCATAATTGATTACATATACATATATGTATATATACATATTTCGATCCAGGCCACACTGCCCAAATCTAGCACCGAGGTACCTTGGAGGAGGAAGTGGTGCAATTTTTTGATGACTCTTGGCATCTCTTGGCATCGCTTGGTGCTACGTCGCAACGGAAAAATCCGCTAGAAATGGAAATGTTTCTTTTTTTTATGGGAACATCATCTATCTGGGTAAATTATAACGACCTCACTGCGACCTCACTGGAATCATGGTTGGCAAGGGGAATCATCCCCAATGGCCTTATTTCAGGTTAGTGAAATATTATAATTTACCCAGATCTATAAAATGGTGGATTTGTTTTGGTTGCCATGTTTGATATTGTTTGATTACCGGATGGCTAATATGATCTGAAGAGTGTTCGGAAAAGTTTGGAAACCCCAGCTGATGATTGCTGTACACTTAGTTCAGGTACTATACTATACCAACCAATATATTGGGGATTATCATCGTGGATTATCATCGGGGATTATCACAATCCGGGTTATCCCTATAACATAACCAGTGTAAAGAGGGTTTTGAACATTGTCATGTGTTAGCTGCTTATGATATGTGGATTATATTTCGTTTTCTAAGCATAGTTTTAGATAGTTAGTCATTAAATGGGGTTGTCAACCAAGACATAATTTACCCAACTATTGGTCACGTGGATATAGTCTATGGTTTTGTGGTGAAACCTCTGTTTGGGGTAGTTTCATACAACTTCATCCTTTTACTGTAAATGAAGGTATGTACTATGTACAAGGTCTTTTTTTGCAAGATATCAATATCTAAGATTTACCATGGTTGGACATAGCAAACTGGTGGCTGTAATGTGAAATGTGGATTATCCAATGGCTTCATAGGGGTTGTCAACCAACCCATACACATGGGAGGGGATATGGTTACTGTTCACGGATCATGCGAGTGGCCCAAACATGGGTACTACAGGTGAACACCCCAACAGCGGCTTCAATAGTTGGATGATTCTGATTAGGTTTGGGACCAGCATTTTGGTTTATCAAACAGAACCTCTCTGATTCATCTTTAGTTTGATTTGGTTTCATGTTAGTGCTCAACATCATGTTTGTATATTACATACCAATCTTGTCTAGGTCAACCTGGTTTTGTCAGGTCAATAACTTAATTTTTGCTGCCAGTTTGGATATTGGAAAGTATACCAACAATCTAAGAACTAAGTGAGTGTTCGGGTCATATGTATATATATACACATAGTATCTATATAGAGATTAGACATAGTATATCATTGTATCATCTATTTATAGCTGCTATACAACTAAACATCATCTGGTTGGTGGTTTGGAACATGGCCTTTATTTTTCCATATATTGGGAATAATCATCCCAACTGACTAATATTTTTCAGAGGGATTGAAACCACCAACCAGTCATGTTCCTGGCTTGGTTATACGACTATTATGGTCTTCGACATCTCTGCTGTGCGTGACGGCGTCAGGAATGTTGGGGCGACAACGGTACCTGCTGCATCCGAGAGTCTATGCAGGAGCATAATTTTTGTTTGTGGCCAAAATCATAGGCTGTATCAATGGCCTGCTGAATCAATATCCCCACAAAATATGGCCTTATATGGTACAGTACCTCCATTGTAGGATCCTGGAATTTCCATTGACTGTATTAGCAAGCATTTTCTTCATGCTTATTCCTGAGAGCAACAAGTATAATTATGTGTAAGATAGACATATAGATATAATAATGTGATATATATATATATATGCTGGTAGTTTTTCCCGAAAGCTCCTTCAAAGGGTTCCTTCCAAAGAGAGGCTGCCAATCATCATTTTAATCATCGTTTTTATCGTCATCATCATCGTCATCAAGATGAACATCGACATCTACACATCTACACATCTACAAATTAATATATTCAGAGTTATACAGAGATGCAGGTGCACAGATGTAGGTGAACATTTCTACACATATACAGCTTCATATTTGCAGACATGTAGCTATAGGTGTGCAGATGTAGGTGAAAACATCTGCACATCTAAAACTTCATGATCACTATTTGCGGGAACCTCAAAATTGACTTTCTCACCGAGACGTCTTGGAGTACTGATGTTTGATAATAGCAATATATGATGCCCAGGATTGGGGAACCATGCGGAAAAAAAAACGATGAAGACTAGCTATATATTCTGACCCAAACTTGGGAAAATAATGCAAACTTTTACACATTGGGCGATAAACTTATACTGATAGAAACTTGATTCTTAACCGCCACAACTTGGCTGAAAATTTCACACCCTGCTGACAGTTGATATAAAATCAATTGACATTTGTTGGGTGCAAACTGTAAAAAGGTTTGCATGTTGGCAGTGTTCAAACCAAAGTGAGCGTACTAACTTAGAATTGGTTTATCATTATTGATCATTTTGGGGTAATTATATCTACTGCCCTATCGTAGGTTCCCCAAGACCATCACACAATCAGAGAACGATCACAAGGGTCGCAGACCATGTAGAGGCGGGATGGTCTGGATGGTTTGGATAGGTGGTAACCATACGTAACAATACATTGCTTGTTTTATCTTTCTTGCGGTTCGGTGGGTTTCAGTCGGTTGCCCGCATTCTGCCAATAAAAGATACACCCAACAGGAATCAATGAAACACCAAGTTGGAAATTCAGAATCGGTGGCAAAGTGGGAGATCATAAGCTTCACCCAATTAGACATCTCCATTTTTTGGGGACTTTGCATCACCTTCTGATTACTGTAAATTGGGAAGTTGCCCCATTCCATCCACTGGTTTCTCAATGTTGATCATCATGTTCCGAACGTGACAATAATTCTTTACTTTGCCCAATCTTCATCAAGACCACTAACATAATAGACCACTAACAAGGAACATTGTCACAAGATTATAGACCATATTATTAACATGATGTTACTATGAACATAACCCGATTATAGACCACTAACATCATGTGTCATATTGTGTCATATTTCCCGTTCAATTGCCATAACATTGGGGCACTATCCCCGATTTTTTAGAACACTGCTTCCGAAGGAGCTGCTGACCCGAACCAGTGCCCTGGTCTGCGAGGGCCCAACTTTCAACTGGTAAGTTGGTCGGGGAAAGCAACATGAATTGGGGATAGGGATGTTAACCAGGAAGAATGGAGATATACAGTAACCGGCAAAAACATGCAATATTTCTCACAATAGGGTACCACTAATCATCCAAGAAACATGGGGGGAATGTAAGCGGCAAAAAAATGAAACATATGTAAATAATGTCAGTGAAGCAACTGGTGAGTTGGTGAATTGGGTAGTCTAATCAAGTTTAATCTATAGTTTGTACCGTATTTCTTTGCCATTTTGGGATATACAATGTACCATGCAGCCTCTAGGAATGGCGGGGTATCCAAGATTCACCATGTGGATGCCGGTGGGTCAAGCCATTTAAGGCCCACAGACCATCGATGTTGGCATACGGCAACAAGTCATTCTACCTGGCAATTTTCAACCATACCATACCCAATTATCAGCACCCGGAAATGGATGGCGTGCACTGCAGAGATTTGCCATCGAAAAACCTGGGTGTTTCAATTAGGAAGATGAGATAAGATGAGATGTTCAATCACTGGATGTTTGATGAAAATGGCCTTCTTTGACTTGATCACCGGAAGGTAAATACCCACATCTTCATATTCTTGTTGGTCAGCCGCATTCTCGTCAGTCACATCGCGATGAATGATTGTTCGTTGCTACCACATCTTTGCTCCACAAATCCCGATGTTTCTTGGAAAGATCCACATTTCTTGTTGGTTAAATTCACAAATTCACAGTTCACTTCTTTTTAATTGTTGTAGGTAGGTCAAATCCTGATTTATTGAAGCGGAAAAATCCCGAGTCCCTGTTGGTCGCATTATCCATGCAGTGCCATGCTATAAACATGTTCTTAAACCCATCTACCTGTGGATTTATCCATGAAATAAACCCCAGTTTTTTGCAGAGTTAAGTCAGTCACAAACCAACAGAGACCGGGCATAAATCACATATAATTATCCCCAATGTGGTTTTTAAATCTCATTGTTTTGCTTCAAAAAAGCGCCGTTTGAGACACCTGTTTTTGAACGGGGGATGAACGACACCTCCACCGCCACAAGGCATCCGATGCCTCATGGGTCATGAGCTGCGAGTTGCAATGACTGCGACCAAGCCGGGAGAACGAAGCATCGTGGCAGCTCATCTGCAGTCGGCCAAGCGACTGGATGGCTACCTGAAAATAGGACCTGGCCTTTTTTTTCTTGCTATAAATATTGATATTTAAATGATATTTAGATACATGGGTTTGGAGTTCGATGCTTTTTTTTGATATGTTTTGATGATGTTGGAAAACATGTTGTTTTATTTGGGCTGGATTGTTGAGATTATCTTTGTGTTACTTTGGATGTTAGAACGTTGGATGGAGGGAATGATTTGGTGGAAATTGGATGATTTGTTGAGGGCTTTGTTGGATGATTTGGGGTGAATCCTGATTTGGGTAGCACCGGAGGAGAATGGTCACAGTCACAGTCCGGGTAGACACCTGTCCTTCTTGGCCATCCGATGAGGTAGTCTATCGATCAAATTTGAACCCCAACTTGCGTAGATTACCAACCCAATACAATTATATCATTACATGGATTATACCAAAATTCATAATATTCACAAGCTCTATTTTGCTTGAATTCGAGTTCGATTGGTACAGTCAGAATCTACGTCTTCGTGGGTAAACATATCACAAAACATTTGGGTCAACATGTTTTTTTCATGGGTTTCTATTGGCAGGCACCCAAATGAAACAGCAAACCTAAAATGATATGGGCGTTGATCAAAATGGGAGATCCCCTTAAAACCAGGGGGTTCAGTACTAAAATGCTCTGAAAAATTGGATGATTTGGGGGTAGCAGCACTTTAGGACAACCCCATATGTGGTAAACCCAATCGTAAACTATCTCCCCAAAATCTCCATTTCAGATGGGTGCTAGAAACCACCCCCAGGGTCCTGGTCGAAATTTTTTAAGTTGGGTTTACCACGGTAACGCCATGAATAAATATGTGGAGGGCGGGCCAGACCAGATTGGGCTCCGGAGGTAGTATGAAAATTATGAAATACCAGTTAACGTATATTTATATAAATGTAGTTACCGTAGTTGCATTGAAAAACACAGATTGAAATGGGATGATGATCCCCAATGACGAGCATATTCTTCAGGTGGTTCAACCACCACTCAGTGTGCCCATTGTATTTCCCATTCCGCCAGAAACATCCAGAAACTCTATTCCATCAATATCACTATTCTTGGACAATTTTAGTTTTTTGGGTGAAGATGTCTATTAAAAACACATTGTTTTGGTTATTTGGTTGTTGTTTCCCTGCAGTTGTGAATTTCCACTTTCCCATTGAGGAAATGCTGCACATCCTTGAGAAAGGTCCGCTCGCGGACGTCACGACATAGATGATGGGGTATAGGGTAGCTATCCCACAGTGACCAAACTTTTCGGGCGAATCATGATACTTCAGCCTAAGTTATGGACGTTTTTGTTCGTGACTCGCCACATAAAGCAAGGAAAAGGGCTTGGGAGATTGGCTCGCAGCCAAGCAAACAATCACTCGAACATTTGTCTCTAGTTCCATGGATTCTTCGCAGTAATTACATTTGAGACAGCACCAAATGAGGCATGGGCCGTAGCGTCAATGATGCCATAGTTGGGATGACGATTCTAGCCTCGTTTGCTGTTTGCTCAGTGGTTTGTAGCAACCCAAAATGAGATATGGTTCAGATCGTTGTCCAAATTATCAAGGATCCCTTCCAGCTGACACTCTGTTGATGCAGCAATCATATGGTGGTTGGGGATGGGTCATGATTCAGGCTCCCTAAGACAGCCCATTGAAGCAGCCAACCAGTCCACCAGTGAAGGTGCTCTGTAAAAACCATGACTATGATCCATCACTGTACAAAGTAGGATAAGCCTCAGCCAATAAATCTCGAATCCCGCAAGCAGACATTATTTATATATGTATATGGGATTATATGGATATGTATTATATGAATTTGTATTACAACTATAAACAAATGTAGTCTGTAAACAATATCATAGCATGATTAATGATCAATGATCATGACATCGTTTCCGTTCCGTTGCTACTCTACAAGTCTCCATGTTTGGAAGGGACATCCCTTGCAATCCTTTGCCTGGGCGCCAGGCATGCTGCCGATGTCTGTCTTTTGGCCCCATGCGCCCATCAAGAGACATCGCGAAAGAGATCAGGCGGGGCTTAGCGGCTTAAAGCTTCCGAGATGTGGGTAATATATAATATTATATAATATATGATAAAACGTGGATAATATGATATTAGTATAGGGATAACATGATAACATTAGATAACCTATGATAACATGTTTGTTTATGATATGGAACATTCTTGCATACTTGATAAGGAATATATTAATGATTCATAAATCATCGGGTGTAGAGGTGCCCTATGTTAAGACAGACCTATACACATATCTATATAGCTCTCTCTCTCTCTCTGTATATATATATATACACACCTGTATATATATATATACATATATATATATATACACATATCTATATGTGTATGTGTATATATTTATATATATACATATTTTTATACGAGTTACTAGTTTACTAGAACGGCCAAAGCCATAACATGGGTCCACCAGGAGTGCAGTCCGGTCCAGGCGCGCCGTGAGATCCACGAGATGATCAAACCCATTTTGCCGGGGACTTCAGCGAAAGCAACGCGGGACTTACCCTCTGGTTATGACTAACATAGCCATGGTATAGATGGCCTGTTTATAGATGGTTTACCTGGGTTTACCTATTAAAAAATGGTGATTTTCCATGGCTATGTTAAATAACCAAATGGTAACTTGCCCAACGAAAATATGAACATATGATAACATATGGATGTGGGTCAAAATGGAAGACCAATGTCGGACCACAGATGTGAATGTCTAGTTTAGTATTAATAATCCAATTATTGGGGTACCTAATTTTGACCCATACCCATATATGAACATATAGAGATGTATCTCACCAAACATGTTTTAGCCAACGAAATCGTGGTTGAACAAACGTAAAATTCTGTCTTAATGAACAAACAGAGACTTAACCAACAACATTACGATCTTGCCGCTTAAAGTGGGAACTCACGAGAATAGGCTTCAGAAATAATGCACATTGATCGTTTTGCTCAACCATTGTTGATTTTACATAATGTGAAACATGGACATTCAAACAGGGATATACATAACCAGCACCGTACTAGCTAATTGATTCTTGCTCCAATTTTTTAGCGGCAATGATTGTCTAAGAAGCAGACCCAGTAGGAGTTCTCCCGTTTGAAGTTGAGAATCGCACAGATAAGCCACTATTAAGGCATTTGAATGTTTCAAAGCAAATTTAACCTTAACATTGAATGTTAACTAGTTTTAAATAGAATGGGCTAACGCCCTGGTGCCGCCGACCCCTTTTCAAGGGTGGAGGAAGAAGTATAGCCACTCAAGAAGCCCAGCAAACGCCTAGGCCTAAACATTGTTAAACGCGCCCTTGCAATGGTGACCAAGTCTGTAACCACTGCTGGAATTGCCCCATTCCCCGGGGAAGCATCAGCAAAGCAGTACAGCGGGTAGCGGCAACGCAGGCGAAAGTCGTGAGGAGGGCAGCGGAAGAAAAAGCGGCACGCGCCCTTGCCGATGTCTGGGATGCCATCGCGAAACGAAAACGCAACAGAGAACAGGAGAGCTCCCAAATGAAGGACGCAGAGCCGAAGGCAAAACATCCCGAACAAGAGAACCGAACAGAAACGAGCAAACACGGGCCTGAAGATGTACGTGGCCAACGGGAAGACAGCGACGGAAGGCAGAGGGCGGTGCGGGCGACGACTGATGTCGCGGCTGCCAGCGTGGAACGAAAAAGGAAAACAGAACAGGACACCGCCCAAACGCAGGAAGCCCCGCCGGACGCAAAGCAACGTAGAGAAGACGGCGGAACAGAAAGAAGCACAGACAGGCAGGCAGAAATGAGCTGCAAGCAGCAGAGCAAGGGCAGTGCGACGGAGACGTCGGGGGAAGGCAAGAGTTTCCAATATGTTTGTCCCGCTTGCCAAAAGTCTGTGAGGAGCAGTATACGCACGGGCCAAGTAGATCACCGGCGCGCATGTGGTAACCGTTTCCAGGTGTGGGATGCGCAGGTCGTTGCGAAAGGATATGTGTATATTTGCCCTGCTTGCAAAGGGAATGTGTCTAGTGACGTCAAGACAGGGCAAATAGACCATCGAACGGTCTGTGGGAAGCAGTTTTCTGTCAAGGACGGCGTTGTGCAGGAAGAAGCGTATGTTTACATTTGCCCCGCTTGCAAAGGGAATGTGGCCAGTGACGTCAAGACAGGGAAAATAGACCATCGAACGGTCTGTGGGAACCAGTTTTCTGTAAAGGACGGCGTTGTGCAGGAAAAAGCGTATGTTTACATTTGCCCCGCTTGCAAAGGGAATGTGGCCAGTGACGTCAAGACAGGGAAAATAGACCATCGAATTGGTCTGTGGGAACCAGTTTTCAGTCAAGGACGGTGTTGTGCAGGAAAAAGCGTATGTTTACATTTGCCCCGCTTGCAAAGGGAATGTGGCCAGTGACGTCAAGACAGGGAAAATAGACCATCGAACGGTCTGTGGGAACCAGTTTTCAGTCAAGGACGGCGTTGTGCAGGAAAAAGCGTATGTTTACATTTGCCCCGCTTGCAAAGGGAATGTGGCCAGTGATGTCAAGACAGGGCAAATAGACCATCGAACGGTCTGTGGGAACCAGTTTTCTGTGAGGGACGGCGTTGTGAAGGAGAAAGCGTATGTTTACATTTGCCCCGCTTGCAAAGGGAATGTGGCCAGTGACGTGAAGACAGGGCAAGTAGACCATCGAAGGGTCTGTGGGAAGCAGTTTTCTGTCAAGGACGGCGTTGTGAAAGAGAAAGGTGGTAAACGGCAAGCTGGAACGCCGAGAAGAAGCTATTGATCTGGCTTTGGGGTATCGTTTGAATTGTGTAAATGCTGGCAAACGGCAACCTTGGACGCCTAAGAGAATTGATGTGTGGCCTTGGGGTGCCTGTTGGCTGCAGGATGAAGCATGCCAAGGGATTGTTTAAGCGGCCCATAAGAAGCCATTGATGTGTGGCCTCGGGGTGGCTGTTGGCTGCAGGATGAAGCATGCCAAGTCAGCGTTTTAAGGTTTTTAAGGGTTTGGAGGGTTTTAAGGGTTTAAGGGCTGGCAAACGGCAGGCTTGGACGCCCATAAGAAGCCATTGATGTGTGGCCTTGGGGTGCCTGTTGGCTGCAGGATGAAGCATGCCAAGGGATTGTTTAAGCGGCCCATAAGAAGCCATTGATGTGTGGCCTCGGGGTGGCTGTTGGCTGCAGGATGAAGCATGCCAAGTCAGCGTTTTAAGGGTTTTAAGGGTTTGAAGCGTTTGGAGGGTTTTTTTAAGGGTTTAAGGGCTGGCAAACGGCAGGCTTGGACGCCCATAAGAAGCCATTGATGTGTGGCCTTGGGGTGCCTGTTGCTGCAGGATGAAGCATGCCAAGGGATTGTTTAAGCGGCCCATAAGAAGCCATTGATGTGTGGCCTTGGGGTGCCTGTTGGCTGCAGGATGAAGCATGCCAAGGGATTGTTTAAGCGGCCCATAAGAAGCCATTGATGTGTGGCCTTGGGGGGCTGTTGGCTGCAGGATGAAAAGCATGCCAAGTACGTTTTAAGGGTTTTGAAGCGTTTGGAGCTTTGGAGGGTTTTAAGGGTTTAAGGGCTGGCAAACGGCAGGCTTGGACGCCCATAAGAAGCCATTGATGTGTGGGTGCCTGTTGGCTGCAGGATGAAGCATGCCAAGGATTGTTTTAAGCGGCCCATAAGAAGCCATTGATGTGTGGCCTCGGGGTGGCTGTTGGCTGCAGGATGAAGCATGCCAAGTCAGCGTTTTAAGGGTTTTAAGGGTTTGAAGCGTTTGAAGGGTTTTAAGGGTTTGGAGGGTTTTAAGGGTCTAAGGGCAAACGGCAGGCTTGGACGCCCATAAGAAGCCATTGATGTGTGGCCTTGGGGTGCCTGTTGGCTGCAGGATAAGCATGCCAGGGAATTGTTTAGCGGCCATAGAATCCATTGATGTGTCGGCCTCGGGTGGCTGTTGCTGCAGGATGAGCATGCCAAGTCAGCGTTTTAAGGGTCTTAAGGTTTTTAAGGGTTTGGAGGGTTTTAAGGGTTTAAGGGCTGGCAAACGGCAGGCTTGGACGCCCATAAGAAGCCATTGATGTGTGGCCTTGGGGTGGCTGTTGGCTGCAGGATGAAGCATGCCAAGTGAGCGTTTTAAGGGTTTTAAGGGTTTTAAGGGTTTTAAGCGTTTGGAGGGTTTTAAGGGTTTAAGGGCTGGCAAGCGGCAGGCTTGGACGCCCATAAGAAGCCATTGATGTGTGGCCTTGGGGTGCTTGTTGGCTGCAGGATGAAGCATGCCAAGTCAGCGGTTTAAGGGTTTTAAGGTTTTTAAGGGTTTGGAGGGTTTGGAGGGTTTTAAGGGTTTAAGGGCTGGCAAACGGCAGGCTTGGACGCCCATAAGAAGCCATTGATGTGTGGCCTTGGGGTGCCTGTTGGCTGCAGGATGAAGCATGCCAAGGGATTGTTTAAGCGGCCCATAAGAAGCCATTGATGTGTGGCCTTGGGGTGGCTGTTGGCTGCAGGATGAAGCATGCCAAGTAAGCGTTTTAAGGGTTTTAAGGGTTTTAAGCGTTTGGAGGGTTTTAAGGTTTTTAAGGGCTGGCAAACGGCAGGCTTGGACGCCCATAAGAAGCCATTGATGTGTGGCCTTGGGGTGCCTGTTGGCTGCAGGATGAAGCATGCAAAGGGATTGTTTAAGCGGCCCATAAGAAGCCATTGATGTGTGGCCTTGGGGTGCCTGTTGGCTGCAGGTTGAAGCATGCCAAGGGATTGTTTAAGCGGCCCATAAGAAGCCATTGATGTGTGGCCTTGGGGTGGCTGTTGGCTGCAGGATGAAGCATGCCAAGCAAGCGTTTTAAGGGTTTTAAGGGTTTTAAGTGTTTGGAAGGTTTTAAGGGTTTAAGGGCTGGCAAGCGGCAGGCTTGGACGCCCATAAGAAGCCATTGATGTGTGGCCTTGGGGTGCCTGTTGGCTGCAGGATGAAGCATGCCAAGGGATTGTTTAAGCGGCCCATAAGAAGCCATTGATGTGTGGGCTTGGGGTGCCTGTTCATTCCAAGTCAGCGTTTTAAGGGTTTTAAGGTTTTTAAGGGTTTGGAGGGTTTGGAGGGTAAAGGGCTGGCAAACGGCAGGCTTGGACGCCCATAAGAAGCCATTGATGTGTGGCCTTGGGGTGCCTGTTGGCTGCAGGATGAAGCATGCCAAGGGATTGTTTAAGCGGCCCAGAAGAAGCCATTGATGTGTGGCCTCGGGGTGGCTGTTGGCTGCAGGATGAAGCATGCCAAGTCAGCGTTTTAAGGGTTTTAAGGGTTTTAAGGGTTTGGAGGGTTTTAAGGGTTTAAGGGCTGGCAAACGGCAGGCTTGGACGCCCATAAGAAGCCATTGATGTGTGGCCTTGGGGTGCCTGTTGGCTGCACGATGAAGCATGCCAAGGGATTGTTTAAGCGGCCCATAAGAAGCCATTGATGTGTGGCCTCGGGGTGGCTGTTGGCTGCAGGATGAAGCATGCCAAGTCAGCGTTTTAAGGGTTTTAAGGTTTTTAAGGGTTTGGAGGGTTTGGAGGGTTTTAAGGGTTTAAGGGCTGGCAAACGGCAGGCTTGGACGCCCATAAGAAGCCATTGATGTGTGGCCTTGGGGTGCCTGTTGGCTGCAGGTTGAAGCATGCCAAGGGATTGTTTAAGCGGCCCATAAGAAGCCATTGATGTGTGGCCTTGGGGTGCCTGTTCATGCCAAGTCAGCGTTTTAAGGGTTTTAAGGTTTTTAAGGGTTTGAAGTGTTTGGAGGGTTTGGAGGGTTTTAAGGGTTTAAGGGCTGGCAAACGTGTAATTTTCATGTCCAAATGCCTGGAAGTCTTAACTGGAGGACGAAGCATGCCAGGAAAATGTTTACGCGATGTGGCCTTGGGGCAGCTTGCTGGCTGCGAGATGGGTTTGACCTTGGAAAGCGAAGAAGGAGAAGTTCCACACCTGCGGTGGTCCCAGGCGCCGCCCCTGCCTTGGCCAAGGCCGGGGTCGGCGGATATGTGATGTGGATACAATTTTGCAGCATCAAAACTATAATTGCCAATTTTACCATTTGTATGTGGTGGTAGAAGGTTCATGTTCTAAGCAAATTGATCATCGGCTGGCGGTCATGTGTTTCTTGCAGGGTAGAGATAGTTCCACTATCATCCAATTGTTTTAAGGATTCAGACTAAGTTGGGATTTTATTTTCGTAGCGTTTTCAAGCTTGACCATGATTGAATTCTTGGCAAATCACCCCCCAAAAGAAGTCTAGAATTACCCTTCTGGTTATTTAACATAGCCATGTAAAGATCCACCATGCTATTAAGTTCGGTAAACCATCTATTTCGACTAGGGCCATGGCTCTACCATGGCGAACTGTTAGTCATAACCATTTTGGGTAGTTGGTGGTTTAATGTCCCATCCTTTTTCGGGATGTCATATGACCGTTCAAAGCACCAAGCCGTCATGAAACAGTGACCAGTGAAATATATGCATATGGGTTATATTCATCACTAACTTCACAAACATTGAACAATATGAACAATCAATCAACAATTTTGCAAAAATTCCAAATAAATCGTGCACTATAAACTAGAGCAAACCCATAATATGGACTATGAACCATCCATTGTATGAACCATGACAGGTAATTGTATACATATATATATATATACATATGTGTGTGATGTATATATGGTTTATGGTCAAAATATCAACCATCACTAGCTCATATGGACTATTAACAATGAACCTAATCTTTATTGGATGTGAATATCCACTTTTTTCAGTGCTCAACCGAGGGACCAGCGACGCGCGAAAGCTGTTGCTTGGCTGGTACAGAGAAGCCTTCATATGGTGGGCTCTCTCTCTCTCTATATATATATATATATATATCAAAAATGTTCATTTGCAACATACAAGGTGAGGCCTCCTAGATAACAAAAGTTGAGTTATAACAAACGGTAGATTGTTTGGTTTATCAGGGATATACCTTTTTTTAATCTCCTTTTTGGCTATAGTTTTCATGGAGCGGAAATAAACCAAGCCGGGGAAACCTAGGAACAAATTGGAACCCTCCAGATATGCCCTGGCAGGATATGTAAATATTGTGTATGATGATCTGGTTGGTGGTTTCAAACATGGTTTTTATATATTCCATAATATATATTTAATATATGGGATGTCATCCTTCCCATTGACGAACTCATATTTTTCGAGATGGTTATTGCACCACCAACCAGTATATATACAGTATACACATACATCAAGACATGTACAAACAGCCAACTTTAGGTACCATGCCTGTTTGCCAAGGACAAAACAGAGAAGGACTTTATGCAGTCCGTTCTGTTGCTCGGCAAGAGAATGCTTTCTGAAATCAGCCGTGAACAGCTCTCATAAGAACTAAGAACCGCACGTCAACCATGTTCGCCATCCCCCAAAGTTGATTCTTTCGCTCAACTTCACGAGCATGTTCCTTTTTGTTGGTTACAGATTATTGCGTTTAGACATGCACATCATGATTTTACCCAGCAAACATAGGCCATAGGCATCTACTACCTAGTAGCTCTCAATACGACGGACATTTTGAATCACTCTTGCACAAGTCTTCAAACATGCAGCACAGGCATCGTACTGGTTGTGGTTTAACTCATGTGTATACTGTATATATATATAATAATTTAACTCACGCATACATATAATATAACTATATATATATACATATTATGTACATATATAACGCTTATATGACTGGGGCTATTCCCACTGTATATGTATATATATATTACTAGCCAGTTTCATAGTTATTACCCGCCTACAAAGTGGCTCTGGGTCACGCGCATCCAATTAATAGGCATGTCACTATGTCCAATCGATCATGGGTTGTCAAACTATGTCATGTCTAACCACTTCCCCTGCAAAGGTGTCAACAGTAGATGGTAAGCTTCACCCCGATTTTTATTGTTGTATATTGTTGTTGCTGCTGCTCACTTTAAGCCCTCAATAGACCCTTCTTGAGTTCAATCCTAATTGTTGATGCCTATTTGATCCAGGATTGCTATGATTCAGTGTAATATGCAGCTTGATGGCTATGATTTAGAAACACATGTGTTGTGAATAGCGGCAAGATTAGACTAGATTTAATTAGGACAAAACCACACTCAAATGATTACCTTTGAGAGACAGTCAAAGCTACATCAGTTCGAAGATTTTGAATGGATTTTAATTCACTGTTTTAAGGACTTCTGAAGAAGACAAGACAATGCGATGGTCGGACCAGCTACCAATATTCATCAATCTGGGTAAATTATAACGACCTCACTGTTCTCCCTCACTGGAATCATGGTTAGTAAGGGAAATCATCCCCTTTTATGGCCTTAATTCAGGTTAGTGAAATATTATAATTTACCCAGAATATTCAACCTCCAAGCTTTTACCACGGAAAACTCCATGGTTCCACCATGCTTTCCACCGAGTTCCGTTTCGTGCTTCAACCGAGTTCCAGGAACTCCAGCTATCCGGACGGCCGAGCCATCACGGATGAGGAGATCGTGGGCTTTTTGATCGCTGCCTTCTTCGGGGGAGCCTTGGAGGCATCGGATTCCATGCGGGAGAACTATGGAGAACTGGGGATTACCATAGTTATGTTATTGTTATGTTAGTGAATAAACAGCTGAATGGTTTCACTAATGGATTACCATATTGTTATGTTAGTGAACTTGGAAGCTGAATTCAAAATCCTCATTGATTCTACGTTTTTTTTTTAAAACAAAAATCCACTGTTCAGTCGTGCCACACAATGACCAGATGACCCGGATCTAAGGAATGCACAACAGCGCCATCACCACTTCTTGGTCGACGCAGCTCAACAGACAATTGGGTGATGCTGCGCCCAGTATCAAATAACAGTATTAGCTGCATATAGAGATGTAGCCAGAGTTTTTGTTTGAATAGAGATGTATGTTCAGTTTTACAACTGTTCAACTTTGATTCAATCCAACATGCTGCATATTGTGAAACAGCCATTCAACGCGATGATAGAAGAATCATGATGGTGTTTGTGACGGGCCAGTGGGAATTTGTGGCTGATGCCCTTTTCTACTTTACTTCATTGGCTCATTGGTAGGGACTCATGGCTTTCCACTTGAAACTCACATGCCACATGTGTTCTTGCTGGGGGAAAAAGAAACCATGACAGTTTCACTGTCACAGGTTGGTGATTCACTATAATTTACGATTTAGCCAGATAGTTGTTGCATGTTGTTGCTATTTCACGGTGTCTTCCAATCTACATATAAATATATATAATTATATATATATATAATATATATATATATATGTATTAAGTTATGTGAATTCAGTCTGTTAACTCTCCTAATATGTTTTGCTAAATTTACCCTCCCAGTATGTTGAGGTCAAACAACACACTGTTTTCTTAGGACAAGATCATTGTTGAAGTCACTCATCCAGTATTTGTCAGGTTAAAGTCACTGTGTTTCCGAGGTCAACCGGTCAACCACTCAAGCGTCATGGCCATGATACCCATCCTTTGATCATAACTTTTCCATCGAACGCATTGTAATTTATGATAACTATCTTACTTTTTTGATATGATTAAACAATATTAAACATATCTCCAGACATCCAAAAAACAACCGAAAAAAAAACATGTTGCCTTAAAATCTCACCCGAAAAGGAAATGATTGGATTCCCACAGCATTGTTTTTGTGATTCCCTACTTAGGGGTGCATCCCGGTTAGTAAGAGGGTAGTAACCATATGATAGTTCCCGATAGTCCCTGTTGACAATGTTAATGTACTTATTAGTTATCTAATCCCCCTAGTATTGTGCAATATTGTGAATGGCCCAAATATATCCAAATATGTGTAGATCCCCTTTTACACCATGGTTTACAGATGTTTACAGAGGCTGTTCAATATGAACGGGGATAGAATTCATATGGATTAATCGTTTAATCCCCATGAAAATTCAATGAAGCAATAGTGCTGAAATGGTTTATCAATTCTTAATTCAAAGACTCAATTAATATCAAATCATATTTCAGAATGGATCATTTATCATTTAATGTTATTAATGGATAATGGATCATTTCTCATCTAATCCCCACCATATTTTTTTGGTGCTCTTTTGCTTTGAGTCCAGTCGTTAAACCGAAGGTTGGAAGTCTTTAGCCGCCCCGAGCTCGTTCAAGAGCTTCTGGAGGAGCAACGCCAGGCGCCTGTGGTAAAACCATAGCCACGGCGCATGATATCTCCATGATATTCCCAAATAGAACCAGCGAATTCCAATCATTCCAATCATATACCAGGTATGTAATAGGATACATAATGATATAATATCTGTATATGACCTATATATATATATGTATATATATAATATATATAATATATATAATATATATAATATATATATAATATATATATATACAATGATATACTATACCCATGTTAATCCCCAAAATACAACCATAGTGCTATCACAGTGACAAGTCCGTGTTAACTTGCCGCAGGCCTTGGGCAGCGACACGGAGCCCTTCACCTTCGCGGCCTACGAGAAGATGAAAAAGTGCCATGGCCATGGAGCAACTTTTTCACCAGCAACATTTGAGATTTAACCAACAGAAATTTGGACTTTTTTTTAAGCAACAAATTTGGGGAAATTTATAAAGTGATTTTCTAGGGTTTAACCAAGAGTTTGAAGAGTTTGCTATGAGAAATGGTCCATGATTTTGGATGATTTATGATGATTTAGCTAGTAAAAATGGTGATTGTCCTTGGCTATACGTTAAATAACCAGAGGGTAACCAACAAATTGGGATTCAACCAACAAATTGGGATTTAACATGATTTAGCTGACTGAAATGGTGATTTAACCAGCCAAACTTGGGATTTAACTATCTTAACCAGCAAAAAGCGAGGATTTAGCTCGTTGGGACCCCAGCTGACAGTCCAGTGCAACCTGGATTTTTTCAAGTTGCAACTGGGGATAGGTCGAGATTTAGCAAATTCCCAAGGAAAAATCGGGGAAGAAGAATGGTTGGGTTTGTTGCTACAAACAACCCAGTCAAGATAGTCAAGAAGCGATTTTGAGCTACTAGCAGCTACTAGCCTTCTTAATGGGCCAGTTTCTGGTGCATATCAGGTTCTATGCTTACCTGGAACCAAAGTCAGTAACAAAAAAGTCTGGACAACCCGCCATTTTGTGGGTCAAATATGGTCACATCTAGCGAAATTTTCCATTTAAAAGTACATAAATAATTTTCCCTGTTTGTTTTCGTATGCCCATGAATTTTAAGAACCTCTAGTTATCCCTTGTTATTATATGCCTTCTATTGTACCCCTGGATATATATTTTGATGGTTTGGAGTCAAAACCAAAGGGTGACGCGCCACTTCCCATGTTCTGACCAGGTTGCGGGCTGCCGTGAGCGAAGTTCTCCGGATGTCCCTGGGGTCAAAATCAGCAGCGTGATGGGTCTGTGGAAAAACATTGGCAAAGTAAACTCTGGTAAATTGCAGGTTTCATGGATGATTGCCTTTTTTTTATTTGATGGGAAGAAATAGACTGACTAAGCAGCTACAATATGACGTGCTTGCAGGGTATCTAAGCTTATCCATGTTTTTCAGACACTCCTTGGAAAACAATGACAAATCAAGGATAATTCGCGACTTTGTACTAATTATACTGTACCCTCTGGTAAACTAACATAACTATGGAAAATCACAATTTTAATGGAAAAATCCACTATAAATTGTCATTTTCAATAGCTATGTTAAATTACCAGAGGGTACTGTATTGCAAACATGTCCTTTTAAGATTGCCGTTTTTGGGTTGGGGACCATATCTATGCATAAAATAAAGCAGGATTTGTATTTATCTATACACATTTGATGGTGCTTTGGGAGATTGTATTTCAATTTCTATGAGATCTATCACTCTGCATTCTACACAATTGCAGCAATTATCTAGTAGAAAGGACTGTCACAATATTTTTCAGCTCTGCTCGCTAGATTTGGTTATGTTCCAGAAGCTAGGGCCTGGGACTGAAAGTTGATGATTAGTTAGAGTTAGTTATTCCATATCTTTGAATGTCCTGATTTGTGTTCCGTTAACACTTCTTTTGATGGTAGTTTTTCTAGGTGGAGCCATTTGCACATAGTCCTTTTTTACCATGCTCGATGAATTTGTTATCACTTGTTTTTTCTTCTTGTGTGTGTGAGTGTCACCATCAGCAATTAGACAATTCTCTTTACAATTCTTAATTCCTTTAAACATTACTCATCAATGTGTTCGTATGACATTATGATATTATGTATATATATATATATACATACCATACGTAGTTATATAATGTTATATATATACATATTATACAACTTACCGACCAGTTTCCAACAGTTACCAACCGTTTGCCAACCATTATTTATCCATTTATCCATTTATCCATACAATTTTTCTGAGGCATGCTCCTCTCTTCCTTTTGATGAGAACGGTGGAGCAGGACGTTGACTTCAAGGTGCTGGCGGCTCAACTGTGGCTGTTGCTGGTAGTAACATCCTAGAATAGTGGTAGATTACGGTAAATGACGTGTCTACCTGTTTGGGGTGTAGTATTATATTGTTTTGTCTGTCTCAACCGGAGAAAGAAGGAACAGATTGTATATTTTCTGTTTTCCTCAAATAGATTTAACTCAAGACTAATATGTTGGCAGTTTTGTCATGTTCTTGGCCGACTTTTAGCCATGTTGGGGCTAGAATTGTAGGTTTTGGTTTTATCAGTTGCATGTACTTATATGGCCGTTTTTTTTTTTAAGAACCCGGTATGAAAGATTGAAATATGCTTCCCTCGTAAAAAGGGCTGAACGGGAACCTAACATTTCAATCTTTCATACCGGGTTCTTCAAAAAAAACAGCCATCCACATGAAACCACAGAGATACTTTGCTTACCCCCGCAACGGTCGGGGGTTCGCATGTACACGAGAAATAAAGATCGCATGTACACGCGAACGACTTAGGGGAGAAAATCGCATGTACACGTGGAAGATCGCAACTACACGCGAAGAGGCAATGTCTCTTTTTTCCTTGTAAAAACCAATGAAAATAGAGACTTGTGGTATATGTGACGTTTCTATCTGCAACCATGCGTGGAAGTTGGTGGAAGCAGGCTATCTTTTGGCCAAGATCGCAACCACACGCGAATAGGAAACGTCTTGAATGTAAGTTATCTCTCTATCTATGTATCTATGTATCTATCTATCTATCTATCTATCTGGCTAGCTAGTGAGCTATCTATCTATGTATCTATCTATCTATCTATCTATCTGGCTAGCTAGCCATCTATCTATCTATCATTATCTATCTATCATTTATCTATCTTTTTTTCTTCTATCTATCTATCTATCTTTCTATCTATCTATCTATCTATCTATCTATCTATCTGTGTATCTATCTATCTATCTATCTATCTCTATCTATCTATCTATCTATCTCTATCTATCTATCTATCTATGTATCTATCTTTGTATCTATCTATCTATCTATCTATCTATCTATGTATCTATCTTTGTATCTATCTATCTATCTTTCTATCTATCTGTCTAGCTATTGATCTTTCCTTCTATCTATCTATCTATCTAGCTATCTTTCTATCTATCTGTCTAGCTATTGATCTTTCTATCTTTCTATCTATCTAGCTATCGTTCGATCTATCTGTAAAATAAATTGAATTGCAATTCAAAACAGTCCAATTTCTAATAATTTGAATCTCAAAGCAGTTAATTCCGATATCAATTGAACTTCAATTCATTTGCATCGGAATACATTGAAATTCAGTTCACTTGAATTTCAACCCTGTTGAATCTCACATCAGTTGAATTTCGCACTTTATTCCTATAGGTTGCGTATCTTTGGAAACTTCCGCCTTCGCCGCGTGCCTTAGATATTTTATAGTTGTAACACCATACTAGAAAATCATTACAGCATCCCATACCGGAGTAGCGTCTTTGAGGTCACTCCTGGGAACCAACATGTTTGAATTTCTCCATTCATACGTGAGTCGTTTTGTATCGACGAATACTCTTTTGCGAAAGTACCATTGAAGCGGCCAGCAGCATGTTTGAGAGTGCTTTTTGGATTGTCAGCTTCGACATGTATCTATCTTGCTACTGAAGATGAAGCAGCTCAAGCGGCCGGCGGCGCAAAGGCCCCCGGCTGAATTGCCCCAAGTGTTTGAACAAAGACACACGGGGCGGGTATGGTCCTATGAGAACATCACCGAAGCAGTCCGTAGTTGGGCGCGTGGCTCTGGTGAGAAGCCTGTGGAGATCGCTGGAATTGTCAGGCTGCCCGCGCTACGCACTCGGAGCCGTTCCCAGGGCAGCACTATCTGGCATCGACTCTGGCTGCGGTTGCGACATCTCCGCAGGTTATTTGAGTGTTGGGAAGCACTTGACAATAGGCGCTTTTTTGAACAGGTTGTATCAAACGATGAATAAATAATGACTTGAAACTGATTTGATCTAAAGCCCACCTCATCACTTTCGAGCGTCGTGCTGTCGCCATCCAACACCTATCCAACCTACACATGTTTTGTGTCCTGCTTGTATTTCGATGCATCAAACCCAGTAGATTCACACCTATAGAGTGCGCAGGTGTCGCCTCGGGGACAGAAGCGCCGTTACTCAACGATCAGTTTTCGCATTCCATGAGTAGTGCGCCGATAGCTCGCCTCGCCGGCATCCGTGAAAGTTCAGGAATGCTAGAACACCAAGCAAGCATGGTGTGTATATCGATGTCATAGCAACATTCAGATTGTTTTCTTTTGTTAGTTGAGGCATTTTGAGGTGATTTTGGCCGTAGCCAAGATTTTTTGTCGCTGGCATTCGCAAATTAAGGCAGCACTGATAGAGAACTCGATGGATCTCACGTTTCGCTTTTTGGTGTCATCGCTAGTATTCTAACCGGCACTGGCACGGTTTTTGTTGGAATCTCTGAAGACCAAACATAGTTCTAGCAGTGTGTAGCTTCAGTGCATGATCCAAATGGATGCAACTCTTGCATAAACACCTACATTTTGACTAGTTCCGATTACTAATATTTATTGTCTGTGAGTGATATGATTTTAGAGTTAAAGACGCAGATAGAAACATATGTAGGTTTTTGAAGGATATATATCTCTATATATATATATATATACACATACATTGTATACCACGGCCTCGTGGACTGCAGGGAGCAAGTCCAAATAAAGAAATACATTGTAGACCATTGCTCTGTGGAACGCATGGCGGAGGAAGTCAAAATGAAGAAGTCGAATGAAAACCATTGAATGGTGGAGCGCACGGGGGGAAGTTTAAATAAAGAAGCCGAATGGAGACAATGGTTTAGTGGAACGCAGGGGGGGGAAGTTTAGATAAAGGAGTAGAATGGAGACAATGGTTTAGTGGAATGCAGGGGGGGGAAGTTTAAGCAAAGAAGTAGATTGGAGACAATGGTTTTGTGGAACGCAGGGGCGGGGGGGGGAAAGTTTAATTAAAGACGTAGAATGAGGACAAAATTGGTTTAGTGGAACGGCCAGCGGGGGGGAAAGTTTTAAAATAAAGAAATAGAATGGAGACAATAATTTAGTGGAACGCAGGGGGGGGGAAGTTTAAATAAAGAAGTAGAATGGAGACAATGGTTTAGTGGAACGCAGGGGGGGAAGTTTAAATAAGTAGAATGGAGACACTAGTTTAGTGGAACCCGGGGGGTGAAGTTTAAATAGAGAAGTAGAATGGAGACAATGGTTTGGTGGAACGCAGGGGGGGGAAGTTTAAATAATGAAGTAGAATGGAGACAATGGTTTGGTGGAAGGCAGGGGGGGAAGTTTAAATAAAGAAGTAGAATGGAGACAATGGTTTGGTGGAACGCAGGGGGGAGAACTTTAAATAAAGAAGTAGAATGGAGACAATGGTTTGGTGGAAAGCAGGGGGGGAAGTTTAAGCAAAGAAGTAGAATGGAGACAATGGTTTAGTGGAACGCAGGGGGGGAGGAAGTTTAAATAAAGATGTAGAATGGAGACAGTGGTTTGGTGGAAGGCAGGGGGGGGGAAGTTTAGATAAAGGAGTAGAATGGAGACAATGGTTTAGTGGAATGCAGGGGGGGAAGTTTAAGCAAAGAAGTAGATTGGAGACAATGGTTTTGCGGAACGCAGGGGGAAAGTTTAAATAAAGAAGTAGAATGGAGACAATGTTTTAGTGGAATGCAGGGGTGGGGAAGTTTCAAGTTTAGATACAGAAGTAGAATGGAGACAATGCGTTTTGGGAAAGAAGGGGGGGGGAAGGGAAGTTTAAATAAAAAGTTAGATGGAGACAATGGTTTTTTAGTGGAGGAACGCAGGGGGGGGAAGTTTGTTTTTAAATAAATAAAGAAGTAGAATGGAGACAATAGTTTGGTGGAACGCAGGTGTGGGGAAGTTTAAATAAAGAAGTAGAATGGAGACAATCGTTTGGTGGAACGCAGGGGGGGAGGAAGTTTAAATAAAGAAGTAGAATGGAGACAATGGTTTGGTGGAAGGCAGGGGGGGGGAAGTTTAAATAAAGAAGTAGAATGGAGACAATGGTTGAGCGGAACGCAGGGGGGGGAAGTTGAAATAAAGCAGTAGAATAAAGAAGTAGAATGAAGACAATGGTTTGGTGGAACGCAGGGGTGGGAAGTTTAAATAAAGAAGTAGAATGGAGACAATGGTTTAGTGGAACGCAGGGGGAAGGAAGTTTAAATTAAGAAGTAGAAAGGAGACAATGGTTTAGTGGAACGCAGGGGGGGGAAGTTTAAATAAAGAAGTAGAATGGAGACAATGGTATAGTGGAACGCAGGGGGGAGGAAGTTAAAATAAAGAAGTAGAATGGAGACAATGGTTTAGTGGAACGCTGGGGGGGGAAGTTGAAATAAAGAAGTAGAATGGAGACAATGGTTTAGTGGAACGCAGGGGGGGAAGTTTAAATAAAGAAGTATAATGGAGACGGTATAGTGGAACGCAGGGGGGGAAGTTTAAATAAAGAAGTAGAATGGAGGAAACATGGTTTTGTGAACGCAGGGGGGGAACAAGTTTAAATAAAGATTGTCGAATGGAGACAATGGTGAGCGGAAACGCAGGGGGGGAGTTTCTTAAATAACGACGTAGAATGGCGACAATGGTTTGTGGAACGGGGGGGGGAACGTTTAAATAAAGAAGTGGAATGGAGGGACAATGGTTAGGGACCGCAGGGGGGGGGAAGTTTTAAATAAAGAAGTAGAATGGGAAGAAAATGGTTTAGTGGAACGCAGGGGGGGGAAGTTTTTTTAAATAAAGAGAAGGGTAGAAGTAGAATGGAGGACAATGTTTGGGGGAAACGCAAGGTGTGGGGAAAATGGGGAAATTTAAATAAAGAAGTAGCATGGAGACAGGAGTTTGGTGGAACGCAGGGGGGGGAAGTTTAAATAAAGAAGTAGAATGGAGACAATGGTTTAGTGGAACGGAGGGGGGGTAAAGTTTAAATAAAGAAGTATAATGGAGACAATGGTTTGGTGGAACGCAGGGGGGGAAGTTTAAATAAAGAAGTAGAATGGAGACCATGGTTTGGTGGAACGCAGGGGGGGAAATTTAAATAAAGAAGTAGCATGGAGACAGGAGTTTGGTGGAACGCAGGGGGGGGAAGTTTAAATAAAGAAGTAGAATGGAGACAATGGTTTAGTGGAACGGAGGGGGGGTAAAGTTTAAATAAAGAAGTATAATGGAGACAATGGTTTGGTGGAACGCAGGGGGGGAAGTTTAAATAAAGAAGTAGAATGGAGACCATGGTTTGGTGGAACGCAGGGGGGGAAATTTAAATAAAGAAGTAGAATGGAGACAATGGTTTAGTGGAACGCAGGGGGGTAAAGTTTAAATAAAGAAGTAGAATGGAGACAATGGCTTAGTGGAACGCAGGGGGGGAAGGGAAGTTTTTTTTAAAATAAAGAAGTAGAAAGTAGAATGGAGACAATGGTTTCGTGGAACGCAGGGGGGGAAGTTTAAATAAAGAAGTAGAATGGAGACAATGGTTTAGTGGAACGCAGGGGGGGGAAGTTTAAATAAAGAAGTAGAATGGAGACAATGGTATAGTGGAAGGCAGGGGAGGGGAAGTTTAAATAAAGAAGTAGAATGGAGACAATGGTTTAGTGGAACGCAGAGGGGGGGAAGTTTAAATAAAGAAGTAGAATGGGACAATGGTTTAGTGGAACGCAGGGGGGGGAAGTTTAAATAAAGAAGTAGAATGGAGACAATGTTTGGTGGAACGCAGGGGGGGAAGTTTAAATAAAGAAGTAGAATGGAGACAATGTTTGGTGGAACGCAGGGGGGGAGGAAGTTTAAATAAAGAAGTAGAATGGAGACAATGGTTTGGTGGAAGGCAGGGGGGGGAATGTTTAAATAAAGAAGTAGAATGGAGACAATGGTTTGGTGGAAGGCAGGGGGGGGAAGTTTAAATAAAGAAGTAGAATGGAGACAATGGTTTGGTGGAACGCAGGGGGCGGAAGTTTAAATAAAGAAGTAGAATGGAGACAATGGTTTTGTGGAACGCAGGGGGGGAAGTTTAAATAAAGAAGTGGAGTGGAGACAATATTGTAGTGTAACGCAGGGGGGGAAGTTTAAATAAAGAAGTAGAATGGAGACCCTGGTTTAGTGGCTCTTCGTACATTTAAAGCAAGTCTAAGAGTAGTGGTGTGTACATGTGATCGCTGCGCGTACATGTGATCCTCGTCTGCGTGCGGAGATGAACGCGCCTGTGTGTACATGTGATCCTGGGGCTCGCTGGTGTGTACATGTGATCCTCTGCTGCGTGCGCAGGTGATCTTTTGGGCTTCAAACGTGCTCTGCGTGGACATGTGATCCTGGTGTGCGTGCGCGGATGATCCCTTGACCTCCTCCCCCAACTTCAATGTTGTGATCGGAAGTGCCGAGCATCATCAACAGAAATGGCTGTTTTTTTTTGAAAGCCGCCAAACACAAATTTCAGAAGACAACATTGGATTGGGGGACGGGGGGGACATGACCTCCGTGGTGTGGTACTTCATGGGATGGCTGTTTTTTTGAAGAACCCGGACTCAGAAAAGACACAATAGGATTGACCCATGGCAGACAAACGCAAGAATGATGACGACACTGTGTCAGAGAAAGCATCGGGATCAGTTTGGGCGGGTGTTTGTGTGTGTGTGTGTTGTGTGTGTGTGTGTGTGTGTTTGTGTGTGTTTGTGTGTGTTTGTGTGTGTGTTGTGTGTGCGTGTGTTTGTGTGCGTGTGTGTGTGTTTGTGTGTGTGTGTGTGTGGGGGGTTCTGTTTGCTTGCACGTGCGCATATGTGCCAATATGGATTGTGCTGCGTGAAATACATACAGCGACAGTCTTGACACCTTTTTGACCTGATTCCGCAATGTCGTGGGTTGCACTGGCTCGTCGTTCTGCATGGCAGGCGCACCACTTTGAGAGCGTGACTGCTCTATCCCACACACCTGACATGCAACGCACATGCAACATGACATGCAACACGACATGCAACATGAGCTTTTCACCTGTAAATTTACAGTCAACGTGCAGGATTTGACGTTTGCAGCCCCAACTCCGGCCTTAGAATGGAAAATGTAGATTTTTGCCCCCGCGGCCACTTTGCTTGGAAATTTACAGGGAAAATGCTCGTGTTGCATTTGTGTTGCATGTGTGGCGCATGAACGTTGCATTGGCAGGGCCATACAAATCACACCCCTGAACTGGGGAAGTGGCAGGCACAAGAGTTGTAGGTGCAGGGGCGAGACTTTGGAAGCTGAGCGCCTTGGATCTGCAATAGATTACATTCCGATGGTGGCCCGTAGCATCCACCTTTGTGGGGTTGTTGCATATTTGCTTCGACAACAATCTTGGGTAAATTTCAGAAGCTGATGGTGGCCCTTAGCATCCACCTTTATTGGGCTGTCACAGATTACAGAAGCGCATGCTTTGACAATGCGTAAATTTCAGAAGCTGATGTTGTCGCATCGATGTGTATGTGTGTGTGCGATGATCTACATCCACATGCAAATCAACAACAGTTAAAATAACTCGGAACCGAAAAACTCACCAATATGATGCTCAACATGAACTTGTGTTGCTGACAGTGACAGCATTATACATTACATAACATACATACATACATACATACATACCTACATACCTACATACCTACATACCTACATACATACCTACATACATACATACATACCTACATACATACATACATACATACATACATACACACATACACACATACACACATACACACATACACACATACACACATACACACATACGTACATACGTACATACGCACATACGTACATACGTACATACATACATACATACATACATACATTATCTATTGTGTACACATGCAATAATTTTCATGGGGTTCCGGGTGGGTTCTAAAAGGGGGGTGTCTGGATAAGCCTGGATAGATGATCATTTTCAGAAAGAAAGGTGAATTTCCGGGTGTGCATTGAAAGTCTGGGAGGTCCAAGGGTGATTTGACCTAGATTTTGGGGTGGGGATTGGGGTGGTTAAAGGCTCAATAAGGGCTCAATAATGGCTTAATAAATGCTTAATAGGGGCTTAATAAGGGCTTAATAAGGGCTTAATAAGGGCTTAATAAGGGCTTAATAAGGGCTTAAATGATAAGCATTGGATAAGCCTTGGGTAAGCGAGAAGCAGCAAGCTATTCTGCATACCATCCCCCGAAAAAAAATGACCCCTCAGGACCCCAGATCCCCAAAATTGCAAAAAAATAGGAAAACTGGTGAACACACATCGCAAGCACTGCAAAAATCCCAATGCCCTTTGCGGGTTGTGGTTCAAATCGCCTATTGCTTTGGATAAGCAATGGATAAGGAAGTTCAGCTATCCATGGGGGATCAGACCTTAGTAAGGCCTTAAAGGATAATCCCTTAATAAGCCCTTAATAGGGGTTTATCATTTCCCAGCCGTATCAGGAGCTTAAATGATAAGCTCAGAACCCCTCCCAGACCCCGCCCCCTCGATTCCATGAAATGGGCGTGTATACATACATATACACACAGGACATCTTGCAACAACCATGCAAATTTCGACCAATTTTTCCTGAGACATTTGCTCACGTACTTGAGGCCACTGCCCCTGGTTTTGACCCAATATAGCAGGTATAGAATCCGGTTACAGAACCAACATGAACCAACCATTCTAGGGAGATATTGTTGGGATGTATATCTATGCAATATTATTCTGTATGTATGGAATATCGGAATATAGTGTGATATGTATCTATATTGCTTTGCAAACACAATAACTCGGTTTCATGCTAGAAATGTTGACACCGTGGATGGGTGACCATAGACCAACATCTGCGGTTTGCCCTGCGGAAAGTGCGTCTGGTCTCCATGAGATTGCTGGGGAGATGAGGGGAGTGTAATCCCGCTGAGGAATTGGGTCCTTTGTTATACTCCAATAGAACTCCAAGAGTTGGTCATTTTTTTGATTTTTGTTCAGGGGCAATCTTAATGTTTCAGAGGTGATTCAAAGTTTAAAGTCTCAAAGGTGAATCACGTTTTGAAACTGGAGGTCCTCCAGTTTCGAATCCATTTTACAATGATGGTCCCTGCAACACAGCGGTTTGATACAAAATCCACCGAGGCTTTGCTTAAGACTTGGGGTCATGAGCCATAAACTACAATGGAAAAGCAGGGTTCAGGATGTTTCTCGGGTGTATCGCTCATGGACTCATGGACCATTTGCTCCCCATTCTTCGACCTGGCAGGGCTACACCATTCGTGCAGGCAACGTTGTTGCGTGCTCGCCCAATGTGAGCCACATGCTGGATGAGCCTCAGACGTTAGGGGTATGAAGCATAGGATTCAAACCAACAATCATTAGTGCCATTGTCAAAGGGTCGGTAAATTGCCCAAATTGCATATGGTAAGGGGGGTCATGCTACCAGTAATAGGGCACTATCACTATGATGGTGCCTTTAGATTCCTACTATGAGATCAATGACCATACCATATACCATGTTTTGGCCACAGCGCATCATATGTTTTTACTTGACACAGATTGGTGAATGATTTGTAAAGGGGAACATTTGTAGCTACGAACTGAAGAAACTCTTCATATGCATTTTTTTTCTAAGGTTTGCTGTTGTATGCTTCCATGGTAACTGATTTCCTTGGGGTTATTGTATGCCAGTGTTCCTTTTCCTTCCATTGAACAAGTAGTAAAATTTCTTTGCAGTCTATGGCTGGCTCAGTGACCTAATTGTGGGGTTCTATATTAGTTTTTAGGCGCAAGTCTCCTTTTATTTTGAATGAAACCCTAACTTTCGTTTTGCCCCACCTGCCAAGGGTCTCTAGCAAAGGTGCAACTCCTTCTCCTCCTCCTTCTTCTTCTTCTCCTCCTCCTTCACCTCCTCCTGCACCTCTTTGTTGTCTTGATCTCCTCTGCCAGCTCCGGATGCTGTGGGCCACGCCTGGACCCGAATTCCACATCGCCAGCTCCGGGTGTCCCGTCAAAAAACGGTCCAAAACCTATGATTGTTATTTCTTCGAGTTTTTATCTTTAGACCGTTGATTTTGTAGATTTCTATATCATTTCTTCTTGCTTCCTTCCCACCTCGGTGTCTTCCCCATTTTCCGGACCCAGAAATTCCAAGGATTGCTACGCCAAAGCGAAGACCTTTGACCCTAAGCGCTTCATCAATGGCATCGAGGAGCTGAGAGGGTTGCGGGAGGTGGTTTCATCATATCTGGAGGAGAACAAATGATCGACAAAGCATGACACAGCCAACTAACAATGGTCTGAAATGGTGATATTACATTTATATAACCAAGCAACAATGGCGTTAAATGTGGATAGAAGAGTTGAAGGGGGATCAGATGGACTTGGTGGACTTGGTGGACTATTCTTGAAGATAATTTTGACCCAAGATCTGGGTATGGGTCAAGAGTCTAAGGCCAAGGGGACCGCATATTTTTGGCAATCTTTAGTATCAATCGTCCAATTTATGGGGATGCCCAATTTTAATCAGAACCAACAATAGCTGGGAATGTATATATATATATGATTATATCTGTATGTATTGAGTATGAAGATCTCAAAGGGGTAGCAACCATCAACATACATGGGGTATCTACAATTCATTGTATATTAACAACTTGTCAGCAAAGTTGGGACCTCCAGCGAAATAACACTATATATTCATTATTACTGAAGGGCTGCCGCCCACTGCCGCCGACCCCTGGTGTCAGAAGACCAACTTGTGAGAGACAGTGAGAGAGCGTGTTCAAGGGATACCTCAGAGACAATAAAACGCAACATGTCACATGTTTGTAAACACGTAATCTACGTGGGCAATCTGAAACATTAGCATCCCAAATCGCATGTTGTTTGAAGATGTGCTTGGATGGCTTCCTGCAGGTGGGTTCTTGATGCAGCCGGTTGTGTTTCACCGGATAGCGACCAAAAATTAAGTGAGAAAAAAAACACCGTGGCAGTGAAGGACGGAAGGCTTCGCGCAGCTGCCCGTTCTGAAGGCCTAACGTTGCTTTCTGACCGGAATAATGCCAAGGGCAGCCGCCAGCTCACGCTTTAACAGCATGGCAGTGAAGGACAGAAGGCTTCGCGCCGCTGCCCGGTCTGAAGGCCTAAAACGTCGCTTTCTGAATGGTCTAAAAGAAGAATACCGAGAGCAGCCGCCAGCTCAGAAAAATGGACCCTTCGGCACGCTTTAACAGAATGGCAGTGAAGGACGGAAGGCTTCGCGTCGCTGCCCGGTCTGAAGGCCTAACGTTTGACTGGTCCAAGAAGAATGATGCCAAGGGCAGCCGCACCCTTGGCCACGCTTTAACAGCATGGCAGTGAAGGCGGAAGGCTTCGCGCCGCTGCTCGGTCTGAAGGCCTAAAGCGTCGCTTTCTGAATTCTGAACGGTCTAAAAGAAGATGGCCAAGAGCAGCCGCCAGCTCGCAAGAGCAGCCACCCGCGCGGAGAAAAGGCTTCCTGCCGTCTTCTTCGTGGAAGGTGTTCTCTGACGCGCTCCCCCTGCTGCAAGCTGGGGTCGGCGGATATACACAAAATAAATATATCAAAATACGCATACAGTACACAATTTAGCAAGCTAAAGGTACATAGGTATCAATATATATATATATTTATATTTTAAATAGATAAATGAATAAATAAATATACCGACCGCCTGAAAGATAGAATATTGTACTCTTAGTCGGGACAAGATAGAATATCAAAAAACACAGGGTCTAGCACCCACAAGATAGAATATTCTGAAATTAAAATAATCACAAGATAGAATATTCGATCTTTTCGCCGGTCGGTATAGATAATTATGGAATTGGGGGGAAATCCCAGTAAATCCCACTAAAGCTGCGAAAACCTCTTTTTACAAATCAGCTAAGCCAACATGCCAAGTGGACTCCCTCCTGCCACGGTTATATATCTATATCTCTCTAAATAATATATATATATACACATCTTGGAAATCAGCACACAAACCTTTCCACGCAATGGAATGCTTCCACATATATAATTTGGAACCATGTCACGCCAGGGTCTCCAAAATATTCTATCTTGTCCGTTTTCGTATTTTTGAGCCTTATCAAAGCTCAAAGAATAACATTAAACAATTGAAAAACAATGGAACATAATGAAACATATAAAACAAAAACAATGAAAAATGATGGAAAAAAGAGAAAACAACAATGAAAAATGATGAACAAGAGAGAAAAAACCATGAAAACCGCTTAAAAATATGGAAAAAACAGTGAAAAATGATGAAAAAATAGCGGGAACACAAACAAGGAAACATGATGAAACATAGAAGAAAATAAAATATGATGAAAAAAAACGAAACAACAATGAACAATGATGAAAAAGGGAGAAAAAACAATGAAAAATTATGAAAAAGATAAAAAAACAATGAAAAATGATGAAAAATAGAGAAACAACAATGAACCATGATGAAAAATTGAAGAAAAAACAATGAACCATGATGAAAAATTAAAGAAAAAAACAATGAAAAATGATGGAAAATAAAGAAACACAAATACCAATAAAAAAAATAGAAAAAACAATGATTTTTTCCATCATTTTTCATTGTTGGCTCTCTATTTTTCATCATTGTTCATTTTGCTTCTCTATTTTTCATCATGTTTCATTGTTTTCCTCTCTTTCTCATCATTTCTCATTGTTTTTTCCTCTCTTTTTCATAATTGTTCATTCTTGTTTCTCTATTTTTCATATTTTTTCATTGTGTGTTTCATTGTTGGTTTTCTATTTTTCATTATTTTTAATTGTTGTTTCTCTATTTTTCATCATTGTTCATTGCTTTTCCCTCTCTTTTTCATCATTGTTCATGGTTTTTTCTCTCTTTTTCATCATGTTTCATTGTTTGTTCTCTCTTTTTCATCATTGTTAATTGTTTTTCTTCTCTTTTTCATCATGTTTCATTGTTTTTTTATCTCTTTTTCATCATGTTTCATTGTTTTTGTTTTTTTTATGTCTCATCATTTTTCATTGTTGTCACTCTATTTTTCATCATGTTTCCTTGTTTTTTCCTCTCTTTTTCATCATGGTTCATTGTTTTTTTCACTCTTTTTCATCATGCTTTCTTGTTGTTTTTCTCTTTTGTTCATCATTTTTCATTGTTTTTTCATGTATTGTTCATCATGCTCCCTTGTTTTTTCTCTCTTTTTCATCATGTTTCATTGTTGTTTTCACTGTTTTTCATCATGTTTTCTTCTTGTTTTTCTCTCTTGTTCATCATGTTTCATTGTTTTCTCCCTCTATTTTTCATCATGTTTCCTTTTTTTCCCTATTTTTCAACATTTTGCATTGTTTTGTCCTATCTTTTTCATCATTGTTCATTGTTTTTCCTCTCTTTTTCATCATTTTTCATTGTTGTTTCTCTCTTTTTCATCATTTTTCATTGTTGTTTCTCTATTTTTCATCATTTTTCATTGTTTTTTCTCTCTTTTTCATCATGTTTCATTGTTTGTTCTCTCTTTTTCATAATGTTTCCTTGTTTTTTTCTCTCTTGTTCATCATTGTTCATTTGTTTTTTCTCTCTTTTTCATCATTTTCCTTGTTTTTTTCTATTTGTTTCATCATTGTTCATTGTTTTTTTTCATTATTTTTTATTGTTTTTCAATGTTTTCAATTGTTTAATGTTATTTTTGGGCTTTTGATAAGGCTCAAAAATATGAAAACGGACAAGATAGAATATTTTCGAGACCCTGGCGTGACATGGCTCCAAAATTTCATATTTGGAAGCCTTCCATTGCGTGGATTTTTTTCCGTATGTTTCATTGTTTTTGTTGTATTTTTCATTTTTATTTCATTGGTTTTCACTTTTTTTCATTATTTTTCATTGTTTTTCTTTGTTTTTCAATTGTTTAATGTTATGCTTTGAGCTTTGATAAGGCTCAAAAATATGAAAACGGACAAGATAGAATATTTTCGAGACCCTAGAGTGACATGGCTCCAAATTACTTGGATTTTTTCCATTGTGTGTGTGGAAATGCTCTTATGTTGATTTTCACAATACTTATGTGCATATATATATACATATAATATAGCGGTTGTATAGGTTTTATTGGGTTTAAGTCAGTTGGTGCCATGCCTCCCCGCAATTCACAACTGTTGCCGGCCCACCGCGTGGTCGCACCTCACACCCTCAATTTGCGGTTTTAACGCAAAACGTGGTGGAAACAAGTCTGAATATTTTGGGATTTACCTAGCAAAATTGTTGGTTTTATCTGATACGCCAGGAATATGAAAAATACAGCAAAAACAATGAAACATACGGAAAAAAATCCACGCAATGGAAGGCTTCCAAATATATAATTTGGAGCCATGTCACGCCAGGGTCTCGAAAATATTCTATCTTGTCCGTTTTCGTATTTTTGAGCCTTATCAAAAGCTCAAAAATAACATTAAACAATTGAAAAACATTGAAACACAATAAAAAATAATGAAAAAAAACAATGAAAAAAGATGAAGCAGAGAGAAAAAAAACAGGAAAAATTATGAAAAAGGAGAAAAAACCAATGAAAAATGATGAACAAGAGAGAACAAAAACAAGAACACATTATGAAAAAGAGAGAACAAACAATGAAACATGATGAAAAAGAGAGAAAAAACAATGAACAATTGTGAAAAAGAGAAAAACAATGAAATCCGATTAAACATATGGAAAAACAACAGTGAAAAATGATGAAAAATAGAGACAAAACAATGAAAAATGATGAAGCAGAGGAAAAAAACAATCAAAAAGGATGAAAAAGAGGGAAAACACACAATGAAAAATGATGAAAAAGAAAGAAAAAAACAAGAAAAAATGATGATAAAGAGTGGGAAAAAAACTTGAAACATGATGAAAAAGGGAGAAAAAACCAGGAAACATGATGAAAAATAGAGAAACAACAATCAAAAATGATGAAAAACAAAGGAAAAACAATGAAACATTTTAAAAAACAGAGGAAACAACAATGAAAAATGATGAAAAATAGAGAAACACCAATGAAAAATGATGAAAACGAGAGGAAAAACAATGAAAAATGATGAAAAAGAGAGAAACAAAAATGAAAAATAATGAAAAAGAGAAGAAAAAACAATGAAAAATGATGAAAAAGAGAAGAACAAAACAATGAAAAATGATGAAAAAGAGATGAAAAAAAACAATGAAAAATGATGAACAATAGAGAAACAACAATGAAAAATGATGAACAATAGAGAAACAACAATGAAAAAAGATCAAAAAGAGAGAAGAAACAATGAAAAAACACGTTCATCATTTTTAATAATTTTTCATTGTTTTTGTGTCTCTCTTCTTCATCATTGTTCATTGTTTTTTTGTCTTTTTCATCATGTTTCATTTTTTGTCACTTTTTTTCATATGTGTTTCTTGTTTTTTCCTCTCTTGGTCATCATTTTTCATTGTTTTTTGTCCCTGTTTTTTCATCATTTTTCAGTGTTTTTCTCTCGTTTTCATTATGGTTGATTGTCTTTTTCACTCTTTTTCATCATTTTTTCTTGTCTTTTTCTCCCTTGTTCATCATTTTTCATTGTTTTTCTATCTTTTTCATCATGTTTCATTGGTTGTTCTCTCTTTTTCATCATTGTTCATTGTTTTTTCTCTATTTTTCATACTTGTTCATTGTTGTTTCTCTCTTTTTCATCCTTTTTCATTGTTTTCTTTTCTCTCTTTTTCATCATGTTTCATTGTTTGTTCTCTCTTTTTCATCATTTTTCATTGTTTGTTTCTCTCTTTTTCATCAGTTTTCATGGTTTTTTGTCATTTTTTTCATCATTTTTCAACGTTTGCTCTCTCTTGTTCATCATTGTTCATTGTTTTTTTCTCTCTTTTCATCATTTTTCATTGTTGTTTCTCTAGTTTTCATAATGTTTCCATGTTTTTTTCTCTCGTTTTCATCATGTTTCATTGTTTTTTTTCACTCTTTTTCATCATTTTTTCTTGTTTTTTTCTCTCTTGTTCATCATTGTTCATTGTTTTTTCCTCTCTTTTTCATCATGTTTCCTTGTTTTTTCTGGCATGTTGACTTGGCATCCTGTTGCTTGAAAAATCATCAGTAGTTTTCTGCACAGGCATGCACGAAATTGACAAGATAGAATATTCAAGGGGGTGTTTCCATATTGGAACATGTTGGATTCAGAATTGTTGGAAATCCCACAGCAGAATTTGTTTAACATCATTTCACAGTAGCACCCTGTTGCTTCAAAAATCATCAGTAGTTTCAAAGTTTTCTGCACAGGCATGCACGAAATTGACAAGATAGAATATTCAAGGGGGTGTTCTGTGATTTTTTGTGAATATGCTATATTAATATTCTATCTTGTGGTGTTTTTTCCGAGTGGGAGGCCGATGGTAATTTTCTCACTCGCGTGTCTGGTAGTGAAAAATATTCTATCTTTCGGCCGGTCGGTATAAATATAAATATAAATATAAATATATATATATGTAATTACATGTGCAAGGGCGTTTGGCCATGAACATAGCTTCTTCCCCCCAGCAAACCAGGACGAGTTTAATTTCATTTCTTTCGGCGGTGGTCGACGTGTATGCAAGGGACAAGAATTTGGATATTTGCAGGTCCTTTGCGCGTCTCGGCATTGGACCAAGGAATCACAAGGTGGTGCCCCAGGTCGGAATCGCTAAACTGGTTTATGATTCCACTATTGGGTTCATGGTAGATATCAGATATACCGCTAATATGTATTCTAATCAAGCATGGCAACGAAAAGTCGGCCACAAATGGACGTTTTACTGGGAAATTCATCGCAAACATGGGAGGTGATGCAACTTATATCCCATAGAGCATATGGGCAACGCACCTTACACCAAACATATTTTAGCTACATTAATATGGATTAAGTGGGATTTGGGATATAATAACAGAATTCTATCCACATATGTGGGAAGATGAAGTCTTGATTGACAGCTAGCATGTTTGTGTTCCATACTAGTTTTCAGAAAATAAAGTCGAGACATTCACCCCACAAAATGGGGAGAATATCACTGGATGTCCCAGAAAAGGTAAACAACTGAAGAGTAAAAAATCCGGCTCATAGAGGTTTATGGGTAAATTTTCTTGGGGCACAGAAAGGGTCCACCAGTTGTAAGTTGGCTTATAATCGCATCTAGTCATAGATATATATCATAATATATCTACCACAAATATCCACAAATCAGTTGCTGAAATCGGAAACCAAACTGTCTATCCAGGGGGGCCCTTCCTCTAGCTGATTGGTTTATTTTTTTCCACAACTGGAACACAGAATATCAGAGGTCGCCATCTGCGACTGAGGCAATCTCACACATGTCGCCTGGCAGCAATGTCATCCAATGCCGTAGCAGTGTTCCAACCTTTTTTTTCGGAAAGGGAAATATGGATCCACCGTTCTGACTTGGGAGCATCCCACTTAGCAACGGACTTGACTTGAGGAAAACAAATGACCGGAAAATTTGGTTTTACTATTGCACAGGGGGTGGGTTGATTTTTTCCCCATCATCCCATTCTATGAACTTCACTAAGTCACCTTTCCTGGGCCGACATCCCATTTTTCACCGTTTTTTTTTCCAAGGATCTTCGCTGATCGTCTTAGGTGGCATGGCGTACTAGGGTATTGCCAAAGATACCAAGGGATACCCCGAACAGTTGCACTTTTAGAGAGTGTAACGCTGTGGGCCCCCCTTTTTACAGTGTTTTGTGATGTTTTTTGATAATTAATGTTTATTTATACTTATAACCTGTTGTTCATATCATATTGTCGTTGTTGCGTTGTTATTTGTTATATATTTCGTTTGGTTCTGGACATCTTATATAGAAGAACAAAGTATGGATGGAGATAAGGTCCATATCTTTGGTTCTACAGCGTTTTTCTTCGCAAAACATATTATAAATCTTTGGTTCTACAGCGTTTTTCTTTGCAAAACATATTATAAATAGACCCATGGCTAGTAGCAAATCCAATCGGTCTCTTCACTTGAATATGCATAGATACACACAGTTATGTTACAATATACAAGAATGATTATTAAGATAGGCTTTGTAAATCTATATGTTAAACAAGTGCTCGTTTTGACATCACCATATATTTGCTGCTCATGCAACTATCTTGAAAGTACAGCCTTGCAACATCATGGGAGATGCATGTAGTCGCAGTTGCAAAGGTTTATATCAGAGGTTAAACCTTCAAGGACTACTCGTTTTTTTCCCAAGATTCCCCAGTGTGAACCAACATGGTTGGCTGAATAACAAAAGTGTGAGCGCAGATCTCAATAGCTCTACCAAGTTTTGTGATCAAGTGCAAACTCCATCACAAACTGATACTGTAGTGAACATGGCAAGGAATGGAACAAACCGCTCTCCTCATATATATATATATATATATACAGCTCAAACCTTTTTTTAATCTCCAACCTTTCAATCCACATGGAAAATGTAAGAACACTTATACCCAACCTTAGAACAACATGGCAACATCAATCTTACATGCACGTAGCAGTGATCAAATTCAATCCATCACATGCATAGCCATTCCAGAAACTTAGACTCTGATGCAAGAACCTATGGCAAGCAATTTTGTATACACTTGTGTTCTTGTCAGTGGAGTCTACATGAACTTATCATTGCTATGTACATGTTTCCCTGGCACGCCAGCATTGCAAGCTAACAGGAAACTTAGCAAGAGTGTCACATACGAGCTGCACAAGCCAAGAGCATACATATACATGACACATCATCATGCATATTTTCTTCATTGGCATTACCTTTGCAGAGTGGTGAGTTGTATCTTGCAATTTTTATGCTATGCTATGCAATTGTTTTCCAGCCGATTCCCAATGAATAGGGAAAGAAAATGCTGCAATCAAAGTCTCTGAATGTGCTGATCAAGCAATTTGGTTAGCCTAAATGGAGTTAGCTTGTGGCCAGCGCATTCAAAACGGCACATATGTTCAAGGATATGCCTACATACAGCCATGGCAAGCAGCAGACCTGCCATAAAAGTGAAACGGTATGAAAGCAAAAACTTGTGCAAATGGCTTCTTCCCAATGATAAATCACTGGATTTTTAGGCATTTTTTGAAGGACACATTCAGATTAAGGTACTGTAGCAAGGGTGACCTCAGCAATTTCTCAAACTATCATGCAAATAATCAATAGAAGTAAGCATTGCACCATGTCATACGGTGCCATCCTGTTTATAGTTTAGAGAAGTTGTAACACTATTGTTGGCTCTATTTACTCTATTTAAAATCGAGCTTAAGTTGACCCATATGTGGAGTTGGACGGCCCAAAGACCTCAATGAGAGTATATGATCTAGCTGCTTGCTCACTTGGGATGACTGCAGATGGTTATGACTGGGATTACTCATCCAAATAAATATCAAGCTTTCTGGGCATGACAAATGTAGCATTGTAGCCTTCATTGAAATAAATGATATGATTCCAACTATATATATATACATATGTATATATATATATACATGTAAATGTCCTACTATTGATCCTGTGTCCTACATGTAGTGGCACAACATGGCATTAATACATAGTGTTCACTTTTTCTTGATTCCATCGCACACAAACTTTTAATTGCATAATGTTCCTAAATGTCATGGACATATGAACTTGTAGAAGCTTAAACACAATACAAACCACATACAGTAAGTCCAAAGAAACTTGCTTGACGAGTTTCTTGTGTCTTCAGGAGATGTAATGATAAAGGCAATCTGGTTGGTGGTTACAAACATGGCTGGATTATGACTTCCACGTCATATATGGGATGTCATCCTTCCCATTGACGAACTCCATCATTTTTCCAGAGATTCCCATCCCGATCCTGAGAAATTTTCTCCATCGATCGCTGGAGAGACTGCCAATTTGGTGACTTTATGGCAAAGTGGATGAATATATTAATGACCTTCTAGAGAAGGCGAAAAGGAAACTGAAACAACCAAAAATTTATAGACTTCTGACGAATTAGACTAAGTTCAATTTAACAACATTGTTCTAACATACTATGTTGCGAGATGTTGCAACATATGCAGAAGTAATGATATCAAATGCATGCCTTAACAATCATTAACATTTTACAGCATTTCTAAAAACCTGGTAAAACACGGGGGTCAGGCGTGACTTTCTGCACTAGCGGAAAAGGATGATCAACTATGGGATGTCTTTCTCTCTGGTAATACAAAAAAACAATGGAACATCACCATTTTTAATGGGAAAATCACCAAAAAACTATGGAACATCACAATTGTTCATGGATAAATCCACTATTTCGACTGGGCCATGTTCGATAGTTCTTTGTAAACGTTTACCAGCGGGTACCCACCCCTGACGCCGTGCCCATTTTTTTCCTGCGGATCCAAGGCTGCGTCACTACGACATCGACACTTGGTTGAATGTGGATGATACAGGTTGAATGTTTGCCAAATGAAAGAATATCCGGCAAAAAACACGAAAATAGCAATCACATGATATACTGTATATATATATAATGTAACGATATCATCTATAATCAATAGCAATGAATATAGTATAGAGTAATATATACAATAATGTTGAACATAAAGATAATGACAGACATGACAGTAACAAACATGTAGGGTATCTGAGAGGAGCCATGCCTTTTTCAACGCATCTTTTAAGGTGGTTCATTGGTACCCCATGTTTGATCCGTCCCTAGATGGGTCTGCCATGGTTTCGCCATGGCTACAAGCTCCCATGGTTTCGCACATGATTTTCCCCATTGAAATAGCGTAAATTGAGTTATTGCCATTTTTGAGATTAGGCAATATGTATAATATATATATACATACGTATATTATGTGCATATAGATATATATATATTGTCCCGTGTCCCGTGTTCCCACCCCCCCATGGGATGGGTCCCCAGGTAGCACCCCCTTCCCTTCTATTTGCAAGCTATTGTCAGCATTTCTGAGGTCCAGCCCTTATTTGCTAGGTTTTTGCAGCTTTTCTGATTACCAGCCACATATACACACATACACACATACACACATACCTACCTACCTACTTACCTACAGACAGACAGACAGACAGACAGACAGACAGACAGACAGACAGACAGACAGACAGACAGACAGACAGACAGACAGACGTTACATACGTTACATACATTACATACATTACATACATTACATACATTCCATACATTGCATACATTACATTCATTACATTCATTACATTCATTACATGCATTACATGCATTACATGCATTACATGCATTACATGCATTACATGCATTACATGCATTACATGCACTGCATGCTTTACATGCATTACATACATTACATACATTACACGCATTACATACATTACATGCATTACCATACATTACATTACCATACATTACCATGTATTACGATACATTACCATACATTACCATGCATTACATTACCTTACATTACATTACACTGCATTACATTACATTACATACGCTACTATACATACATTTCATAGGGCATTAGTTCGGAGATCTTCCATAGAAGCCCAGGGCAAGTGAGATGTGAACATGGAATAGCACCAAGCATGGTCACTATTATTGTGTTTTTTTGATTTTTGTCAAGGAACAAAATTTTTCCTCGACGCCCATGGGTGCTACATCTCATGCGCCGTCGGCTTGATGTCTTGCTGCTCTTTTCTGCCACCCGTCCTGCACCTCAAAATACCTCAAATCAATAGCCTTGATGCCCTCCTGATACCCTCTTAAGCCACCTGTCAGGCACCAAAAATCAATAGTTTTCATCCCCCCTCATCCCTCTCAGCCACCCCTCGTGCACCACCAATAGCACTGATACCTTGCCACCCTTTTCCGCCACCCTTCCTGCACCACAAATCAGTAGCCTTAATGTCCTGCCACCCTGTTCCGCCACCCTTCCTGCACCACAAATCATGGGTTTTGGTATCGGTTTGCTCTTCCAGATGTTTAGCAGGCAGTGGGTCTCTCAATATATATATGTGTGATAGTATATATGATGTCCCTGTGTATATGGTATTTGTGTATATATGCTTATAATTGCATAATGTAGTTTAGTTCATGGTTTCCCAACTGGGTAGGCCCGGATGAATGGTACATTAATAGGCTGCCTTTGCTGCCATGAACGTGTGAACAGGTACTTGGAAGTCTAGCTCACCAAGGACATGTATGTTCAATTCAACATAGCGGCTATAACAACACACACATATGCAATGAATCATTACCAACATATTGAGATTTACACCCTGAGGTAAGTAAACGTAGATATGGACAACAACCATATCCGCAGGAAATGATCAATGGTGATTTTTTCGCATGATAACAACTTTAGCCCATGAAGCCGAGGAGTGCATCGATGGCGTGCCACCGCCCACCATCGCACAAGATGGCATGGTCATTGCACCCATGCAACCCTCGCGAGTGACGCTTGGTGAAGAATGGGTTGGGGCCTTGCCCTTTAAGTAGCGAAACGTGGTTATTCAACAAAACATAGATCTTTAGTAGCAGGGTTTGAAGCAGCACAACTAGGGTGTTATTCAACAAGGGGTTGTAACTGAAAAAAAATGGTGTTTGGCCAACAAAACTAGAGAATGAAACGACAGAACTTGCGAATTGACCAGCAATGCCAGGGGACTGGAGAAACCAAATTAGCGGACAAATTTGTTATTTGGGAAATTTGGAACAATCTCAATACTGTATTTATTTTAGTGGATGTCCAATAAAGGGCAATCATCCGAACAAAACAGAGCTTATATAATAGGAAACAGAACTGTAAATTCTAATAAGCAAAACGCACTCTGTTGGACTACCAACTTGGAGCGAAAATGACCCTTGTTTTTGTAATGTTTTGGATTGTGAATCCCATTTGGGTTTGTCAAACCTCCAACATACTGCGAGTACATCAATGACTTTGAACTTGCTGACAGCTGTGATTCCCACAAATATGTAGATACAGTGCCTATACCTACAGTTGGATGGACTTGCGCACTTGTGCACCAACTTACAACTTGGAAGGCCCAAGATACCAAAGTTGGTTTATCAGTAGTCTAACTGAGGTCCATGGTATATATATATATACAGTGAATGGTGGTGGTAAACCAACTTGCACTGTGCGGGGTGGTCTCCCAGGCAGTACAAGCGAAAGGCAAGTGTCAAGAAGTGATCTCTTGGTACGGCCAGTGCTGCACACGCTTCGGCGCAAACGAAGCTCCAAGATTTTACCAATAAGCATCCCAGCAAAAGAAAATTAGAATTTAGTGCCATTTCACTGATCAGCGGAACCTCTGAATGTTATTTTTTGCAGTGAATATATATATATATATATAATATATATATATTATATATATACATTATATTATATATACATTATATATTATATATATAATGGCAAACATGTGTAGGTCGACTGTCACCAGGAAATGTGGATCAATCGACTGCCTGGTTAAGTTATTAGTGAGTAATGTTGTGTACTTAACCAATGTGGTCAGGTCATGGATCAAGAAAGCTCCTCAAACTGCAAAGATTGGAGTGATCAAAGGAAAGTGACAGGTGAATGATTGCATGGTCGGTGTTTGTGCTTGGAATGTGAGGCGTCTTAAAGTTAGATATCCCACTGAAGATGTTATATTTACAGGGACATCCCAGCCACGAGAATTACATGGCTGTGCTGTCGTCCATTTGCCCCATGACAATGACGTGTTCAGGAATGGCCGTGTTTGATGTGATAAACTGTTTATCACATATCCTGACAACATGTTGAATGAACATGGCATTTTAAGAACGGCTCTTGAAATATGCATGCAGTGTGCCTATGAAACTCCGCACATCAATCAATTCAATCAATCAACTGACCAGCCAATAAGCCAAACAGCTGATCCATCCATCTATCCATCCATCCATGCATGCACCAATCAGTCAGCCCTTCAATCAGTCGCTCAATGTCGATGATCCGTAGACTTCTCAACCCACTCAGCAAACAATCAACCAACCAATCAGCTAAGCAATGAACCAACCAGTCAGCCAACCAACCAATCATTCAATCCAGTACGCCCCGATACCTTGCTGTAGGATCTGTCAATGATCTCTGGCTCACAACAGCTGTGTCGACCATCCAATAGATGGAAGAAATTTTGAAGAAATCGAGTCTTTGGTGTTCAGATTCAGCTGTATTTTTGCAGTTGACCCCAATGTTGTTTGATGTTTGCCTTCCATTTTTTTCGCTGGACACACACACACATAACCATATATATATAGGTAACTGAATAGGCGAATGGGATTCCCAGTTTTGATGGGCAGAAACACCTTACATGTAACAACAAAAAACAGATGTCTCATGATGTCTCATGTGGAGAAAACATGTTCAGTCAATACATTTTATTTGTTTAAAAAAGGTAGGAATATTAGGAATCACAATGACAATTCCTGCTTGGAACATTGAAAGTGGATTTGTGATTTTTGGAATGGTCATGGTCCAAACACCTTTTGAGATGCTATTTATCTATTTGGAGCGCTAGGATTTAGTGAATACCGAAAACACACAGACCCTACGTATAATTGTTTTAGCTTCATGGTTGATCATGGACCTAGATTTCAGCGGAACCCAAGATTGGGACGTAGGCACTTTGAAATCGTATTCACTGGGTTGAATCTGTCTTGTAAAGCTCAGCATGTGAAGTTTTTCTTCCATCAATTGTCTTTGCACTCGCATCATTCTGTTTTCCCTACATGACAAATTTTGATGCTTGCACGACTCCACCTACATTCGCTACCCGCTTTTGAAAACATGTGCTCGCCACGATGCGTTTGGGAATATATAAGAAGGAACTATTTAATGCCTATCATATGCTTGAAGCGACCTCATGTCTAAGTATGGTACATTATAATTATTTCTACACTTATAATCACTTTTACATATATTTGGAATGTCAATTTACCTGCAAAGATGGACATTTTCCCACAATTTACTTTCATGTTCAGCAATTGTTTACGGGTACTTTGAGGGTGTACTTCTTCTTCGTACCAGCCATGTGGTCAAGGGACGCTTGATGCGTTTCGGGATTTCGGAAAGATTTCATCTTCTGCCGTAATTTGTGGACCTCAAGTAGGGTTGCTCCAAGCCAGTAGGTAAATTATGGTAAATTATGGCCATATGTAGGGTGTTGGGAACAGCCCTGCATGCAGAGAAGCAGGGACTTTGGCTTCTCGATTTTTTCTGACTCCATTAAAAAAGAAGCAATCATTGATGAACGTTTGGACATGGCGATATTTTTTGTTTGTCAAACATTGTTTTTGCATGTAAAAAAACAAACACACACACATTATAATATTATAAATTATAAATTATGTACCCTCTGGTTATTTAACATAACCATGGAAAATCACCATTTTTAATAGGTAATGTCCACCTCTGATTTATAAATAGCCCCCCCCCCCGCTTTTACCCTAAATAGACTTAAAGCCACCATCAAACTTGTTTGTATGTAAAGGTTTTCAATTGCCACAATTGAAAACGCATACATAAAATGCAAATTCCAAAAAAAAGGAATCCAGCAATTGTTTTAGTATTGATCTAGTACTCATGTCATGGATCTAGTATTGATCTAGTACTCATGTCATGGATTCGGTATTGACAGTATTGATTTAGTATTCATGTCATGGATTTAGTATTGATCTAGTATTCATATCATGGATTTAGTATTGATTTCGTATTCATGTCATGGATTTAGTATTGATTTAGTATTCATTTCATGGATTTAGTATTGATTTAGTATTCATTTCATGGATTTAGTATTGATTTAGTATTGATTTAGTATTCATTTCTTGATCAGCGGGAGGGGGAAGCTCAGTAGCTTTATTCAGGGTCAAACTCTAATTGGTGCTAAGGCACCTCATGGTGGGGTACCCTTGATGAGTTGATTTGGAGTTGATTTTGGATAAATTTAAGTAAAGGTTTTGAATAGAAAGAGCATCCATCATTTTTGACAATTTCCAGCTATCATTTTTGAATAAAGGTTTTGGTCAGCCCCGTCTGGGCAAATCTGGGTTTAGGGCCAAAAAAATATCTTTATTTAGGGTAGTTTTTTTTCATTTAGTTTGGGAGTTTTTTTAGCTTTATTCAGGGTAGTTTGATAAATCGTAGGTCAACATTAAACCATCTATAAATGGGCCATCTATACCATGGCTATGTTAAATAACCAGAGGGTACATATAAACAGTTATATTCCATCCTTGTTGGTTTTTGCCTTGAACAAGTCCAAACAAATGTGAACGCCGCCAAGGCATGCAACAAGATATTACTGTTTTTCTATGTAACAAGTCCATGCCAATCTGCCAAACAATAACTATATACGATATACAAAGATGGAGAAAGGGTCATCCGAGTGCCAGGAACTTTGAAGCTTCTGCTTGACTGCCAATCCATCATGACTTGGTTCAAGCCCAGTGATAGTAGCTGGAACCGAGTGTAAGCATGGAACTAGGTATGGAACTTTGGACCTTCAGACCCTTCAGAGACAGGAATGGTTTCCCCCTGGAATGATCCATGGTCGATGAACACATCCCGCTTCGCCAACGACGCTAATCAATCGTCGCTTCTCACCAGATCAAGGCTGCATGACAATGCTTCACATGTTCCATCCCTGGACGTGTCAGAAGTTTTCCAACAATGTTCCATGTTTGAAATTGATTAAATCATATTATATAATGTCAACCCTGGATTAATAAACCCCTAGGCTGTTTAATTGGGGGGGTACCATTTAAGTATCAGATTATGACTATTGGAGGAGTACCCCTAATTAATAAACCATAGTTTATTAATCCGGGGTTGACATTACATATAAATCTATCATTTGTGAAGTTTGAAACTACCCAGCCAAACAAGCAACAACCGGTTGTTTCAACCCAGCAAAACATCCGGCCGGGCGTCCCGGATTCGACGCATGCGGCAGGTACCACGGGTGTTATTCGCCCGCCATACAGGGGTTGGTAACTGTCCCATTTTGGGAATATTGGACATCACCTAAAAAGTAGCCATTATAGACCATATCCCTAATGGTTGGGTGATGTTCAATGGGGACATTTAATGACCCATGCCATAGAGTCCTTTAGTAGAGGCCATAAACATATTCATGGAGAAAAACGATCATTCTTCCTATCTTCCCTTGTCAGATCGCATGACCAGTGGGACCTGTAAGCCTAAGCATGCCGTATTCCAAAGTTCAAAGACATGTTTGGTTTATTTATTCAAACACCATGGGTTACTGATCAGTGGGTTACTCATCAAAGCTGTTTCTGCGCACTCAATACATGCAAATACCTAAACATACCATTTCTTACTGGAACATGCAGTTTCATTTCTACAAATAACAAGCCACTGACACACTTGGTGCTGCAAGGCATATTTTTTGTAGAATTTAAGCTGCATCCCACATGGACCCTCCGACAGACTCCAAGCCAAGCACATTGCCAAAAATACGAAAACTATCAAACACATTTGGGTATGGGTCAATACCTATAGATACATTTTTAGTGGGATGAACATCCATTTACCAGCTATTTTGGGGTTCACTAGGTACCAGGGTTTTGACACACTGCCATTTAATGAAATGCAAAACCATGCAAGAAAATGCAAGCACGTTCCAAAAAGAAACATTGCTTCGAGCCCCCTGAAGGGACAATTCTGCCTCAGTGCACTATTTCCAAACAATTTCATTCAAAATGCATGAAAATGAATGAAGCTGAATGACGTACCTCTAGACCAATCAGTACTCTTTTCATTAGATCCATGCAAACGATCGAAACAATGAGTTTCATGGGGTGTACGGAATCATATAACATTGGATGTGAGTCAACCAAATGTGTATTGTAAATGTTTTCTGGGTACTGTTTTGGTACCGTCCTGTGGATGGTACCACTCGTCTCTTCCTGTGGAGTCTGATGATTTTAATGTCGCTGACATCACCACTTTCACCACCATTTTTTTGGACCGGAGAAGTGGAATTTGTCCAAAAGAGTGGCATCATTGATCAAACAACCACAAGTTTTTTTTTGATTTCAATAGTTTTGAAGGTCTAAACCACAAGATGAGCGTTAGTGGGCCAGTTGAGATGCTTAGGGACTTGAAGCAGTGTTTTGCTTTGCATCCTCATTCCTGGTAAAATCCCGCGTTTTTCTAGTTCCATAGGAATGGCAAAGAAATAACAAATTCCAAGTCTAGGGTATAATCGAATACACATTTTTTTTTTGGGTGGGTTAAACAACCCCAATGTTTGTTGATGATAGCCTGGATGTGTCGGCAAGATTCCACTTCTTACACCTTTGAAGTAATCCTTTTGGTATAGAATATCCTCTTGTTAGAGAGAATTCAGAGAGAATCATCCTATATCATCGGTGCATGTCAGATCAAGTCTCAACTTTTGAAGCTAAAAGATATCATCGAGAACTATCAACTCTTGGTTTTACTTTGGTTTTACTATGGATTACTTACTTTTTTAAAATGCTATGTTTACTAGACTATGTTTACGAATCAAAACCTGAGTTGAGTAAAAACCAGAAAGTAAACATACTCATCATTTGACCTGAGTTTACAAGACTATATGTCTACTAGACTACGTTAATGTTTACTATGGATTACCCTCTGGTAAACTAACATAGCTATGGAAAGATCCACCATGTTTAATGGGAAAAATAACTATTTCAATGGCCATTTTCAATAGCTACGTTAAATTACCAGAGGGTACTAAGGTTCTCTTTTATCAAAAACCTGAGTTGACCGTTGAACCGGCCAGGCTCCTTGTGGGTATGTTCCTCTCTCGACAGTTGCTGGGCCCTCCAAAGGCTCCCAGGCGCAACTCAACTCGATGGGAATTTATGATGGGACTATGATGGTATTTTTTTGGGGGTGACTGGAACAATAATAGTGATTTCCCAATATAGTGGTTAATAGTGGTTAATAATGGTTAATAATGGTTCATGAAATATCTGGTATTTTTTTTGGGGGATATAGTATGATATAGTATGATAGCTGGTTGGTGGTGACTGAAACCATGGAATTTTTATGATTTTCCCATCATATTGGGAAGGGAATTTCATCATCCCAACTGACGAACTCATATTTTTCAGAGGGGTAGGTATAATATACCACCGACCAGATATAGTATGATAATATATGGGATAATCCTTCCCATTGACTAATATTTTTCAAGATGGTCAAAACCACCAACCAGGATAATATGATAATGCTGATTATGATGTAATGCTGATTATATGATATAGTATGATATAGTTATATCATGATTAGGGGACTATAGTATGATATAATACTGATTATGATGGAGATATACTAAGAATATCTGCTGGAATGATGATTGACGATGGTGAAACACCAGGGTGTCCAACTTTTCGGCAACTGACTGGGCTTTGCGAAGAAAAATAGATAAAACAGAAGATCAATATATATATATATATATGTATACACACATATTGTAATATATCATGATCTATATGCTTTGTATAGTTTGGGGTTTGCTAAACTTACATCAACATGGATTTGATTACACCTTTGATTACATGGATTTTACCAAGAAGAAATAAATAGCTGGGGATCGATATGGTTGACCCGTTTCGTTTATTCAATGGCTTATTGAAATTGACTCAAATGAACAACCCAAAAATTATTTCAAACATTTCACAGTAAATTTCTGCTGTAATTATTTCACGAACATGTATAACATGTGGTCTTTTACAGCCGAAATGAAGAATTCGCATCTCTACCAGAATTGGTTTCAGCAGTTGCAGGAATCCCCTGTTGCCGTAAACACCTGCGTTTCCTTTGATGAATAGGGTGACTTGGTGATACACACATATATATATAGATATAGATAGAGTTCCTGAGATGAAGATCAAAGTACTGTATATGTATATGTATGTCTACAGTACAAGTATAGGACCCATGGGGTCATCAAAAGATAGGTACTGTAAGATTTTGAAGGATTGTATAGATATGTATAGATGGTATCTACATCTTAATTTAATCTCCAGGATAATCAGGATAATCAGGATAATCAGGACGGATGGGTAAATGAACCAACCGTGGCCGGGAGCAACTGACAATGCTATTGAGCTATTGCTTGCTATTGATGGGTTGCTGGGACATGCGACATGCGATTCAGCTTACAAGAATCTATGTATATATATAATCATGATGAGGAATCTCAAGGTTGGAAACGTGCCCATAGTCAGATAATGTCCAAAGTCCAAACCAATTGCGAGCCATTTTGTCTGCTTGAACATGTGTTTCATTGGATTTACCAATGCACAATACAGAATATGTTCAGGTGAAGTTCAGGTGTTTTGATATGTTGGCTTACATGCACAACATATTAGTTGTGTGATATTTACATATATTTACATGTCAGAGGCGTCCTGCTTCCAGATGCCTGGAAAAAGAAACTGCATGCAGCGGTGGACCTTTTTGTATTTGCACTGCCACTGGAAAATAGCAGCGGCTATGATGTTTCGACCTTCGCATGACCTTCGCTTCGCGCAGAACATGGACATGTTATGTCAAGAAGGCTGTTGGTCGTTGTGTCCAAGCTTGGCGACACAGATACGGCACACCCCCGGGCTATGATGCTTTGCTTCGTGCTTTGGTTCAGGCTGACTTCGATACATTTCGAAGGTCACCAAGCAGCAGAGGATTGAAGACATTTTGTTACCCCCAAGTCCAAAGGATTGTCATCATCATATGGGGTTGGGGTTTCACATTTAAATGCTGATATAAGCCCGGTTCTACGCGGGCCCCTGGAGCTGGACAGGAATGTCTTTTTCCCATGGTTCAACTTTATCATGGCCAAGGTGCAGCGCAAGCCCGGGCAGTTGAAGGTGGAGATGTAAGGAGTGTAAGGAATGTAGGTGAATGAGTGAAGTGGATTTTAAGCAGCAAAGATTGGATTTTGAATATTTTGAGGCTTAAGACATGTTTTTTGCTAGACGCAGCGGATTCTTTGATATTCACCAAAGGACATGTGGATTTCACTGCAGAGGTGGAGACATTAGTGGATTTGAATTATCAAACACGGATTTGATTGGATAAAAATGGATCAAGCAATTAGTGAACAATCTTAAATAGCAGGTGAAGGAATTAGATGAAAGAAGTCGTGCATTTTCCTGCAATGCATTTCTGATCCTTGCTGTCCTCTTGGGAGCACTAGTTACTGGTTTGCCCTGACAAGATGGGTCCCCAGCATCCACCGGAATGCAGTCCTTACGTCAACTTGAAGAAGATTCAATGGTACCCTCTGGTGAACATACAAAAAGCTATGGAAAATGGCTATAGAAATAGTGGATTTTCCCAGCTATAGAAATAGTGGATTTTCCCAGCTATAGAATGGTGATTTTCCATTGCTATGTTAGTTCACCAGAGGGTATTTGCTGGAACCATCTGGAACCATCTGGAACCCTTGAAACAGCCACAGAATTTTGTTCTAAACCTGACAGACAAATTGTGGGAATTGATCATGGCACTGGAATATGACACGACTTGTCCATAATATTCCTCTAACAACATGATGTTTGATTGATTTTGATGGTACTAACAGAAAACACACAGCCCAAAAACACATGCAGGGTATATAATTGTGGCCATGATTTGGGGGGAATAGTTCCGGGTTTCATTGTCCTTTGTTATTCATGTTTTTTAAATGCATATTCCATCATATTCATGTTCATTCTACAATATTTGACCATATATATATATAACTTATATATATAATTATATATAACTATATGAATATGGAGAAAGTCAATCTTTGACCACGCTGCCATGGTGTGGTAATGTCTATAATTTGTTGTTTTTTTCCGCTGGACTGCTCAGACTGGGACCTATTTGGAACCCAACCGCGCGGCCTTCCGAGTCCCTGTCGCTTGGAGCAAGCCTGGTCTCACCAGAATCCTTGGTAGAATGTCAATATGGCTATGGGTCAATACCTATTAATACCATTTTTAGTGGGAATGAACATCCATTTACCAGCTATTTTGGGGTTCACCAGATATAATGATGTATATAATGAACATAATACCACTTACCCTCTGGTAATTTAACGGTTGGCTATTGAAAATGGCCATTGAAATAGTTATTTTTCCCATTAAAAATGGTGGATCTTTCCATAGTTATGTGAAAGTTTACCAGAGGGTAATATTGTGTTGCTTACATTGGGGTTGTACATCCTAATCTGGTTGGTGCTTTGGAACATGTTTTATTTTCCATTTCATATATATATATATATATATCTATATGGGATGTCATCCTTCCCATTGACGAACTCCATGATTTTTCAAGATGGGCACAGCCAGCACCACCCATGTCAGTAATGTTTGGTGCTTCAATCCCTTGGAGATTGCCTCTAAATCTCCATATTCGGACAGGGCCGTAGTTCAGCGATGTAATATTGTTAATTAATGACCCGGCCTGGTAAATTAACAGTTGGACCCTGAAACTGACCAATTTATAGTGGAAACATATGGAAACTAGTCTTTCAAGCCCCATCTGGCAGGGTCTATGTTAATTTGCTGGGGGGTATATATTGTTGATTGTTCTGGAGCCGTTATGTCACCCCTAACAATTATTATGGGTCATATAATATGGTACAGTAATAGTCGCAAGCACATGGCGGTATATCCCATTGTATCGCCATAAAATGGTTGGCTTAATGCCCTGATTATCCACCGTTTATGTTGTTTATGCAGAGTATAATGCCATTCTGCTTTGGTTATATGGGTATGGGTCAATACCTATAGATACATTTTTAGTGGGATGAACATCCATTTACCAGCTATTTTGATGTTCACCAGGGGGATAGGGTTTTGACACACTGCCATATATCCCATGTTAAGTGGTATTATGTTCATTATATACATCATTAGATCTCGGTAAATTGTTCAACAACGCCTCCACGACGTAACGTTTGAACATACGGTCAATGATGTCAATGTACAGCAAGGGTAAATGTCCCAGAATATCCCAAAATGTTTGCCATTTTCCATAGCTATGTTGGTTTGCCAGAGGGTATATGCCAATTATACACCCATCATATCACCAACTTAGTTTGTTTGAAAATAGATTACCCTCTGGTTATTTAACATAGCCATGGAAACTGACCCATTTATAGATGATTTTCCCAGCTAGAAACCTCCATTTCTTTTGGGGATTTTCCATGGCGAACTGTTAGTCATAACCAGATGGTAGCTGGGTGAATTTCTATGCTTGATCAGACTTGACGATGATATCCAATTCAATGGATTGGTTTAAGGGAAAATTTACAGGAAAACCCCATATTTAATGGGAAAATCTATGGTTTCCTGTAGATTTAACCTTAAACCAATCCATTGACCAATGGTTTATCCACCATTTTTCACTAAAAAAGGGGTTGTACTTGGTGGTGACCCTTGAGCTGATCGGATTCACCCCAGTTATATACTTGTTGGCCTGGTAAACCTACAAAAAGCGACATGGAACATGGCCCAGTCGAAAGTTCGTGGATTTACCCAGCTATAAAATGGTGGATCTTTCCATAGTTTTTTGTGACAGTTTACCAGAGGGTATATAAAGCATTGTAAAGCAATAAAATAAAGAGTGATCATGCAGTTATTTCAATCTGCAACTGGGTTGGACCAGTGGACAATTCCTTGGACTAATTCGATAAGTTCCACCCTTGACAAGTCCTTGGGCAGATTGATTTGGGGCTCGGTTTTTACCCAACTGGCATCCATTCATCATCAACTAACAGGGATTCCTTAACACTGCGAACATATCCACTGATATTCCAACATTGGATACCCGGCCTGGTAAACGTTAACAAAAAACTATGGAAAGATCCACCACTTTTAATAGGTAAATCCACTATTTCTATGGCAATGTTCAATAGCTATGTTAGTTTACCAGAGGGTAATTCCACGCATATTTCACCAATCCAACGGACAAATCACCAGTCCTACCTATGATTCAACCATCTGCATCAGCTAAATCCGCTCAACTGATTACAGTAAAAAACGCATCAACATCCAATTAATGTACCAGTAACATTCCATCAATATTCCATGAGTTGTCATGAATTGTCCACTATTTATCAGCCAAATCCGCATATCTTGCAACGTGGTGCCCCCAAGATAGCTAAATTGGTAAACATAACTCCAACAACTCTTGGACTTGTGGTAGATACCCTCTGGTAATTTAACATAACTATGGAAAATCACCATTGTTTATGGGAAAATCCACTATTTCTATGGCCATTTTCAATAGCAAACTGTTAATTTACCAGAGGGTATATCGAATTAGTTCACGGGGTTATAAACCAACATCACTCCGAGGCAGAGGGTTTTTCCACATTGCAAACATTGATTGTCAATAATCCTAACTACCAATGGTAAATATGAAGGGTTCATATTTAAGCTAAATTATACATATGGCAGTGGGTCAAAACCTTGTACCCCTGGTGAACATCAAAATAGCTGGTAAATGGATGTGCATCCCTCTAAAAATGGTATTAATAGGTATTGATTCATAGCCATATCAACTTATCAACCATTTTTTATTACCATTATTAATAATATTATACATATCCTGAACCATGGTAAATATCAACCATGTTAAATCCCCATGCTGGAGTCTAAAAAGTGCCCAGGTCCACCTGACGAAACCTGAGATCCGCAACTACCTGCGCGAGGCGCGTTCGAGATTTGTTCTTCGGATTTCATTAAAATAATGTCTGTGTATATCAATGGTTTATACATCTTTATACAACATATTGAAACTGGTTTGATACTTTATGATGTTTTATGCATGTTTATATCATATGTTTTTTTGTCACTCGTGATTTTGTTTTGACATGTTTTGACATATACACCAGTATTATGGATTTCACGATAAGAATGTCGTTTTGAGCCGTGAAGGAGGGTAGCTAGTAGATGGCCATGGTTGGTATCAAACAAGCCACACAACGGCTTTTTGAGACTAAAGTTGGATTTTTATCAGTAAACAACAGGAGTCTACTCCGCATTTGTTTGGTGAATGGCAGGTGAACATGGGTTAATTTTTGACATTTCGATGGAGGATTTGAAGGGATTTGATTCTTGGTGAACTCAACATTGACCTACACCCAGATCTTTGGACACGAAATCCAAGTGGAGCGCATGAACAAGAAACGAGGGTTTTGAACATAACATGATATCAAATTGAATTAACACGACGGGGGATGTAAGCCACAGAATATGAATATGTCTTGTGTAATCGGTAAAGAGAGTTGTAGCCGTAGCCAACGGCGGGAGGTTTTGAGATCCGAAAACATTTACCACTATTACATAATATGTTTATCCTCTACCCTTTGGTGAACAAGCATTGCCAATTGCAGTAAAAATAATGCAAGGTTGTTCAGGTGATTTGTGATTTACTGTACTTAGTGAGGACCTAGTGAAGACCGGCGACCGGAACTGTGACCACCACCGTTGCCATGTGAAAAAAAAAACATTTCAACAAGATAGGGCCCCCAAGATAGCTAAGTTGGTTTATAAGTGGTTTAACTATGGTTTATGGTAGATATAACGAACTAGTTAATGGGGATTGATTCATGGTTTATAAACCAACGTTCACATCACTGGGGGGCCCCATCCTGAAGGTATTCTACAGGTTATAACGTGGTAGGTTTCCACAACTGGTGGGATCATAGATGTCCCAGTGGTTCCCAGTGATTGGTTGATGAAAATCGGTTCGGGGGTTCTGAAGCGGTTTACCCCAAAATAACAACAGCTTTCTATGATGATAGATGGTGTACCAGCTCTATAAGGCCCCTCTATCAATGGGAGATCTTCAGGATCCTAAGTCATGGAGGTACGTAAATGTACCATATGTACCATATTGTTGGCCATATTTTCGATATTCCCTGAAATTTAGGCCTGAACAATAGGCCCACCATATATGGAATCGGTACCTCCGTCCTCAATCGGATCCTGTTGCATGGCCATTGACTCTACCCTCTGGTAAACTTTCACATAACTATGGAAAAACACCATTTTCAATGGGTAAATCCACTATTTCTATGGCCATTTTCAATAGCCAACCAAAAGGACATGATTTTCGGTCGCCCGTTTCAGCGCCCGTCCAGATCTACAAAGCAAAGGTGATCAAGGCACCGCCGGAGAGATGAGATAACTTGGCGATTTTCGTTGGATGGGCTGTGAAGCCGAGCTTGTCATTGGTAGATAATAATACCCTCTGGTAAACTAACATAGCTATTGAAAATGGCCATAGAAATAGTGGATTTACCCATTAAAAATGGTGGATCTTTCCATAGCTATGTGAAAGTTTACTAGAGGGTAACTATTTTTATATATTATTGTTGTTATTATTAGTAGTATTATTGTTATTAATTATTATGATTATCATTATTGTATATAGATTCATGGATAATTATAGTCTATGTGGAATTTCCCCACCTGTATTATATGGATCCCCTTGGGATATTCCGGAGGTTGGAGGGAACAGTTTTTGACCAATAATTTTGGTGTATTCTTCTGAGTTTGCAGAAATCTGTACTTTCCAGAATTCGGTTATTTGATATTATTTGATGCATGCTGCTTCGCGCTCCTGAGAATACATCTCTTGAATTTGGGACACACTTTTTCTGTCAAGACGAAAGCGCCACGATCAGAGGACACGACAAAAACTGAAGAAAAGAGAATGCTGGCTCTTTTGCTGCTGGCAAGGTCCAAGCTCTGAAGAGGGCTTGTCAGAACAGTTTTGGTGAGCCGTCCCTGCTGGATTTAACCTTTGCAGAGCAGCTTGAACCTGCTCTGCAACTGCATACTCACCTGCATGTCTGTGTGTTTCGCTATGTTTCGCTGATGCGGAACAACCTTTGGCACTATGGCAATTCACTTGCCAATACAACCCGGACAGATATGTAAAAAACATCGAATACTGTAATTGTTTGGTTTGTTTGGATCGCAAGCAATTCGACTGCGGGTTCTTGGCCCCGTTGAAGAAGGAAGCGTTCGAATGTGGTCCTTGACATAGCAAGAACCTTTTCGGGTTTCTGAACGAAATCTGAAGGTGATGAACATGTACTAAATGAGATGCACATCCAAATACGCTAATAGATCTAATAGCTTAATCATGTTTCATCACACAAGTTCGGGGCTTGACCAATATCGATGAGGCTATATATTGCCATGTGGATGTAATGCGATATGTAACCAACAACTGAGATGGTGTTCTTCGGAGATGGGAAAAACAATGCGAAAATCATGAGAAAACATGAGGTTTTGTCGTATGGTACATTATGGTACCCAATTTTCAGACAAGACCATATGGCTTACAGTACTGTAGTAATTGGGTACCAATAGATCGATAATACATTGATACATTGGTCGTAGTCGTTTTGATAGTAAGGCTTGAATTGTTGGATGTAAATATGTCTCGAGCCGTTCCCATGTTGGAAATGTAGATTCCAACGTAGATAGACATAATATCATAATATGTAATCATGTTCAATCACATAGTTTTGAAGCATATGTTAACACCTTGTGTACTCAAAACACACCATTAAATTAACCTGCAGGGGGTTCACGAACAAAATTTTGACAGGATCATTTGCTTGCTGAACTCCCCTTTTGTGCGAGTTACCGCTGCAATGCCAGCAGCGGGACTTCATAACGTTCTCGCAAGCACAGACGCCCTAGTGGACACATGATTGGACATGATTTCACTACGTTCTTTGTTTAAATCATGGCTTGGAGAAAAGACATCTAAGAAAACAATGTGTCTCGTGAAGTGCCCCTAAACCCGAGACACTGTTTTTCCCCTATGTTTATGTTTGAAAAGGATTTGTTTCTCGTGTTTGGTTTTGGAGTACTCAATTTCGAGAGACAACAATGTTGAACAAACCTGACTAGGTGCATTTGCCAACTACAACCGCAGTCATAAACCATTCAAATGAGTGGTGAATACCCCTTAGCTATAGATGTCATAAGTTCACTTACAAACCTACTTTGAATCCATTCATAAACATAGTTTAGATACCATATGCACAGCAAAAGACAAACAATCATCCCCTCTACATAATGGAATGATACACATTACAAACTACCATGACATATCAATTCGTAAAGTGGAGCATTAAACACTACTTATTTATGACTGGTTCTGAGAAACAAAAGTTGTGATACAAACATGCATAAGACCCAGGAGTACGAAGGCCCCCAAGTTTTTTTGGTGGTTGGTAAGTCCATCCAAGTATATGATATAATAATAATAATAATATGCATGTGTATATACATATATATATTATATATTATATATATATATATCATATATATTATATATATTATATATACATATTATATTATATATATATAATATTATATATATACATATTATACCTATATCCATCCTAGTTAGCGTCCGGTTTCACTACCAGGTGAACACCTACATCAAATTGCCGATGATCCGGCGGAATGCCTTCGGGCAGTACTACAAAAACGGGCCTTCCTACAAGCTCCTTGGATGGCCAAATGGCTGGGTCAACGGTTAGGAAACGCGGCTCCTTTTCTGGGTGATTTTTAAAGGGGGGATTCACCTAACCTACGAGAGAAAAGCTTCTCCAATTCACCAGTGGGTAAAGATGGAGGTTTACCATTCAAGGGGATAGGATTTGTCAAAAATGAATGGTTCATGGTCCAGTTTCACCCGGAAAACTGAAGAAAAAACCCAGCAGCGGCGCTTCTACGGGTGGACTATTCATTGTGGACTACTGACTACTTAGTGACTGGTAGCTGAGCATGTGTTGTGTTTGTTCTTATTTTGGGACAATCGATGACAAATTTTTGTAATCTTATCCAACGACACTACAGAACAACGCTGATGTAATGGGATCTAATTCAATTCCAACTATTGGTATTTGGTAAGGAATCATAGTTGTGCTTCCTGGTTGTACATTTACATGAAATGAACTCAAACATGGTGATAGTAATGCAGGTATACAATATTATCAACATACTGTGTATTGAATTAGCCACAGAATGGGGACTTACATGAGAGTTGGTAATCAGTGTTTTCCGCCAGTTATGGTTCTTGGGATGATTTGGGTTGGAAAAAACGTGTGTATCCTTGAGATTTCCATGATATACCGATAGAGCATATGGTATCTCTTGTGATAGTAGCCCCATGTGTGGCATTTTCCCACCCAAAATTTAACATGGTAGTATACAAGACATCCCCATGTCAATAAAGCGTGGGTTAGATTGTAATTCATGTTCTTAGAAGTTTGAGTTGCTTTAACTGTGAAGCAAGGAGCAAAGTAGAATTATGTGAGTTCTTCACTCATACTAGAGGACAATACATATAAAATTTTGCAGTTTTGCAGCCAGTGTAAGAATAATTTCAATCTGGACAGCATGTCCAATCGCCACGAGCGTCAGTGTGTTGGAACATTCGCAAGGAATCTCAAACCTGATGTGACGCAATCTGACCGCTTGATGCTTTCATTATATAATGTTGACCATCATTTATCGTTCATCATATCCCACACGATAGAAGAATACCCATGTAATGTCAACTTAAGATTCATAAACCGTCCCCCCCACAAGGTAGGTACCTAGGGAAAAGGTTCTGCTAAGGTTCTTCCCCTAATTAATCGTCCTCCTAAGTCGAAGTCATAAGAGATCAACTTCGAATTGCTATCAATCTACTTTCAATTGATTTTCCTTTTAAACCAACAAGAAATCTAATGGGCCAAGGGGGTTGATTAATTAGGGGAAACTGTCAGATATGGTATATGCCGCTTTTGCTAGCGAAGCTGGCAAGGCTTGGGCCCAACAGGCAATGAACGCATGACCCTCGTGATGAAAGAAGGACTCAAGGAAGGAACGACGTTCCACTTCACAGTCAGCCCAATGGTTTGCTTTAAGCTGCGACTTCTTGGCTACCGGCCTGAGGGCATGGTATTTGATCGCCCCAATGTGGATGTCAGGGCACTTCTTCTAAGATATTTACTGTGGAGCTTTCGAGAGCTCACAAACCTGAGTGTAGAGCTCGCCTATTATTTGGGTGGGACATGGGCTCAGGAGGGGTACCCTTTCGGAGCTTCTCAAGGTGATGGTTTTTAAATGGAATGTGATAAAGAAATTGGCCATTTGCGAAACCGTTTTTTTTAATTTGGCCAAAAAAATGGCTTGAACCAAGACTGCAAGACTGAGCATGTGATTGCAGAGTCACAAGTCTGTGACTGCAAAGTCAAGCCTGTGACTGCAAAGTCACGAAAAGGCTGGTGCCTTTTTGCAACAAACTAATTACAGTAATTACTCAACTCGTATGATTGTAGTGTGTGCTGAGCCAATAAAACCTTATTATGGGGGAATCTCTGTCAGAGGTCTGGTGTTCAATGCATGTGACTGCATGTAGTGTGGTGTTTTGTTACATGGGTGGTTCCCCTCCCTTGATAAAAAAGGGGGACCAATCCATTTGAGTATTGCCAAAACACAACTTTCTGAAGTGTGGTGGTTTATGAATCCCTGGTAGATTTATAATCCTAACTTGACATTAACCAATATCAACATTATCAATTTTGCTGGTGAAATCACCATCTTTGTTGGTGACATGTGTTCAATTCTTATCTACTCACCATTGTTGGTTTTCACAGGAGTCATAGGGGTTGCTACCTCGATTCAGGGCCACTTAACTGTGCAGAATAGGATTTCATTGACTTAATTATTTGGCCTTTACCCTATTTGTAGACAAGCCAATGTGGGAAAGCCCATGTTGATAAAGGGGCAATCCGAATCAATCCGACCCTTGAAAAATCATTCCCACTTTTGGACTAGTGCTATACATGAAGAAATCCATATCTTGGGCCGGCCAAATTGCAGAAAGCACTATTTCAGTGTTTGCAGTAAACTTGCGATATCACCACCCCGAAAAGAATTAGCAGTATATAGCAATGATTTTTTTAGGCCCCCATAGATATATGATATTTAGGAATGCACATTAAATACATTAATGCGCACTATAACCCGATTGTTTTCTTCTTCCATATTTTAGATCCCAGACATTCATCGGACCTGAGGAAAGCTATCGTGACCTTTGAGGTGGGAGCTGTGCCAAGGAGGTACTAAGAGTTTCCCAACAAAAAATGTAGGCCATGTAGGTTTTCCAGAAATATGTAATATATGATCTATGTAGATAATTTACAGACATGGTGAGTTATTGTGACACAATCATTGATATCATGATTTCTGATATAATATGTTTTAATTAATGATGTATATCTACTGACGCACTGTGGATATCTAAGCAACGCGTAAGTTTTAACAACTTCACCGCCAGGTGGCTGTAAATGGTGATTTGTAGGGGCCATAACCAACAAATATTACATAGACGTGCTGATTATGTGTTTCTTAATGCTTCGATGTGCCCGAATGCGCCCATGACCCAAATGATGCTCCAGTTTTTGGCACTTCGATATAGAGAGTGCTTCAGCATGCCATAGCTATGGCCCAGTTTCACATGGAATCACATCAGGATACCGTTACGGTTGCAGTGAAGGGTTGGCGCCTTTCCTCCGCAGACACAAAGATTAAAGGCGTCAGGGCGTCACAGGGATTCAAGGTGTCAAAACATCACGCGGATGCAAGGCATCGGTCATGAGTCATGGCGAACAAAGTTTCAACGCTTCAATGCTTCACCCATTGCGAACCTTGCATAACAGACGCACTTTGGTTTTCAATGGTTTTCAACGACATGGGTTTTTATGCTAATCCAACCGTCGTGGTACAGCCTGTGAGGCAAGGTCATTACAATTTAGATCAATATATAAGTAGTACAATTTACCAAATCTTACGGGGCCATACGATCAGACATATTGACATATGTATATTGCACTAGTTGTTTCTTGTTGTAAACATGACACCGCTAAGACTCTCTCTCTCTGATTGAGTTTGCGCAGGCAAACGCCACCTATGTCAGTCAGTTCCCCATGGCTACCCTGATTGGCCAAGACGAGAACCTGTCCCTCCGGTCTGGGACAAAAGCGGACTGCAGCCGTCAACGTGACCGCCGACCAAACTGGACTTCGGCGGAGCATGACACTGGCGGCAGAAAAATGGACCTTGAATTTTCGCACTCCAAGAAACCTGATCCACAACAAGCAAAATAACTGCGGCACATGCAGACAGAAGTCGACAAAGTGCTAGATGCTTTGCCCCGCACATACATGACCTGCCGGGAATGCTACAGCTTTGCCGAATGCGAGGCCGCGAGGTCGGTGAAGTCATTGATCCTTTCTAGCCAATGTACAAGCAATGTTTACAAGGTGGACGCTCTCAGGTATGAGTTGGCCTATGTTCACCGTTTCAACAGTAGACATATTGTAAACATCCAAAGCATCTAGCGAAGCTCGTTATAAACCAACGTACCTATCTAGTATGCGGCCCAACAAAAAAACCCTTTGGTAATCAAACCTGGCAACTGGGAATCCCTATATGTTTGGTACGACTATCATTTGTCCAAGACGAAGACCATATGACCCATATGAGGGTTGTCTCAAAATTCGGAAGTCAAAAATCCCATGATTTATAGTCATATTCCATATGCCTTCTGCCACTGGCAATTTTGGGGATGTGCCCCATTGGACAAGCTGAGCGCGCCGAGCGCGCCAGGAGACCATTCCAGATGACGTGAAAATGATCTACAATTCCAAGTGGGAAAACCCAGGAAATCACAGCCCAAGTAACTGCGAGGTAGGGTGCATGCTGGTTATGGATATATTATAATGATATATAGATAGTAACAACAAGGTAGTGCCCCCAATTCTTAGGATAAGGTGGCAAACATAGCTAGGCTAAGACTTGGATTGATGGTATATACATCATTATACATCTACAATATTATATATATTTGTCTATACAATTTATACCTGGGGGGGCAGCACCTTGTAACCATGGTAGCAGCCCCCACGTGGGATATACCGGTGACCCCATGATGGATATGGTGAATGACTTGGGTGAATCATCCCAAAAATGGCCCAACATGTCCCGTATCCCGTCAGCTTCCTTGCTGGCTACCTTAATGATTAGCCCCATGTTACCCTCTGGTAATGACTAACATAGCTATTGAAAATGGCCATGTATAGTGGATTTTCCCATTAATACTGGTGATGTTCCATAGTTATGTTAAATTACCAGAGGGTATAAAATGCATGATTGTGTGAAACACATGTTGTTCCAGGAAATTGTGAACATCGTATCAAAAAGTGGTACGTTTTATCGCAAGAAGCCAGATTAGTTTGCAATTGTACAGTTTGTCAACATTTTTTTTGTTGAATGTTGTGTACCTTGTTAATGCATACGGGTCTATTTGAACATTGTCTACAACTCAAATCAACGGTTTATAATTGGTCTCTAATCGGAACACCAATCTGGGGGTATCCCCCATTCTTGGACGCACCAAGTTTTTTTTAGGGGAATTGGGACCTCATGTTGATTGTATCTACATCTTTGTTTCAGACATATCAATTTGGCCCATTTTATTGATATTGTTTTTGATTTATCCGAGATGAAAATCCGAATTGATCATCCGTTTATGGTTGATTATCATGTTTCCCATTCAACTGGCAATTAATGTTGATGTTAACATACATCTCGACTGCAAGTCCGTTGTTGCTGCGACATTTCCTGACATTCCTGCAGTGCTCATGGAAACATCGACTGACCAACTGAAACAGATTTTTTTCTTCTACGGGCGGTATTTTTGACATTTTTTGACTACTCTCCGAGTAGCCACGAGCCATATACCAGCACCATTCGGAACATTTTTTTTATATATGCGCATCGGTTGGGATGATTGCAACTGAGGAATCCTGGCATTAATCCTGCCTTGACCAAATACGTCCCTGGGCGTAGCAGTTGGATGGTGGACCATTGGATTTGCTGATTCTGTCGAAGATTTTCGAAGATTGAATCCAATATTTTTGGAAAATCTCAAGGGAATATGTCATGTGATTCTACTTTACAGTACTGTATATAATTTCTGGTTGGTGGTTTCAAACATGGCTTTTATTGCTTTTATGACTTCCATTTCATATATGGAATGTCATCATCCCAACTGACGAAGTCCATCATTTTTTCAGATGGGTAGGTCAACCACCAACCAGTCATGGCGAATCAGCGAATCTTCTAAGCGTACCCAAGAACTTGACTCATGTGTGTTTGATTTGTAAGGCAATAACATGATAAATGGATTTGATTATAATATAATATATTATATTTTATTTTACTATATTCTATGTTATGTCATTGTTTTAAATTTTACATTGTATTATATTACATTATATTACATTATATTACATTATATTACATTATTTTACATTATATTATATGTTGTATTATGTTATATCTGATATAACATATACATATACATATAATTATACATATAATTACATACATATATATATATATAATCATAGAAGCTGATCAGATTCACTTGTGCACAAAAAAGGGCCACGGGAATCATGCAGGGGAAACCCTCAAAGTGAGTCAATGCTAAAAACCGATGTGTGAAGCACGTGGAAATCCATCCGTGACCCAAATGAACTACTGGTTGGTGGTTTGGAACATGTTTATTTTCCATTTCATATATGGGATGTCATCCTTCCCAACTGACTTTCATATTTTTCAAGATGGTTGAAACCACCAACTAGTTATAAACAGTGATGCAACCACCTATTAATGGTTTGTATATATATACACAGTATATATAAAATGGACAAATATGCTAAACCATTGTACTTTGCTTATTTTTACATACTGTTCGGACAACTCCAACTAGCAATGTTCGAATTTGCAGGGTAGTCCAAGTACAAGGTGATGCCGTGATGTTTCTCGGTTTATAATTCATTTAAAAACCTTTTTATAAAACTAGCACAATGTATCTACCATGAACCCTACAGTTGTGGGTAATGAAAAGGGGCAAAACCTACCCCCCAAGGACACTCCATGCATCCGCCGCTGGAAACCCTTTCGTCCAGGCGCTTCCAGTTCGAGTCGTTGGAGTTTCACCATCAAAAATATCGGGACCCATAGGAATTTGGTATAAACTACCGGGACTTCAGCATCCAGGCCACATGGTTTTTCAACATCTTCAAACCATGAACTGTCATAGCGTCCAGAACTTTTACCCTCTGGTAAACTGACATAGCCATTGAAAATGGCCATTTATAGTGAGTTTTCCCATTAACAATGGTGATTTTCCATAGTTATGTTAGTTTACCAGAGGGTAACACGTGTTCAAAAAGGTGGTTGGCCTTTACTTTGTTGTTTGTGGGTCCCGTTTTTTGTGAATGTTTGTGGCTTTCTACTCTGGTGTAGGTAGAAGATGCCCTATGATTTAACTTCCAGATCAGGAAAAATCAGTTCGTGGATTGGTTTGTGTTTTTTCCCATTATATATATATACCATCTGGTTATTTAACATAGCCATGGAAATTCACCATTTTTAATAGGTAAACCATCTATTTCTATGGGCCATTTCCCATGTCTATGTTAAATAACCAGAGGGTACATATAATATTTGTTCATAAGTTACATCTGTAGCAGCCAACATGGAAGAAACGGGACCAGCCAGCCATGCAAGACCCTGGGACAGCGGCTTGTTTGAATGGTGCCTGGAGCATGTGTTGTGAAAACAACAGTTGGATCTGCAACAATTTATTGAATGTTTGTGCATGTTGCTAGGTCAATCTTAGATGGATACCAAATAATCCTAACTAGTTTTTTGGTATTAATGGATATTAATGGGATTTAATGGTAATATCTACTCACCAGCATTAACCAGCAAAGAATTTTATTTTTTGCAGGGTATCTAACATTGGCAATGGTTGATGATGCATCCTGATATATGATCATTTTTGTATTGTGGTTCCAAGCGCCATTGCGACAAGACTTGCTGGCGAGAAGGACACGATCAGCAACTGCTGCTGAGTTGCGCTACTGTAACAAGGTGCTGCCCAAAAAAACATATCCTTGGTATCTATCCCCATCTATATATCCCCACTAAGTCACTATCAACCCATTGTAAACCATTATAAGCCCAATATAAACCGGATATAGCCATATTTATTCATATTGACCATATTTTACCATACAAATAAGATGACCAACTCCTCCCACGTTGCCTCGCCTCTCGCAAGGAGCAAATCGACGGAGGGATTGGATGCCACGGCATCCCCTGGTGCCATGCCAAGCATGTCCTGGGGTCATCGGGTGAGTTGGATGGTTTTTTGCACCAAAAAGCGGTGATTTAACCAACAAAAGTGTGGATCTAACCATCAAAAGTGGTGATTTGAGCAACAAACATTGTGATTTAACATGATTTAACCATCAATTTGAAGCAACAAACTTGTGTTTCCACCAGTAAATGGTGACTTATCTCTCTCAAATTGGAATTTGTTCGAAACCTAAATGAGGGGATCTAGTGATATATATAGCTGCTAACATTGGATTTCCCCTTGAAACTTGTGTTCAGATCAGTAAACTTGTCGAACCTCAAATCCTCGACGACTCGATGGGGGAAAACATCGGACCAAAGCCACGGCTGGGACCGCAGCTTTTCAAACCAAGCCACTGATCAAAGCTTTAGTTTAGTCACACTTTGATACAATCTGATCTTTTGTAATATGTAAATGGATGTAAATGGGAATGTTGAGCAACCAGCTTAAACAATGCGGTTCGTATTGGACATGACTTGACATGACACGATCTTGGCGAATTTAAGACCAAGGGGCCCACAGATATTGATAATGTGAAGTACTCAACTACTTGTTTTTTGGGTGATTTTACATGATTTGATAATTTTAAGCACTAAACATATCTATCATTTTTAAGGGTGTATCAGTTTGGACTGGCGCCCAAAAATGGATAAACTGGATATGTCGGCCAACATTGTCAGATTTGGCGACGGGAGCTGGCCAAGTCCATTGGTTTTTCACCAGTCTTCTGGTTTAAAACCAACAGTAGTTGCTAAGTCCAAATGTTTGTAAACTTGTAAACATGTTTTTTTGGAAACACATCCATAATTACTTTTGTTATCTTTTGTTTGTAAATTTGTGTCGTTGGTATTTGTTGTCGACGAGATTGGCATTTTGTGTCTTAAAGTGTTTAAACTCTGTGGGATTGCAGGCAAGATCAACATGTTTGTTGGTAAGCTTTAACTTGTTACTGTAAATTTTACGTAGAATCCGTACTTTGGTTGGCCACCTTGGCTACTTCCAGTCTTGGTCAGATTATGAACATCTACAAGCTGGTGCCAACCAAATAGGTTTATTGTAAACCAACTAAGCTTTCCTACAGAGACCTAGTTCGACGTTCGTTGGTTATCTCGTCATTTTATCGTTATCCAATGTTTGGATATGTTTGTTGGTTCAACGATCCATTTTGATGGCTTACACACACCGTGCACGGGACATCTTTAGACATCTTTGGGATCTTCCAATTTGGAGCGCCGGTTGAGTCGGTTGAGGCCTGGGCCGAGCCTGTCCCAACCTTGCTGAGGGGCGATGACTTCCCCCCACCCAAGAGGCACGGTTTTTCCATGTTTTTCCCGACGAAATCTTGGGATTGAACCAAGAAAATCTCGGGATTTACCCTCTGGTAATTTAACGTAGCTATTGAAAATGGCCATTTATAGTGAGTTTTCCCATCAAAAATGGTGATTTTCCATAGCTACGTTAAATTACCAGAGGGTATCCATGAAAAAACTGAGGATTTAAGTGACATGATTTTTCGATGAAAAAAGACCGATTTACTGGTTGATTGGTTTTGGGGTTAGGGGGTGCCAATACACGTTAACTCCATTTATTACTATATATTTGAACAGACTTGGATGACCATCCCATTTCATCCGGAAAAAGACGTTGGGGTTTTATTATTGGGTTACCATCTTATATATATATACTATACACTTTTTTGTTGTGATTTTTTCCGTTCTCAAAGATGGTGACTTTCCATGGGGAAGTGTTAAATTACCAGAGGATATCCAACGAAATATGTGGATACAATGTGGATACAGGGATATCTATTGCTTGGTCCAGCAAGAATTGCAATTTTAGCTTCAGACTTTTTGCTTTCCAGAAACGGCTAAAAACTCGTTGCCAGGGGCGACTCAGTGCTCCCTGATCACACCAAGCCTTTTCAGCACTACGGACAGGTGGGCCCGTGAGTTGTAATGATTCAAATGGGCATCAATGAGCTATTCGATGACCAACCATGGTACAACCTAAAGGAAACACATATTGGAAGATATTGGAAGTAAAGGGGGATTTGGAATGCACACGGCTCGTGCCATCTCAGATTTGTGAAGTTTTTATGACCAGCTTTTGATGCAATAAGATGGATGAACACAGATGACCTCCAGCATGGAACAGTCATTTTCCAAGGGATCCTTCCTTGGAAGTCTGAGGGGTTCAAGCAGCACGGACCGAAAGTTCATGCCGCAAGAGAAAATAGACACGCAACGTTGATTCATACATTTGATGTTGTATGTGCAAGTCTGATCTTACACACTAATCACGACAGTCTGTTGGCTTACAATCTTTGATCGGGGTCGGTTGTAGAGGGAACACACCTCTTCGCTGCTTCGCTTGGTTGCAGGTGAAAGAGATACCACCTGGGACTCCGCCACAGGACAGTGTTGAATGTGGTAGAAGTGGTGCTGCGTCAGGTTGTTTCTTTGAGCAATTGGATATATGGGGGTTTCTTAAAATTGGGGATCTCTAAAACCATGGGTTTCAATGCTAAAATTAACCAATTTGGGATGATTTGGGGGTCCCCCCATTTTAGGACACCTCCATGTAATTAACCAACCCTGGATGAATGAAGCCCCAGTTCCTTACTTTGTGGTTCATCTCAGCTAGTAGGTGGGTTATACCGCTGGTGAATGGTAGGGTACGTAGGGCTATAGTCCAATTTTAACTGAGGTATACTGAGGTTATAACCAAATTACTAAATGGGTTGAGCCACCAAGTAGTACGGGGGGTATGATTGATATTTCGCATCACAGTTGTAGGAACTCAATTTCTGGGACCCTGCCTATCGCGACTTATGGTTTACTAGTGGTCCACACGATACTGGGGAAGTTGCCTGGGTTGAACACAAAAAAAAACTTGCAATCCATGGATTCATCCTTAAGTATAATACTATTATATACTATTATATACTATTATATACAATTATATACTATTACAATACCTTCAAAGCCTGTTCAAGATTACTAATCAGAGAAACCCAAGCTACTCCAGCCAACCAACAAGTGGGCAGTTCTTGGAGTGGGGACCTTATTCAATAAGTGCTGCTGATTGTCCGACTGCCAAAGAGATAACTGGCCAAGTACCAGGCCAATAGGCAGGTGAAATGACAATCCTGAGTCTTCTTCTTAAGCCATTTATGTCATCTTTCATGTCATTTTTCAGATGGCATTTCTATGGCTTAACAACCTCGCTTGTTTTAATGCAAGTGACCTCTTCTTCCCGCTACTCTGTTATAGTCTCTTCGGGGTTTATTACAATTTAAGTGTCAATGCCAGTGGTCTCAGATTTCTCCATTGCTGATGGTAAAATCCCCGCGTTTTGGTGTGGTAAATGTTGGAACATGTTGGAACCATATGGTTTTTACCATTGGTTTGTGCAGGGAATACCCAGCCCTTCCTCGACCTAGTTTAACCTGGTCTTTACTAACGGCCGGCTGTTTGTGTAACGGCCAAGTTTAACCTGGCCTTTGGAAGGCCTGGGATATATTTGTATTTTCTCATTGGTGGCGAAAACGGACGGTTTTTTAATAAATCATCTCAGATACTGTAGGTTGGTGCATGTTTTTTGAACCCCACTTATTTGGGAGACGATATCATGTACAGATCAGAGACAGAGGCACAAATCTGATGGACAGATGGCCGGCGTCTCAGTCGCCGAGGAGTTTCCCAGGGTCAATGTGGCCATGTTGCGCGCCGACAAGGACGAGATGACGACGACAATGTCCCTAATTGGATTCCGGACTTCATCGGTATTCCATCCCCAACTGGATTTTTAAGCTGGGCGGAGAAGAGCATGAATAGGACAAAACTGCTGGTATTACACATTTAATCACATTTATAATACATAATTTCTCAAAAGGAAAAGTTGGGGTTTGACTCGGGTTTGACTACAAACATGATCAGAACATGACACCCAGAAAATGACCATAGAATCAACAAAATGGAGACATTCGCCAATCAATGTTCGGAGCTGCTTAAATCAATGATCAAAAACGCTACCACAACATCTGTGCCAATCTGTGCCATGGTCTACACATGTCGTATTTTTCCCACCAAGGAAGTGTTCATACCGGCTCATATACCCCTATGTTCGGTGGTTTTCTTGGGCAGGTGTCAATGGATGACCTGGAAATTGGGCTACCCCTTTATTGCTGGATGGTTTATTTCATGACTTTCATGGAAAATCCCAATCTAAAAGAGATGATAACTGGGGATACCCCCATTTTTTAGGAAACCACCACATGTGAAACATGAGTTTTTTTTTGTCGGGTTGGGACCCCCTGGTCCCCTTAAAGACTGCTCGTCTTTCCGTCTTTCGCGCGCGCCATTTTAGAGGTCTCATACTATCCCACGTAGCGTGGACGTAGATATGTTAGCCCATGCAAGTCCATAGATCCTAATCTCAACTGCTTGGTGGTTTGGAACATGGCTTTTATGAATTTCCATGTATTGGGAATAATATATCATCCCAACTGATTAATATTTTTCAGAGGGGTAGGTCAACCACCAGTCAATCAATGACTGTTTCAACTCAGGAAAATTCTTGGAGATCAGGAGCCCTGGTTGTTGACGGAGCACCAGACACAAGAGCATGCGAAAAATAGGCAGTCAAATTCCCTGAAGATATAGCTTCTATAAAAGCTTCATGATATGTAAAGTGGTTTGAAGTTTGAACATTTTTTTTAAATGGAACATCTTAATTATACAATGTTATACAATCATATACAATCACTGTAGATGTTTCCCCTGAAACCCCTTAAGTGACAACACAACTTATTCGCGCCTCGCGTTGGTGGATCACCGGTATGGTTCGCAACTCAGCGCGACTGGATGGTCAGTTTATAGCCTGTGAGGGCAGGGTTGATAGTAGTTAGATATGCAATGATATGTATACTGTATATATATATGATTATGATTATATATATACACATCATATACACATCATTATCTATATCTTTTGTTGATAGGCTTTACACACCAAGGTATACTGCAACTGGGCGGCACCACCTTGTGGGCTGCACCACGTAAACTATCCATCTTCATTTTGCTGGCAAAATCTCCATCATATTCATCATATCCTCCATCAAAATCCGAGGTTTTCCCAGTCATAACTGGGGTGAACGTTCCCCCCACTTCCGAACCATGGTTTCCCGCAGTTTCCCCATTGCATTCCCCGCATTTTTGCACCAAATATGTCCAAGTTCTTAGTGAAAGCACCGTTGATACCCGGCCTGGTAAACGTTTACATAGCGAACTGGAAAATCATCATGCTATCAATGGGAAAAAACTCACGAACTTTCGACTGGGTCATGGCTTCAATAGCGAACTGTTGACATAACCAGAGGGTAACCAACAGACGGATTGGTGAGTCATCCCCGTGTCATCGATCCGCCAGGTGCAGCTTCTCTGGGCCTTCCATCGCACCTTGCAACTGCCCGATGCCGTCCGGGGGCACAGGGGCTCGCAACGTGGCGGAAGGAGAGCGGAAAATGATGGAAAATGCTACTGTTATTGGGAAATATATGGAAATAGTGGATAAGGAACCAGTCTTGGATAGGAAAATGTTGGGGATTTTTTACTCTGTACATCTACATGTCTTTACTTTATCTGGTTTCAGACATGTTTTTTATCGGGTTTTGCAGCGGGTTGACAGTCAGCCAATGGTGGAGGGTACCAAGTAGCATCCAAACTACTTCAAACGTTGCCATCTTGGGTTTGATGCACCGTTTGTTCTTGATAACTCGTTGTGATTTGCTTCCATAACTGCGAAGTGTCATATACCAGGAGGGCCTCTCCAGTACTCAAATGGCTTTGTAATCAGGCTATGTAGGATTTATGGTGGATATACTGATATATCATGTTTTCTTTTTTTCTGCAGATGATATTTTTAACCAATTTCTAGGCTCATCTTGTAGGAGGTAGAAAAATCAACCAATGATGGCTTCGTCAGTAAAACCTTGCATCATTTGAACATATTTGAGCACTCTGTGGCAATCGCACATGCTCCACCTATCCCCACAAGCACTGGTTTGTAGTGGGGAAACAGTCATAAAATGGGCTGAATCAGGAATGAGTTTGATAAATGTCCACCAATGTCCTGAATATATCCCCATTCCCCATTTGCTTGTACTAGATAATGATACTCCCAAGTTCGCCATCAAACGACTATTCCAATTGGAAATTCACCATGATTCCATGCACACATCGGTACCATGGGGACAACTTGCCCAGCCATTAACCACAAAAAATCACTTCTCCCAGCTCCACTCCTACGATATGTGCCTCTCAGAAACACTGGTTTGATGGTTGGTTCACGTACACCCCAAACATTATTTTAGGATATTTTAGGTATATAGTTGGTTATATAGCCCGATTTTGGTTGGCTTACACCCATTATTATGTTTCCCATGATATATCCAACAATGATGATAATAGTATGATACAACATACAACATATCCACATACACACACACACAAAAGCCAAGCTTCATCCAACAGTAACGAAATTACATGAAATTACAGTATATCATAGTATACCCTCTAGTTATTTAACATAGCCATGGAACATGGCCCATTTATAGATGATTTTCCCAGCTACAAACCTCCATAAGGGATTTTCCATGGCTATGTTAGTCATAACCAGATGGTATATCCACAATGATTTTAGCCAAACGATATTCTCAGAGTTTGATACCCGAGCATAGCTCCATTGCCAGATTTGCCAGGCTCGGGCCTTGCAGGGGCAAACGTTGTCCTTTGAGTTCCTTGTGTCGTTTTGCTTCGGGGGGATGGGTATACCCGCCGGCAATGAAACATGGCAACCGGACATCCTCCATGGGTATTTTTATATGGGACAATTATCGAGTAACAAAATGGGGATTGTCCAGTGCCATGTTTGATGAACGGAGGGTTAAAGACTCGGTATATAATATGATGGGAGTAGTTATTGGTGATATCCTCGGGTTTTATTGCACTATAAATATTTACAATACATATAGATAGTCATGATTGGTGATGCACTGTTAGGTTGGCCAAGCTTGTTCATAACTCCACTGTTGGATTTTTGGTGGATATTCATCGAATTACTTAGACGGGACTAGTATCATTAACCAAATAAGATCCATACGCTCAATTGGTTTGCCGGCTGGAATTTCCTATTTTTTAGAAGGCACATCACTATCTAAAACCTACAACTTATAGTATAACTAATTATACAAGGTGCCGCCATAGTTAGCCAAGTTAGTTGATAACTAGATTAACTAAGGTCTATCTATGATGCCTATGGTAGATATATGATATATCTATGTAACTTTCATTCGGTTAATAAACCAATTGGCAGAGTATGTGGCATCTAGACTATACCCTCTGGTAATTTAACATAGCCATGGAAAATCACCATTTTTAATAGGTAAACCATCTATCAATGGGCCATCTATACCATGGCTATGTTAAATAACCAGATGGTATACCTCAGAAACCAATTTGGAGTATAAATCCCTCCATGTTTGCTGCTTAAGCACCAATTTGCTGGTGTCCGTAGAACCCAGTGCCAGTGTTTCGAAAACAAATAGCCTCTGGTTATGTCAAAATAATAGCTATTGAACATGGCCCATTTATAGTTGATTACCTATTAAAGATTGTGATTTTCCATAGCTATGTTAGTTTACCAGAGGGTACATGTTGCAGTCCCAATTGTTTGTTGTTGAAATCTTCAGTTCTGTTGAGATTGCAGCAAAGATACATGGTGATGCCGCCCCCACAGATGTCCGTTGGTAACCCTTAGTAACTAGTGATAGTTGAAGTCACCATAAACCCAAGAGTTCATTGACTTAGAAAGCAAGTTTGCTATCATAATCAGATAATATCAGATATACATCCCATCAGATCCCATCACATCTCCCCATTTTTACGCGGTTTTTTTTCCACCTCGTGAAAGGACGCTGGGCGGAAGCGTGCGGGACTTGGGCGCAGAAATCGAGCAGCTGGCAGCCTCGCCACTTAGCCATTTTCCGGGATGATATGGGACGATCCATGATATGGGTGGTGACTGGAACAATCATAGTGATTTCCCAATATAGTGGTTAATAGTGGTTAATAGTGGTTAATAATGGTTAATAATGGTTAATGAAATATCTGGTTGGTGGTTTGGAACCATGGAATTTTATGACTCTCCCATCATATTGGGAATGGAATGTCATCATCCCAACTGACTTTCACTCCATGATTTTTCAGAGGGGTGGGTGGCTCAACCACCAACCAGTATTGGCTTTACCCATGGTGAAACAAAAACATTGAAATTCATCATGAAAATTATATCCAGACGTGTTTTTAAAAGGCTCAACCATTAGTTGGGATTTCACTAACGAATGAAATCCCCATGACGGTGAAATCCTGATGTTCAAAAAACTGGAGATGGTGATGAAATCCAGTTCGCAACCTGTGAAAAATTACTGGAGGCTAAGCCGTTTTTGCATTTTTTTGACCCAGAAAGTTCATCCAACAAAAATACCATGTGACTTTTTTTTATCCTGGATTGTCACTACAAACTGGTGTGTACAATGCGTAATTTCATGTTCAATGCTAAAATTTGCCCTTTCCCAGCACCAAAATTCCACCTGAGAATGCCAGGCATGGTTTCGGTCTGCATGTGGCAGCCCTGATCAACCCCACACGCTCTGCGGCCGCACCGCCGCACGAACAGGTGGAGCAAGGGGATGGATCACTGGGCAGGTGGAGGTTTTCAACTTGTTCTTGGTAACTGGAGCTAGTAAACCCGCTAACATCCAGTCACTGGAGTAAACCCAGTCACTGGAGTAAACCCAGTTACAGGAAACCCAGTTAGTATATATAATTGATAACCCGGTGAGGGAACAGAACTGCGCTACTTTTTAACGCAGTGATTCAACGTCGCCCGAAAAACTAAAGGCCTTTTGCAGATGGAACGGCACGTTAAGCTTAGCTAGCTTGGTAGCTGAAGTATTTGTCTGAATTCATTTGGAACATAAAAAGTGGATAACAGTGGCTTGTCGGCAAATGGGGTATATATATACCCTCAATTCCAAAGGATTCTCATCTTCTCAGCTTGCAATTTTTGGGACCCCAGACTATACATCCAATGCGAAATCCGTTTCTTTTATCGGTTCCACTACGAAATTCGATGTCAAAATCCCCTATTGGATGCAGAAAGTCCTTCAGGTCAGCCAAAAATGGTACTTCACTGGTCCATAGATGGTTATATGATTATTATACTGTATATATATATATAATTATATAATATATAATCCCTGTGAGTCCTCTGAGTCCTAAGACCTAGACCTATTCTGGATTGGTCTTTAGAGAAAGACTCAACTAGAAATCCTGGGACCTATTTAGGGAAGGGTGCTGTAGCAGGGGTTCAAGATGTGCACAGCCAGGAGACATAGCATTTTACGCAATATTTTCACAACTTGAAGAGAAGCAATCGAGAATACCAAGATATCTTGATGCACAATTTATGCGCAATTTCAGACCTGACCGTGGACAAGGCGTTTTCAAGACCTGTCTAGGACGTGGTTCTAGACGTATCTAGAGCGTGTCTGTTGGGCACCAGAATTGTCAGTTAAACTCATGTTTTTCTGTAGCAAATCTTTGGAGCCTTAAAAAACATGGACAAGAATTTGGGAGACTCTTGATGGCAGAACTCAAAAACAGTTTCAAGGCTATGAAATATTCTTGGTCCTTACGTAGGTTCTTAGTGGCGAAAAAAGAGGCCTTAAGGTAAAGTCCTATCCCGAATAGGACTTTGGACTTTAAGGGTAATGTTTGGAAAATCGTCCCATCAGCCAATTCACAGCTCAGCAAACAGTGTTTCTGTCAGATTCTGAAGTTCGGATGATCCCTTGAACAACATGTTACTCTTTAATCGAGAATCGTATCACAAGTGATGCAACGCAACGAGGTGTCGCAGCATTTTGACGAGGGAGATCAAGTGATGATCTTAGGAGACATCTCGCAGGGACGCCCAGGCGTCGATCAATAGCCTTTGTTGACACACATAACTTGCTTAACTATGGTTTATATATTGGGGGATCTAACATGATCTAACTATAGTTGATGGGGGGTTATGAAAACAAATTTGTACTGTAGCAGATTTTTTCTAGAATTTATCCCAGTGGTTGAACGGGAAACAGATAACGTCATGACTGCTCTGATGGTAAGATCATACAAATGGGGTCCTAATGGTTGGTGTCTGGATGGTATCATGACTGGTATAGACTGGTATTTTTCGTAAGCGTAGTGACCGATTTCAACTGTAACCATTTCATCAATTTAGTTCAGGGATCATCCAGGCTACGCAAGGGTCGCCTTGCGTCGCCTTGGGTTGTCCTTCACCGCCAGTGAGTTGTGTATAAAAAATATCCTGTGTCATCTTGGTAAAGGGGACCCGAAGATCAGCCACAACAACCCAACTACGTAGATTGTTGGATATTGCATATACTTACTGATTGGTGGTTTGGAACATGTTTTTTTCCCATCTATTGGGAATAATAATCCCAACTGACTAATATTTTTCAGAGGGGTTGAAACCAGCAACCAGCTTATATAGAAGTGTCTTAGTCCTTGCTTGGGCATAGAAGTCAGAAGTGGAGATAATCCCACTTCATTGCGCCTAGATGCTTCATGTGTCTTATATTAATTATATACGTTACCATTTTTTATTCCAATAGTTCTAAGGTTTCAACTTGTCACAACCATAGTCACAACCACAGTTACAAGCCAGATCTGTTGTATTGTGTATTCCATGTTTCTCCGTTGGACCCCCTCTATGTTTGATTTTTTTTTTTAAACCTGGATGTACATCCCAGTTAGTCAGTGGGCAATAAACATATGGAATAAGTCACTCAAAAAATACTAATCGTGGGACACCCCACTCGTTCAATTTTTTATCTCGAGATCATCACTTCCAAAAAATCCAAGTGATTCATAACCCATGACGGATCCGGCTGGTGCTGGTAAAAAAATGCTAACATTGATTGGGGGTATTTCTTGATGGGATCCATGGAGCACCTTTTTGGCAGCACCAGGTCCAGCCCCTTTGCCGAGCGGCCGTTGCCAGTACCCCGCGTACCAGATGCGCCGGGCCACCTGGGACGACGTGTTGGGATCGGAGAAAGCACCAAAAATATGTGGGTTTGTCTGAAAATAGGGTATATTCCCAATGAAATAGCCATTTAATAGGGATAATGATCAGCAAAACCATTGGGTTTAGGGGTACACTATTTTCAGACACACCCATGTGGGATCACCAACAAACATAGGGATCTAAGATGATTTAAGCCACACACACACACATTTTTGGAGATTTTGGCCATGATTTTACTGAGGTGAAAAATAAGAGGTGACAGATAGTTTTGATGTTTAGGACAACTCGATCTCTTGTTATCAGTCCGGATATAACCCAATCCTGGGCTGAAGAATATGTTTCCTGTTGGTATCTAGGTTTGTCAATTTGCTAATGCAAATATGTAGTAGAAACAATTCAATGGCCCAATGGCAATATGTTTTAGTTGCCAGGAGGTCATAGCTGACGTTTACCCATTCGGTTTTCAATTTCTCCATCTTCCAGAGTGAATTTGGGAAGATCAGAGACGAAAAACATGGGCTTTTGATGGGGTTAAAGCTTCCAAAATGGGGCTGGAAGCAAGAATCAATGGTTAGAAACTGCTTCAGAACTTTGGTGAACGCTGTAAAATTTTAATGGTGTTGTCAGTGTCATCCCCTGTGTGTAATTGCGCAATACCACACTGGACACTAAAAAAAGTTCCTGCGATGCTCCATGAAAAGGATAGATCTGTGCCAGTTCCATGTTGGCTCTCACAGTGAAACATGGCTGGAAAATCACGAGATTTTCCCCCATTGAAAGTCTCCGACGAGTCTCCCGGATGAGTAATTAGGATGCCGGAGTTGCCATGATGACGCCGGAGGATACCCTAAAACCAAAACAGCTGAAGAAGAAAAACATCTAGGATCAGGAAGAGGCCGACGGCATTGAACCAATTTTTACCGGCCGACGGCCTTGGAGACGTCAAGGTTTAGCTGGAGCCTATCTAGCTATGACGTAGCTCCCCAAAAGATCAACGATAAGCAAACTGCCAAATAAGGCATGACTGGTGATGACACAGATGTGAGAAAGCCGATGAGACAACATCCAAGAACGGCCACAACTGACTGAATTGGAAAATCTGAAGATCCACCTTGTTTGGATGGATTTTACCGTATTTTACTATAAAATATTGTAGAGGTTGATACATCTATTGGCTCCACTTGGATTGTGATAAATCCGAGGTAGCTGGGAAGGTTCATGATTGAGACAACGATGTCTGGAGGAAATTTCTGGCCTTAAATGACTGCCAGGCTTGGCGGAATCAAGGCCGGAAAGTTGATTGAAGAATTGCAGTTTGTACTCTGCCCAACTTGTTGCTAGATGGTTAGATTTGTGCCATGGTCAAGAAGTTGGATTGTAGCTGTATACCTACATTTGGGGATGGTCATCAACCCATTACACATTCAAGGGATTTCATGGGATTTCGATATCCATGATAAAGATTCCCATGGGATGTGTGACCACAAAAACATCTATATACCATCAATACCATCTCATGGGGATCCGTGAGACACCACCATAGTGACGAGCTATAGCTGTTGACCCATGTTGACCCACTAGGCGTTTGAGTATATCATCTCATCCCAACAGTGTTCATTCATATTAGCCCAAAAAACTGATTAAATCCCAGTGAAAGTACATTAAATGGAATCACATCGCATTGAATTACATTGCATTGCATTGCAGCACATTGCATTAAAGTACATTGCATTGCATTGCATTGCATACATACATTATATTATACACATAGAGACAGGCAGATAGATATTGATACATAGATACGCGGATACTAGATACATACAGTACAGATGCATAAATAGATAGATCATGATAGATCAATAGACACACAGTAGATAGATAGATAGATCAAGATAGGTCATGATAGATCAATAGATGGACAGGCAGACAGATGTATACGTATCTACAAGGTGGGACCCCAGTTATTAGTTGGTTTTAAAACCCATTAACTATGGTTGCCATAAACCATCATGGACCCTAGTTATTGGAGTTCATAACTTAATCATCTAGGCAGGGCCCTATCTTGTACATATATATATAATATATATATACACAGTATATACATACGTATATTAATATATAAATGTGATATGTATACATATATATATATATAAATATCATTGAATATCCATGCGATATATCAGATATCACTCTCCCCAGTAACGGCTGCCTTCCAAAAACTGCAGGCCTGTACCTGTCACAATCTTCACCGGTTTCCTGGGAGCCGGCAAGACCACGGCCAGCTGGGGAGATGGGAAAACAGAATGAAAAACCATAGGAATTTGGTAATGGTAATATGTGGTTTTTTATGGTATGTGTAATATGTGTAATTATATCTGAAAAATCTCACCATATTGTACACCACATATTACCATTGCTATGTGGTAACACATTCTAATACATCTAGTAATGGTAATATGTGGTGTACAAAAAAAGGTGAGATTGTTTTGATATAATGGGGTTTAATGGGGTATATGACGAGGATACATAGTAGCAAGTTATATATCACCCCAGTAATACTGGTGATATATAGCCAAACAAGGATGTAATGACTTAAAACCTGGCATATTCAATTTGTTTCAACATCTGTCTGGACATCAGGCATTATTTGCCCGCAATACAGGTGTATATCTCCAAGGCGGTCGAAGACCTCCCAATTAAAAAAAAACGCGTTTGGGCCATTTTAGAGTCAAGCCAGAAACCCCATGCAGTGCTTTTTTGGGACACCTAGTCCTCTAAGTGGGATGTAGCCCTCTGTGAGATAGCTAGTCCAGTTTCTAGCCACGGTTCCAGATACGTTAAAAAACCATTTTCTACCAACAGCTACAACATAGCAAGCCTGACATCCTGGCATCGTAGATATATCGAAATCTTCAGGGGACCGTATGGAGGACGTGGAGTCATGGAGGATTCCTTGGAAAAGAACTGGTCTGGGTAAAGTATAACAACCTCACTGCAACCTCACTGGAATGATGGTTAGGATTCGGGGAAGTATCCCTTTCAGAAAGCCTAGTTTTCCATCTTATTCCAGGTTGGTGAATTTTTGATATAGAGTCTTTCATTTATCCAGATTGATTCCGACTGCCAATCCGTTGTTGCGTCCAATTTTAGGGCGCCACATGAGGGAAACGTAATTCCCATTTTCACTATGAATCACTATGACTGGTTGGTGGTTTGGAACATGTTTTATTTTTCCATATTATTGGGAACAATAACCCCAACTGACTAATAAATTCAGAGGGGTTGAAACCACCAACCAGATGATATGAAATTATCATGATCTAGAGAAAAGGACACATTTCCGACTATCATCCAGGAATTTCCTCCATCTTTTCGAGGACATTTACTGGAACAACCCTTGACTGGTAGAAACAACCTGGAACAACCTGAGGCAATGGAACTCCCTTTTTGTAGGTGATGTTCCTTAAACCAATATAGTGATTCTTAAATATTTCGTGTGTAGCATGGGCAAATCCTTTTTGTTGCAAATCAACACATGTTTTAGTCAAGTCATATGGGTATGGATCAATACCTATTAATACCATTTTTAGTGGGATGAACATCCATTTACCAGCTATTTTGATGTTCACCAGGGGTACCAGGTTTTGACACACTGCCATATGTGTTTCTCAAATCAAATGTGATTTTCTGAAATCCTATGAAATCCCTCAGGCCCTGGTGTTTACTCCTCAAGTCAGTCACAGAGAATTCCTGCGCGTTGGGCAGGTCTTAAACCACCTCCTGGCAGGGCAACGGGACAAGAAGTTCGCTTCGCTGAGCTTTAGAAATCGCCAGTGTTGGTACAGTAATGGGTACATCATGGGTACATCATTCGTATATAGTCAGTGATGTAATTAGATGTCATATGATGTTTTTGTTGTACATATGGTCTTCACTTGGCATAGAATTAGTAAGTTGTTTTTTTAGATAGTTGGTATATAATAGTAGTAATTTTGCGGATAGAATATATGGTGTATATATGACATGTATGTGTATATATATATATATATGATATATGGATGTATATGGTGATAGTGAGGATATAATTGATAGGGATCAAGACTAGCAATATGATTTTGTTGGTTACCTCTGAAAGTTGGGGACTTACTCTCAACCAGACTGGTCATTTTTTGGTGAAAGTATGATGACAAACATTGCTCAAACATCATTGTTTCAGGGTAGCCTATTTTCAAAGCCAGGGATGAAAAAATTAGATGATTCAGCGCAAGTTCATCATGAAATATGGGTTTGAACCAAAACTATATTAACTATATAGATGTAAATGGAAGGGAGCACATGAAAATCATCTAGGCAAAGCGTGGTCAAAGCTAATACGTGATGCTGGCAATGGTGAAGCCCAAAATTGAGCCGTGATTGACCGTGATTGACAATATTGCCATGTCAATGCATGGGGATGAACATATCATTATTTACCCTCTGGTAAACTAACATAACTACTACATAACTATGGAAAATCACCAGTTTCAATGGGAATATCCACTATTTCTATGGCCATTTTCAATAGCTATGTTAGTCATTACCAGAGGGTATATGGATGTGGATGTTTAGATCCTACGTATTCATCCAGTATATAAGTGTATATATATATTGGTAAATTTTATAAGGACCTCACGTCGCTGTTCATAAAGGAAATGATCCCCAAATAAATGGCCTTAATTCAGATTACTGAAATATTCTAATTTGCCCAGATATATATATATAGAGGCTTTTCACCATGGTTTTTAATATTGCTCAATTTTCCAAATCGTCTCATGGCAAGGTTCAAGCAGGGCAGGCAAATCGATCAATCTTGAACTGATGCCTAAGTCTGTGCAAAGAAGTAGTCGTGCAGATAATATTTGCCAAGAGTATATACATGTTTTACACGTGATTATGTTCTAGCGTTCTAATCACGTTTACACCATGTACAGCCCCGTTTTCAACATGTCAGAGCCAACTTGCTAACCTGGTTGTCTATCTGAAAATATGGTTTTTACTTTTCATCCACAATGATGGGAAAGATTCGATGAGCATGTTGGGATTGATCTCTTCAAAAATGCATAAAAATCCCCGAAGATTTGGATGTCGCGCTTTATCTGGGTGTCACCCAGATTTGGATTCGGATCTTGAAGATCTACAGGTTGTCGGCCTCTTCAGGGTTTCCACCGGGTGAACTTTTTCAGCACTGGAAGAGTCGATGGCGCTCTGAAGATTGGATTGTCATGACTTTGGTACATGTGTATAGATATATAGGGGGTCCCGAAAAAATAGATAGACAAGTTTAAAAAACGATAGTGATAGCATAAATTGTTCTTATATCTCATACTTCCAACTATATCCAACTGTTCGATTTTTCTGTTGCTATCCCCTAGAGATATTTTCCAACACAGCCATTGTCTTATTCCGTGGGTTTATAAACACCTCTTGTCTAAAGTGGTAAACCCAAGAATAAACCATCCCCAAATCACAATGCTTTATTGCTGGTATAAAGGGTATAAACCATCCCCAAATGGTAGTTGTTTAATGCAGCCAGGGATTCCCACATGATTCCAGTTATCCATTCTTCATCTATTGTTGGCTACTATTCATTATCATTCATTAACCATTATTCACCATTCTTAAGCATAGGTCATTATTCACCATAGGTTCCATATATCCACATTCACTAGTTCTATATATATATATATTCTATATATATATATATATGTTATATATATATATATATGTTATATATATTATAATATTCTATATATATACACCATAAACCTTGCCATCTCACCGGGACGCAACTTGCCATCTCCGGACTTGACGGAGCCTCGGAGCCTCGGAGCCCCGTGAAATTTTCGTCCCAGGTTCGCGGTGATCGAAAACGAGTTCGGCGCTGTTCCCATCGACAACGAGCTCTTGGCCAATTCAGTGCCAATTCTTCAAGGGCTTGGTAGCGTGGGTATAGGATTGGTGATGGGATGGGCACATATATATATATATATATACCTTCTGCCTCCGAAACCTTCTATTTTTAGGGTTGAAGAAAAAAACATATGTTTTTTTAAAAAAACATAGGTTTTGGAATTCATCCATATTTTGATATCTTCACCTTCCAACATACTCCCAAACAAGATTGTCTAAAGATGCTGAAGGAATGTACAGGATGACGTTCAAACTCACCATGATGCATCTGTACCTACGTCCGCGCGTTCCAGAGCTGCATGATGCAGCAAGATAGATCCAGCAAATGTGTTTTTTTTCACTGCAAGAGTCCAGCTTTGACAAAAGCTGTGTACGATGCCACAAGGAAACGGTCTAAGGACCTGGCTGATACCTGACGAATCGAAACTCTACGGGACAGCCGCGCAGTTCTACCTATACAGTCCTCGTCCATCTGGCATGAATAAATTAATGGATTTAGAGCTGTCTTAGCTCTAATACCAGAAGCTCGCACTTCCAGCACTATGTGGTGGAAGGTGTGGAGCTTGGGGTACAACGGAAAGCATTGCTGCTTGCCCTGCATGAAAAGTGCATGAGCAAGCAGTGAATACGATTCGAGGAATCGCAGGCCCTGCTCAGAGACAAATTGGGACTCTTCTTCTGACAAAAAGGCTCCAGCTTTGTACAGCATTGAAAACATGGAATTAAGCCGGTACGTGGCGCAGTGGCACTGCATGATGTGGCCGTCCGGGTCATTGGGCACTTTGCCAAGGAAATCCACAAGCCAATGTAAAAAAATTGTTGTGAGAGCGCCTTTGTACCAAGATCCCATGGCCCCACCCTGCTGCCCATACGACATAAGGTATGGTGTGATGCGACTGATGTGGGCCTGCTTGCGATTTGCCGCACACCAATCCAAGTACTCCTCTGTGAGGTAGTTCCACTTCTCGTCTAAGTTTGGCATAGGTAGCAAAGGAAGGCACACCTGCAACACACTTGCCACCCAAGATCTGCCGAAACCAAGATGAACCACATGCCAGATATCGCTTTTAAAAAAATCTGCTGGATCTCCTTGATCATGGCAAAGATGGCGGATGACAGCAGGTTGTCTCACCCAAGGAAGTTTGACTGCCACTGTCTGTAACCATTTTGGTGTGGTGGTAGCAATCTCTTCAGCATGACAAAGACGTGTGCCAGCAAGGCAGTATGGGCAGCAACCTTTCGGAGGGCCGCGCTCTTCACCACGCTTGGCCTGCGTATTCCAAGCCCTGTAAAAGTGGCCAACCTTCTGCAGGTAAGGCTGGTCACCTTTGACTCCAAGGATGCAAACTCTGTATCTCAACCCACTTGCCTTGTCCACGTATCCATCATGCAACAGCTTCGAACAAGACTTGGCCACATGCTCCATGTGGGAGTGGTAAGCCTCTGGCTGGCAATCATAGCAAGTCTTGGGGATTGCAGAAATAACATGTCGCGTACAGAATGAATGCCCAGCAAAGTTGACTTGCAAGGCAGGAGATCCTGGGACCTTTGCAACACGGTTTTCGTCATAGCCTTTCCCCAGTGCACTCTGCAGTGAGGTAACCAACAAGCCACCACGTTTCAGAGTCCTTCCTTCATCACCATGGATGAAGAAGGCAGCAACCTGATTCAGGTCAATGGAAGGATCGGCGTCAGCCATTGCAAATAGCTCGAACGATGGGTTGATTTGGCGGTAGGTCTGCCAGAATTGTCCCCAGTTTCGTTTTGCGCCTGCATAATCATGACGATTACATCCTGCCACTATCGGCCACAATCCTTTTCTCACAATGAACTCCAGCCATGACTCAGGTGAAAGCCAAGGAAGTGTAATCCCATCACACTCGATGCTCCTCATTTCAATTTGCAGCTTTGAGTTTTGTGATTTGATCGTTCTATGAACGTCTCTGTCAGAATTTCTCAAGCCACACTTGGCCCATTTGGAGACTCCTTTTTTGATAGCCTTTGGTTTTCCCAAATCCTCTGCCACGGCCTGTGCTGTCAGGATCTGGCTGACACAGCTCGCCTCGGCGATCAAAGGAAATGGAGAAATACAATTTGGACAAAAAAGAGAGACAGGGTGAGAAGTATGCGCAAACTCCTACCAAACTAACTCTTTTCTCACAAGTGAAGTCATGTTGGCAAGTCGAAGCCATCATTGGTGCTGCAACAGCATTGATCCTTGCAAGAACTCACTCTTTCTTTTTCTTCTCGCGAGGTTGCCAACATTGTTATTGGCCAGCGCGTTTCGAGCAAACATGCCAAGTTTGGCATGACATGTCATGACACGCTAATTAACTTGTCAGCTGTCTGAAAGCAAACAGTCATTTGGCAATCCCTGAACTTCTCACTTGCTGCATGCTGGGACGCCTATAAGACTTGTATACAACATATGTCAAATAGGGACCGCTCACATCTTTCAGCGTCTCTCCTCCCAAGCGAATGTTTTTGCAACCACGAATACCTGGGCGCCGGGAACAAGCCAGAATGCAGCTAGACTGTAAGCTGCACAAACATATTTGGAGAGTTTCGGCTATTGCTGCCAGAAAAAAACTAGAAAATGAAAACTGCAAACAGGTCACTGCCAAAACGTTGAATCATGGAAGCTTCAAGAAAAGCAGGTCCATATGGGTTTGCAGCTGCGTACACAACCAACATGTGGTCAAACTTGTCGCCCTTCGAGTGTGTATAGCCAAACGTTTCATTTCGCCATCGTACAGATGCATCATGAGTGATACCAAATTTGAACGTCATCGGCTGATATTTTGAATAAAGTTTCTCAAATGTTTGTGCCGCATGTTCCAAAATAGCACCAGCATTGGTAGCCGTTGGTCTTGGCAAACTCAAAGACAAACATGGGTCCATTTCGATTTTTCGAAACACTTCTTTTGACCTTTCAAGTTTTCGCAAGTCGGCATGTTCTAGATAACGGTCTTCCCAATTATTTTTTTGGGCCAGTGAACACCCTGTGGGTTTCCCAACGGTTTGGCGTTCAACTTCTGGTTCTTCTAGAGGCAAAGTTTGGTAGGCAAACTCCTGCTTCGCATCAGCTAGTATCGCTGGAGACTTCAGCCGTTTCTCTGAAGCTTGGTACTGCCATGCATAAGGCCCTAACGAAGCCTTAGATAAACCCAGCATACACATGACAGAAGAAAATCAGGCAACAACCAAAATGGTCGCTGGTGTGTTTTGTTTCAGTGGTTTGTTGGAGGGATACTGACAGTCTTGAAAAAACAACACCACATAGTCATAGGTTCTTACAAGAGGCTGGCCGGTGGCAAGACAACAACTCTATGAGTTCATCTTCAGAAGTTTCATCCCCATGGCTAGGTGGCTGGGGCATAGCGCAAGTCAACTGTTTTCAACGTATTTAGGTCGTTTCACATAGTGCTTTGGTACGGGTGTCTTGAAGAAAACAAGATCAGATACACTTTATTTTTTGACATATGTTGACAAAATGATGTATTGGCTTTCATTTGCTGTTTCAAACCAAGAACATATTGGGTTGAAAGGTCTTGACAGTAATTTGCCAATGCAGTTCATATGTCAGAGCCACACAACTTCACATGTAAAGTGCAGCTTTCCAAATGGACATGCAATCAGAAGGCACCCAGTGGTGCCAACATGTTTGCCAACACATTTGACTCCAACTTGGCTGGTGCATCATTTGAGCTCATGACACCATCGCCGATGTTGGCTGCAAACCGCTTTGCAGATTTGCCGGCGAGACCTGGCTACCCGAAGAATTTGCATTTGATCTTAAGGTATGGGAATAGGGAAGGAAAGGACAGAGGGATTTTGAACTGAACATGTAGGGTCAAATCACGAACCCGCCGTTGCAGAATTTGAACATTGGACAGTTTTTTTTTCCCCCAAGTCGCCACGAGCCAAGACTTGTCAAATGGGTGACTACTCCGACAGCATGCTTTGTGGCTGTAGACCTGTCTTACTTGGAAGTTATTTTTGTCTACAATTGATCTAAAGAAAAACCTGAACTAACATTACATGCACTGTACTTCAGTTGAAAATAGGAATATAATATAATTTTGAACAAGCGCCAGTCCACAGCAATCTGTGGAGGCCTCAAGCAGCCGGCCAAGGCTCTAAGACTTCGCTTTGCGTCTAAGTAACGCAAAAACCCAAGTTGTTCCAACTTTCCGAATTGAACTGTAGTTCATCACATGACATGTGTATGGCAAAATTCACAGAGTTTCATCTGAGAACATGTGCCGCCCCCCAAGATTCAGATGCATCATGATGCATCACTTCTCCTTATTGTCCTTGTCCTTGTCCTCGTCTCTCTGCATCTTCGTGAAGTGACGCTTCGCCGTCCTGTGTCGAAACAATGATGGATCGGGATCTGTTCTTGTTTGAGACAGCTGCGTTGCACCAAGGAAATGTACATACGTATTCACTTTGCTGCACAGCTGGGGAAATTTCATCATTGAGGAGCTCACCGAATCTTGGCTTCATTTTGCGCAATTTTGGTGCACCTGAATCAACCGGACAAGAAACCTAAACAATGACAAAACAAACTATCACTTTGCATGTCTTATCAAAGTCTTTGAGGAATGAGGTTCCACCCAGGCACACAAAGGTGGAGGCTTTCATGATCTGCTCAGCCTCCGTTGACCACCTTGGCTTACCAGGGTAACCTATAACAAAGCTTGTGTTAAGCTTGTGTTTCCATTAATCCCTAAAAGAATGTTTCTGGTTCAAAACCACTCTGATTTGTTTGAAGCGTCTCAAGTTTCAAGTTTGGGCTTTTCTGAGCCAGAGCTATATATCAATGAGACATCATTCTGTTGAGTGACGCTGGCGAATGATCATCTCTCTCACCCTTGGCCACATGCTCAGACAACTTGTTGAATTCCCCGTCCAAGGTGTTCAGATCTGCGTTGAGGGCCACGCAAGCCCTGGAAAGGAAGAACGAATCCAAGGCAGGATTTCCAACTGATTCAATGCCAACATGTTGAGCAAGTAGGCCACTAGTGTGGATTACTGTACATGGCATGTTGTTGTAAATTGATTGCCACCAATTTGTAGTCTAGAATCTTTTTCGCAGTGGTATCTTCAGAATAATTCTTCTGAAGATCCGAAATCAGCGAGCGCAGTTTGCCACACTTTGTCAACACACTCTCCACGTACTTGGAAAAGACATCCTTTGCTCTGCAAGCCTGATAGGGTGCTTGTGTGTGCCCAGTGGGGTGGAACAAAACAATATGTCAAGATATTTTGAGAGATGAAACATATCCAGTCAAAGCCGAACTGTTTTTATTGGAAATATGTGCGTCATTTTTGGAAAGCTTCGGGTACAAAGTCATGCAGGGATGTGACAACACCCCACCTCACTTGTGGCTTCCACTGAAGCACTCTGGGCAGCCCGAGCACGGTCATCGTTGGCATTCACCCTGTCAAGAGTCACTGCTCCAAGACATAGTGCCCCGCTCTCCTGACAGGCCCAGCGACTTGGCATTGGATTGGACTGCATTGGAAGATGGCCATCAAGGTCCCGCCCGACACTTGGCAGAAATGTTGTGTGACAGTGATAACTTGGTCCTGTGAGACCTCCTCCTGTTGTTCCATGTTCGCACGTTCCTGCTTCTCGTGACCTGTTTCGCGAGTCTTGACATAGTACTCAATGTCGCCGCCATACTGACAGTTCCTTCAACATGGATGGATGGCAAGAAGGCTAAACGAGCTCGACGTGTCTCTACAATTCCATCTGACTTCGTTCTGAAAAGAATTACTGTATGGAAATTGATTGGCTTTAGAAAGATATGCTTATATGTATACTCCAAGTCTGAGAAGAATGATTTACTCAACATGACTCAACATGTTTGATCTTTTTGATATGCACCCTTAGGCTAGGGGTTGCTTGGGGTATATGGTAAACGGTCTACAGCTTAAGTTGGATGTATCTCACTGGCCTCCAAAGTGACTTGTCCTGCTCGCAGCACTTGATGGCACCGGTAACCTTCTTCCTAGGCAGAATTCCATGAATATCTTTTTGAGATTGCTTCAGGGTATCTGAAAAAATCCGAAGACCATTTGAAAATACAATGTGAATAACACATATAGCATGAAAGGTTCGCATTCCATTTGAGCATTTTCATCATATCATCCTTGGTGTACCAGCCATGAGTGACATCAGAGCTCTGGCTGTTGGTCAGAGTAGTGGACCGCTTCCTGTACTTGATGAATCTGTCCTGTCAGGAAAGCTATGCCCGGAGAAGCTGTGGAAATGGATCACTGGAGTGGTTGGGGTTGGCCGAACCTACAGAAGGAGTTGCTTGGCCCAACTGGTTACTAGTATGGGGGCTTCTTTCAACATGTGTTAAGCGCCTTATCAAAGCCACAAGTTTGGTACTGCTTTGCAAGCGCAAGGTGGTCGCCAGCTTTCCATTCATCATGCAACCACTGTGGCACCTGAAGTCGGCCTCCCTTTTTGGGCTCACACAAACGCCTGAGCTTTGCTTTCAAAGCGTTGTCCTCCTTAGTCACAAACCCAAACCCAGAACAGGCAGAAAGGCTTTAGCCACAGGACACGAATGAACTATATATTTTATACAGTATTTGATTTTTGGATATGATATTCAATATAAAAAAAATATAAAAATATATTATATTTGGCAACCCAACTTGAAAAAGTCTATAAGTATAAACCATGAATCCATCTTGGCCTTCTTGGCCTGACGGAGCAGCTCATCCAGAGACTCTCCATCGTCCGATTGGGGTTCAGCATTTGCACCATCGGGGTCATCTTGTGGGGATTCACCATCAGGAGCTGATCGCTTTGCACCTCCGATAGACTTCTCCCTATGAGTATTCCCAAGAAGCTGCATTGCTACCAGTGGGTCCAATTCTCCGTTCTGCATCATGTCCACTATGCGAAGCTTTACCTAGCAACAAGGCTAACTAGGGTGTTGTTTTGAACACTTAAACCCAATAAGAGATGTAAGAGTTGTAGGCCCATGATAAATAACAGGATACCCGACAAACTGTAGTCCACATATATTTTATGTATTCACTAAGCCAAGAAAATGAAAATCAAATAAGTTGGATCCAGTAACTTCATCAGACTGAGCGGAAGCAGAAGAGGGAACAGGGGATGTGGGAGACGAAACCGGGGCAGAAGGAGTGGAACCCAAGGACCTCTCAACCTGGGAATCAGAGGCCATCAATGTGTCCTCCAGGTCTCCAGTAAGCCCAGGCAAAGGCGAAGGTGTAGGCTCAGGCAAAGGCGCTTGTTGAGGCGAAGCCTCACGGCCAAGTTTTGAATGGTCAAAAACTATCACGTTCAAAGAAGTGGCATGTATGGACACTAAATCGAATGATGAACCCGAAATACAGCAGTTTAAAAGTTCCACTATTTGAGCTCAGACAGCATTACAAAATTTACAAATGGGCTCGCTTCCTCAATACACTTTTTAAAAGAAAACACCCTGATATTCTTGTGGCAAATGTGCTGCCCAGAAGCTTGTTTCTGGACGTGCTTCAGCTCAGCCAAGGCTTCAGCCTCATCAATGCCATTTGGAAGAGTTCACAGTGTCTTGGTGAGATTGGGGGTTTGGAATCTACAGTTCTATAATGTTCTATATAACGTGGTTCAATATCAGTGGGAATTGAACTGATCGATTGTTTGGTCTTCATCACAAAGACAACTGTCCACTGGAAACATAAGTCCCAGACAGCATGGCCTTTAGCCTGCAAATCTGCCAGCTGACGCTCCATTTCCTGCCAGAAAGTTGGAATATTTATTTTGCACTGGTAATTCCTGAACTCAATATTTTACCCAAAGTAAACCCCAGTATCAAAGGTATCAAGTTGGTGACATTGCAAATAGCCTTTGGTACCCCCATTGCAAACTGCAAGAGCTGGTCAACAATCCTCTAGGTCTTCGAGGTTTGAAGGCAGCACAGGCATGCCGTCCGAATCACACATGATGTAGCTGATTCCACGCTGAAGTTCAGTGGACGAATGGGTACGGGACATCATCGATTTGGCTGTGTCAGCCCTGTGGATCATACCTACTGCACTTCTAGGCCTACGCACTAACCTTGGAATGAGAATGCCTGCTAACATGTCAGGGTGTACATCTCACCAGGAAGCACGTTTGGAATGGAAATCAAAATCAAATGTGTCACATGAAATACACATCAATGTCGACTCGATGGCTGACATGTTCCCCCAGCATGTGTTTGGTTTATCATTTTTTCCACGGAGCAAGAGAATCATCCCGTCTCAAGCATATTGTACCGGATGCAGTTGTCATCCAATTGGTGCACAAGCGGGCTTCTTTCCCGTATGTAAATCTGTTGTGAAAAGTTCGGCACACAACAGGTTCTGCTGATATACCGACAAAATGCATTAATGTTTGTGTTAAATTCTTGATATTTTATCATAAAAAACAGATGAAAAAAACCTAGGTTTTAGCCATAATTACCCATAATTTTTTATGGGTAAATTACGGGAAAATATGGGTAAATTACGGCTAAATTACGGGTCCCAAAATTACGGGTAAATTACGGGCTAAATTACGGGTAATTTTATTTTTTGATTACGGTTTGGTTACGATGGTTTATGGGTTGTTACGGTTCCAATTTTACATAACATATGTTTTTTTTGAAAAAACCCAACTATTTTTACTGCTGGCTACGGGTTTATCAAACCTCAATACGGGTGATTATGGATTACGGGTGAATTATGGGTAGAAAGTGTTGAAATCCAACTTTGAGAGGAAAATTAGCTGTTCGCAGTTCATTAGGATCCATCAAAAATATAATCTTTCCTGATAGCACCGAACAACAACAGCTGGTTTGCTGTTCAAACCATTTGGAATCACAGCTTTTTTGGAATAAGATCTTTGAAACTATCTAGAATCACTAAGTATTTTCCAGATCTGAGGTAGTGGCACACGCCGGTCATGTGTGCTTCACCCCAAAGATCCGAGAACTCCATCGAAGCAAACATTTTTTCAATGCTGGGAATCTTATTTGGGAGTGGTGGCATCCCTTTCTTGTCCGCAACGAGGCCCCGGAACAAATCGACCATCTTCTTTCCGAACGCTTTCGGGTAGTTCCTGAGCCACAAATAGATGGGTACCAGGACTTGCAAGTTGCCCCATAGTACTGATAGGATGGTTGGGTGAAAACGAACTATATATTTTTTCTCAACCTGCAAGAGTCTGGATGTGTGTGGGGAAGTCCATATGGCAAACAATTATATAGGTGTTGTCAATGTTATTATTGAACCTTTCAGGAGTTAAGTTTACCACATACTTTCATCTCTTCCGATTATCTTCATGATCTTTATGACCCGAACTGTCTAATGATCTATGATATGCTCTACTTATGACTATTTGAGGCATGGTGCTCACTGGAGCGAAGTTTCTTTGTCCCCTTCCAACGCTTCTTTCCTTCGCCATCCGTGTACTTCTCCACTAGGGTTGGTAGAAGACCTTTTTTCTGGAGGACCTTCTTGATGTTTTTCCAGTTCTTCAATTGTCCAGCATAGAAACGACCCACCGTCCTTGAGTTGCTAAAAGCGTAGTGACGCTTCGGGGTCGGTCCTCCATAGTGCAGCATGTACCACGATGCCTTGTGTACCTGAGCTGGACGGCCAAAGCTACCTGAATTGAAAAGTCTTATCATGTCCTATCCATTATAGTTTCCCATTATTGCAACAAGGAAATATACGCAGTCTTGGGTGTTTCAGGAATCTGTAAATTGGCCAGGATATGGAAATGTAGTCACATCAGATTCTTTTGAGTATTGTGTTCATACCCTGCTCAGACAAAGAACCATTATCGGGTACATAGATGTATTTTGTAAGGGATTAAGGATCGCAATCTGTTCCCAATCAATTTGTATATAGAGAACTCAGGTTGGAGTTGCTCGTGAAACCTATGTGCCGCATCTTGGACAAAACCACGTGGGTAATACTGGTCCGATTGTTTTACGGGTCAAATCCTTTAGTCAAGAAACTGCATCGGGACCGCCCCATTTTTGAAGCAAGCATACCAGCTCCCTGAAACGGGGATAGAACTCAAAGAAGCTGGAATAGGGTTGTTCCAGGGTAATGCATCCATTGAGACACACCACCACCATCATCAAGAGTATCATCCTTAGAAATGCAATGAAATGCAAAAACATATGATGATTTGTTTCCTTTTTCAAGTGGATAGCATCTGACCAGAAAAAAATATGACTCTGTGGGTGGCAGTGTAGAACAAAGTTGAGTGTACAACTTGGAAGCAATGCTGACGAAACTCCGGGACCCCAAACAGTTACCCTCTCTCACACTGGGGTGGTTGCAATTCCCGACTGAACTGCAAGCCGAACGGGACGACGTGCCAGCATTGACACTTGTCCAGGTAGAGCACTTTAACCCGAAATGGGCTAAGAATCCGTTCGTGTAATCGCCACGCATCACGGTGGCCAGGGCTGTCCTTGGTCAGATGCACATACAGGAAGATCATACATATATATTTTAGGTGACAGGTCTATATGTTGATTTCGTATACTATGTTCTTGTAGCCGTCAGGGACCTCAACAGTTTGAGCTATGATTGAAATACATTGAAATAAACCTAGGCTCACAAATCCAGCATCCGAACACAAGTCCATCGGGTTCTTGTCGCCCTTTTGCCCATTTTCCATATACAAAAGATCCAACCGGGCGGATCGCAAATTTGCTTCCCTGAAATTCAGTGTGCATTGGGCTTCCCCTGCGAACAGCTCAACGAAAGCAAATGGGGTTGTGTCCTGCACCAATCAAAGTGTGGTATCAAGGTATATTTATTTCCAAGGCTGTACATCGTCAAAAATATCACCTTGTTGAATTGTTTATCAGTGGATGCAATATCAACTTTGTCCTGCCAGCTCGCGGACGGAATGTGAGTCCACGTTGTGAGCAGAACTGCCAATACCAGCACCTGCCCGCCATAGGCTTTATGTGCTTGGAAACATGTTTTGAGAGGATAAGAACCCATAGGAATAAAAATCCAACCGATTTCTTGGGGTTCAAACCAAACCAACTTACAAGAATTCCATGCGCCTTTGGTGCACCAAGGGCACGTAGTCGCCAACACAGGCTCTGCACATACTCTTGTGACCACGCCATGACAAACGCGCACCGGTGAGCGAGGGGTTATACAAAAAAAAAAACATAAACGTATTTCATGGGGCAACTGATCAGATTTGTAATTAATATGGTGAACGTCATTTCGGTATATATGTTAGTTGTTTGCATTTCAACCCATGTCAGCTTTGCAAGAACGTGCTGTCCCACTTGAGGTATGTATCTCTCCGACATCGACCGGGCATCATGTGGTGCCAACTGCATCGCAACTGCATTGGGCACATGATGGCACATGGGAATCCATGACGAATGATGAAACATCTTGGGCCCATTGTAAGAACAAAAAACAGTCAACAATGTTTGTTTAAAAGTGGTGATCTACTAATCCATCCGCTCCAATTGGTAACCACATCCCCGAAAGTTTTTCTTTCCTGACAAAAAACTAAACCATATATTTTAATATAAAGCTGTTGGGTGAATAGTAGTTCCATTGGGTGATAGCGGTGATAGGTGTTCCCAGCAGCACCATGTCATAAACATGGCTAGTGCACTTGAATCATCCTTGAGGATGCCTCGTTTCGCTGCCCATCGATTGCCTCTCAACGGCGGCATGCATGGTCAGACCTGGGCGATGCTGGAGATTGAAGCTGGTCCATGCGGTGCATGGGGTGGGAAACGATATACTGGGATGAATCCACCAACAAAATCAAATTTGGGTAAACCGGTAAACCAAAATATGTTTCATCAACAAAAAAATTGGAAGTGGTTGTTGCTAAAGGTTGACCCATCTTGAGCCCTACCTGCATTGGATTCTGATTTGTTTTTTCTCCCTTGCAGCCAGCGCATGCCGTATCTCATGAGGGTATCCCCACAAGAAACATCAAGGATCTTTGCCGTCCTTGGACTCCATTTAAGTGTCTCGCACTGCTTTGAATGTGCTAAGAGACACCAAAACATGTACAGGCAGAGCTAAAGAAAACTATTCATGAAATATCACTTGATTGAATGAGGATTGGAAAAACACCCATCTAACCTTTATTGTAACTTGGGTTTCATTGAATTTATTGCGAATGATAGGTACATGGAAAACCAACTATCGACTTCAGAAAGACAAAGTTTTGGCAATTATGTCTCCTTGCTACCCCACCTGTACCCCCATGTCCAAAGCTAAGGAAAAGAACTTGAGCCTATCGTTTCGATTGGATGTGCAGTGATGCTGGTCTGAATTGGATCCAAATCTCTGACAAACAGAATGTAAACACTAGAACCTAGAAACTGTTTGAATGCAAATCATGTGATAATGTCAATGAAATCCCAGTAATGCATGGTCTCAGATTTGAACTGGCATAGTAAAAGATTGTAATCTAGAAATCCAATGGGCATCACACCCAAAAGCGAACCATCCAATCGTTCCATTTCAGAAAATATTAGTTCTCAGATCTATTGAGAAACTTTGCTGCAGCAAGATTGGCGTTGTACTTGAAAAACGCGACTTTGGCCTGGATCTTCGATGTGGGGTCCTGGTACTGTAGAACTTCCTCCCTGTCCAAATCGCTCAACCAACCAGCCTCAGTATGAGAAGGGGTCCCATCATGAAATTGCTATAGGTCACAGTGGTGGTTGGTCTAAAATGAAGGGTTGCTGCTGGTCATTGGAGCTAGTGGCATGGGATTCAAAGTGGTTCCTGCTTCAAGGCTAAAAGAAAAATATGTTCCTCATATTACATATATCATATCATCAAATCATATGTCATGGAATATTGATGATATATCATTTCAGCGAGGTTGCTTCATACTGTCAGATCGTTCAAGTGTAGTCAGCTGGGAAATGCTGTGAAAAACATCTTTGAGAAGGAAAGCCAAGAAACCATGAGTGAACCGGTGACACAGGCCATGACGTTCTGAGCCTGGAAGTCAGGGAGAGCTCTGAAGGTATTGCCAAAGTAGACAATCTCGGAGAGCTTTGTGGACTTATCATCCAGCTGGTACTGCACACCACAAGTTGCCCGGGTGAAGTAAGGATTGATCTTGCCAAACCAAAACTTGTGCTCAACATTCTGGTACAAGTACTTCTTGACATCGCTGGGTGTGAGCTTGCTTGTGCACTTCAAGTGCTGCAAAAAGATCCCTTGAACCGTGAGATCCTCACTGGGTGTGGACTGCATGTTTTCCTTTTCCTTTTTCTGTCGGCGGTTCTTTTCCTTTTTGGTGAACGGGGAAAGCTCTTGCTTTCTCTTGGCTGGCTTCTTTGGCTGGGCACGGGACTTCCTCTTAGGCTTGTCTGCCTCCTCTTCCACCTCTCGGGATGCGGCTGAGGCTGCATGACATGTCTTTTGGGCTTTCTTTGGGCGGGTGGCTTTCCAAGTGTTGGGCACTTCGTCCTCAAAGATCTCTTTCAAAGGTTTCACTTTGCCTGACTTTCTGTCCAAGCGGTCATGGGAGGAATCGGGAATCTCGAGAGATTCATCTTCACCTTCGTGATCACCTTCGCCATGATCTTCAGACTCTGCATCCTCCTCAAACAGCCGTTTCTTGGGAGTGCTGATCTCTTCCTCCTCCTCCTCTTGTTCCTCGGCAATCTTGGTCTTGTTCTTGGCAACCTTGGTCTTGGTACTCACCTTTTCTGCAGCTGCCTTTGCTTTCGCCTTTGGTTTCGCTTTCGCTCGTGCCTTGCTCTTCGGCTCAGCTTTGGACTTTGTTGCACGCTTGGGGGCACTCTGCTTTGGCTTCACCGTTTTCTCCTCTGTGTTGTCAGTGGGGCAAGCATCATCCTGGTTGTCCTCATCATCCATCTGGTCACAACTGGCACGTGTTTTTCCTTTGGCTTTCACTTTGTCTTTTAACTTGGCTTCCTTCTTGGGCTTTGCAGGTTCGGGTACTTCCTCTTCTCCTGGATCATCAGCTGATGCTCTAGCTTTGGCTGCTCGACTCCGGCTGGATCTCGGCTTCACAGTGTCATCATCATCATCCTTCTTCAGCTTTCCCTTGGATTTCTTCCCCTCGGCTTTTCCCTTGGCTTCCTTCTTGGCCAGCGCCTTCTCCTCCTTGAGTTTTCGTTGGTCACGACGGGTGAGCACCTGCAGATGGGGAACAGTGGCAAGCTTGATAGTTTGGAGCGTGAGTTTGGAAAACCAAATAGTTCAGTAGATGTGAACTGCGCAGCACGTGCAGGTAGTGGGAAGCTTCTTGAGCTTTCATTCATCCCTTATGCTGTGCAAGGTAAATATATCACATTGACGGCAAAAATGTGGCGTCCAATCTCACTAATGTACATTTCCCAGCTGGCAAATATATTGTTCTGTATTATTGTAAAAAGATATATGAATATTCGGCTTACAGTTGATTCAAGATAGACATCCCCCCTACCTGTTGGGTCCCTTCGGGTTGAGTCGGGGGGATGTACTCTTCATCCTCACCATCTGCAACATCATCAACCTCCATCTCCATTTTGAAAGCAAAAGAAGCATCTGCAATCACGCTGTCAGTCATGGGCAAGGTCTCATCCATATCCCCAGCTGGTGTCAGTGGGAGTGTGCCACCTGCAGGAACATGGATGGTTTATGGCACTTTCGAAATGTTGAATCCAACATTATGGAGATTTTTTCTTGATATTTTTGGATTGTAGCAATTTATTCAACATTTCATTGTGGCTGGTAGCCGTAGTTGTTTGGGCATACTACCTTTGACCATTGTGAACGCAAACGCACAAACCAAAATGGTGGAATCCATCACTGTAAAATAGAAAACTGCAAACATGTGGTGACTATGGAATCATACTTGAATTGCTGTACAATTTCTTGAATAGTCAGTTTTTTGACACCCACCTTGCTTGGTCTTTTGGGGTGGAACTGGTGGAGGTGGCATTGAACCACTTGGCACACCTGCATTGCCCAAGTTCTTATCCGCCTCTTTGCGATCCATCCTGACTGTTTGTACAAATAAAGTAAAATAGCCCGATCCATTCCAATCCCCAAAGAATCAAACATGTAAAATCCAATATGTGTTGAATTCCAATATGTTCCAATCATACAGATCGATCTATATATATACCCGTGTTGACAGCATGGCCGGCCCCAGCCGAACTAAGAAGAGCTTCTCCGCTTTCAACTCGGCTTTCTTCTTGGCAATCTGCGCTTTCAAATCCTCCATGCGCTCGAGCATCTGTGCGCATTGTCAGATCAGGCTGTGAGGAAGAACGGGCCCAAGAAAAATCATGGGACAAATTATGGAATTAAACGGAAGGGTAAATTGGGATTTCGAATCACCAAAGTGGAAATTATCAAAATAGATCAAAATATTTGTGCTCTGATGAGATTCAAAAGCAAGGTTTTCCGCCACACTTCTCACAAGTGCTGACTGGTGGTGCTGATGTTGTTGCAGTTTCACTTGCAGCTTTATCCAACCACCTCTTGAAAACCTCAAACTCTTCCTTTGTTGCTGGGTCCTCATCATTGGGATCCTCGTCATCACCAGTGCCACTGACATGCCCAGTAGATCGCTTACAGGAGGCCATGTAGGCATCGATGAAATCCTGCAATTAATACAGTTGATTGACATATACTGCACAGATTGGAATACTAGTATTGGGTATCCCATCACCATTAAACTACTTGGGGACTAGTAGACCGTTTTGGGGAATAGTCAAAACACCAGTCCTTCAAAGAAGGATCAAGGATAAGGAGCAGCTCATGAAACTTCCTGTCCTGGCAAGGGCAAGAGGCATAGAAAAGAGACAGTCTAACTCCAACTGGAAGGAAAAATAAACAAGTGAACACAATGGAGGAAATGGCAAGGGTGGGAACAAATATGAAGAACATTGTTTTGTCACAAACCCTCTCCTTTGTCACCTCCTTCCTTTTGACCCTCCTGGAGATGAATCCCACCAAACGTTTCAACTCTACAGCAGCCTGGTAGATGACCTGCTCGGGTGTGGGTAAGGCGCACTTCTCGTACAAGGTGTAGATCTCAACTTTCAAGTCTTCTAAGTGTGGCAGTTTGAACTTGTCCACATTGGACAACCGTTGGAGAACCGGTCCAAGTACAGCAGCATTCATGATGGAATTCGGCCGGTTCGGTTGGCAGAACTCCTCCCCAACACCATGGACAATGAGTTTCTTCTCCTCACGGAGACGTTGGCGAACCTCACCGTCCTTTTCCCACAGTAAGCACAGCCCCACACAGCTCATGGCCTTTGCAGCCATGGACCTGAATGGACCTGACAGCTGGCACCACCCTGCCAACCTTGTCCAAATCCCTTAATCCAAAATGCCTTCAGAGGACGCAAAAGAGGAATCGGCCAATTGCAGGATCAAACCATGCTTGGATTTTCACATCAAAACTTTACCCACTATATTCTACTATATCCCGATGGATTAAGATCAATCGATATATCGGGTATGACAGCAACAAAGAATTTGTTGTTGGGTGGATTGATGCCTCAACCATCCATGGCCTGAGGTATTGTGAGTAGCAGCCACACCAGAGCCAGAGCCGAGCTGGTGAAAAACATTGAGGGTCCCGGCAGCCACTGTTGTCCCGTAGGGGAAGACCACCAGTGCAGTCACCACATAGCCAGAACATTGGCAGAAGGTCAGTGGGGATACGGTAACCTATTGAATGCCAAATAGGTCAAAATGTCCAATTTGGTAATTTCATCTTGCCATCAGAAGATATCCAAAGTATTCTAGTTGTTCTTGAAGGCATGATATCTATATCTTATTTGGTTCCACCCATGCCTACTTGACCAATGGATATGATGTTCAGCTTCAATCATCATCTTGGAATGTGCCCTGAGCCGCTGCACGTCCGATAACACCCATCCTGAAGGAATATAAGACCCTTTGGACATGAATAAATGTGGATATTAATGGAATCAAAACCCATTGGAGATAGTTGAAACATGTTGAAACATCTTAAAACATGGGGATCAGAAAAAACATAGGTTTTTATAGAATAACATAGGTTTTTATGTGATCATCAAAAAAAACATAGGTTTTCATATCTTACCCCAAAAAAAAGTAGGTATAAGGTTCAGTAGGTATATATATGGATGTTTCTGAAAATCGGGGATCCCCAAAATGGATGATTTAGGGGTACCGCCATGTCAGGAAACCTCCATATAGAATCATATATACATGATAAAATGTATTGAACTAGATATTGATTATATCATATATTCCATATAGTCACCATTGCAGGAACAGTTAATTCCTTTTTTTTTGAAATGGTTTACATATCATATCTGATATATTTATTAAATAACACTACATTCTTAAATATTATTAGGATGGTTTCCGAGTCATATGGCTTTGTCGTTTGTCGATGATGAACCGTGAGATTCTTTTGGGACATTTTTCGGCGTCTTGAAGGGATAGGTTGGTCAGATGTAAGCCAGTCCAGAAATATGTGGCCAAATGGGTTGCAAAAAATGGGCAGTACACACATTGATATATTTCTGAGAGGCTTTCAAGGGGAACACTACTTAGCAGTATTTGGAAGCCCTTTGCCCGGGTTTTTTTCAAGTTTCATTCTACTTAGCGTGCTATCTGAAAGGGGATGGTCATGAGCGCGGAAGGAATTTTTGATAGCGTGCATGATCATCAATCATGCTTACCCTCTCGTGTCATTTAACATCTAGCCATAGGAGCCATGGCCCATTTATTGATGCTTTATATCATTTATATCTGATATACTCATTAAACATCATTAAACATGGTGATTTTCCATAGGAAATCGGTCAAATTACCCTCTGGGGTATGGTGATGATCCACCTCCTGAATCCAGCTGAATCCAAGTCCATGGGCTTGGCGGAGCAAGTGGTGGTGATGGAGAACGGCTGCATGTGTTGCACTGTGCCGCGGCATCTGGTTGATGTGTGAATCTCAGTGTAAACATTTGAATTGTATACATAGATACGCGCAATAATACACTTAAATGAATTTAGATGAATTTAGACTATATGCAGAGGGGTTTGTGACATTTTGTGACCCCTTAGGCTAGTGCACAACAGGTCTTTTTTACACTTTATATAGTGGCTCATAAAATTAACGGTAGTGGCAAGCCCATATCACAGATGAGTCAACCTTTGGGAACATATTGGAAATGATGAATTTGACGGACAGCGCACGTGTTGGATTCATTTTACTACAGCAAGCGGGTAGATGTATAGATATCATTCGCTATCCAGATGTTTGTTGACTGATTTGCAATCACTCTAGAGAAGTTGATGATCGATGATGGTAAATGGCCTACAAAAACAATCTCCGTGGTGTGGACTGGGATCCCAAGTTCCAGAATTCAATGGTTGGTATTTTGAGCTATCCCAATGGGAGTTTGTCAAAGTGGGTCTCCAACATCAAAGTCTTGGTCATATTTTTGTTTGATCTCATTTATACCCCATAGGATCCATGTATGGTATATATGCTAACATTGGGGGTATGTTGATGGTAAATGTTACCATATAGCATACATGGATCCTATATGGGTACAGGGTTACAATCCCGTGAAGACTCACCAGTCACGATGCGTTTTGCTAACCCTTTAACCCTTTTCGTGACTGGAAGAACTATAGATATCCTGTAGAAAAGCAACATGCCCAGCGGCCTCCAACACAGCTAATTTTAAAGGAATCTCTGCGAGCATGTTTTAGCAGCAGGCCATAGAATAGGCATTCAAGTTAAACCCCCCCCCATGGGTCGTGATTTTAGAATGTTTTAGACATCCTAAAAAGCATTAACCATAGTGGGCTTATTGTGGGCTTTGGGCCATCATTTAAAACACAGTTTTTTTTTTTAGGTTTTGGGTGTTAGGGTGTTTCTTCAAGGGGCAGAGGCTATCATTTTACCCAAAATACCTTGGCAATCTTGGGTTGCAGTATATGGTCATAGGCCTTCATTTTATACAGGGATCGGTTGATGTCGGTTGCAGTCGGTTGCAGTTGAGAAAAGAAAGGTGTAAGCTGCTTAGCTGTACAAAATGAGGACCAAGCTCCAAGCTAGTTAGTGTAATTCGATGATTTGGTACAAAATGAAGACCACCACTTTTCCCCCAAAAAATCAGGCAATATCACCCATGACGGATCCATGGTGCTGCTATATATGGTGCTCCATGGATCCCATATTTTACCATCAATATACCCCCAATCAATGTTAGCATTTTTCTACCAGCACCGGCCGGATCCGTCATGGGTCAGTATACCACTTTTCAAAACAAATGGGAGCCTTTCCAGCCAGGTTTTTCCAGGATCCAAAGGGTCGATGCTACCTGGGGACCCACACCAAACTGGGGGGGTTAGGAACACGGAAGACATTTTATGATCTATTAATATATGTTAATATATGTTAATATATATATATTTATTTATTTATTTATTGTAATACATATAATATCATGGTTCCCACATATAAATCTCATCAGTTCCCCGACATGGCCACGCGCACGTCGCCGAGGTGCGTGGCGACTTGCTGGGTGCCTTTGATGCGATCCGTACCTCGGAGTTTGTCCGGTGAAAAGATCGGGGATGGGTCCAAAACCACCGGGATTTATCAAGATTTATGAGGATTTATTTGGGATTTATATGGGAATTATTTGGGATTTATATGGGATTTATTTGGGATTTATGTGGGATTTATTTGGGATTTATCTGGGAATTTATGGGGATTTGCAGCGATTTATCTGGGAATCATCAGAAATGATGTGGGTTAACAGGGATATGGCATTTGAGAAGGTGAGCATGTCATAAATATCCCAAAAATATGTTGAGGTGTCACAATTTGTTTCGGGTACAGATGGATTTTTGACCCATAGCCATATGGTTAGGGGTTCACGGCACGCTTGACCCATGTCAAGGTCAGCAAATGCAAACTGGCAGCCCGCTGGACGCCGTTCTGGTCCGCGGCCTGGATATGGGCTAAAAATGCCCAAAATTTGATGGTTGATCATAGGGCCTATAGTCCTATAGTATCCTATAGTAGTAAAGTAGCCATTTTGGGGCTATACAATGCTATACATTTGTTTTTCCTCGTTTTTAGGAAAAAACATTTTTACATTATATTGGTGTGTGTTTTCTATGGGAAAAAAACTTGGGGCGTTGAAATGAGTTCAACCAAACATAGTTGGAATCTCACATGCAAAATGGGCAAATCAACTATACGTGATTGATGTTGAAAATGCACCCCTCAAATCCAATCCCCCGTTCATATTAAAACCCATTTTATGATCCCGAATATGTGGCTCTATCCACTACATCCACCATGGTTTGTGGGGGATGTTTAATATGAACGGTGAACGAGATTTTTCAATCAATGAAATCCCAATATTTGAGGCTTAAATCACCATTCAAAACCATTCAATAAAACCATTCGAAAACACATTTTTATATGCAAAAATCATCGAACAACTCAGCCCCTTTTCCGGGACCGCGTGCCATCCTGTAGATCCAGCAGAAGTCCATCCTGTAGAGCCGCCTTAGGCACTAGCCTAGCTATCAACATATTAACAAACAATGCTAACATACTTCTTTAAGTTTCTTTATATATATATATTTACCATATACATACATGATATATATATATAGTGTATATATATATAGTGTATATATATAGTGTATATATATATAGTGTATATATATAGTGTATATATATATTATATTATATATATTATATTGTATTATATATATATTATTGTATAATGATTAACTAATGTAAATATCACTCTTTAGATCCTGTCATATCCGATACACATACCTGAGAAATGATATCCCGATATCGCATTGTAGGGCTCGTTGATATTCCCAATTGTAGCTATATGATATATCCCAAAAGTAAAGTGAGTAAAAACACAGTTGTCATATTTTGTCATTATATTCCATAAAATATCCTCACAATGTGGTGCCCACCCAATCATAAATTGGTTTATAACCCCACTATCTATATACCATATGTCCCAGTTGTTAGAGTTAGAAATTCTCTAGCTATCGAACACGGGCACCACTTTGTATATTCATCCTAATATTCTCCCATGACTATCCTACTATATCCCATGATTATTGGCTTATCCCATGATGATTGGATATGATATTATTGGGTTTATGAAATTTTATGAAGCACTCTTGTTAATTTCAATGTACTACTATATTCCTTATAGAATATTATAGAATATCCTACTATATTCCTACTATTTAAATATA